ATCCAGGCTAACATTCTGAAACAGGAATATACGATTTGATCGAAATTTCAACAAAATCAGACAAGAATTGAAAAAGTTACAGGGCGAAAAATGTTGCAAATTTTTTTTGAGACCGGTTTTTTTGCCGGTGAGTTTACTATACAGGGTATGTCACGAAGAGCTTACACTATCTTCATATCGAGAAGCAGTCGAGAGAAATCCATGAAAATGTGCATGGCTATATTTCAGAATATGCTCTCTTCATTTAACATATTTTCGACAATGCAGTGTTGCCGCTTCTACCAGAAAGTAGTAGCAACATTGATATTTCAAATGGAATACCCTATATTTTATCGCATTTTTAGATTCTGCCTGAAGAGCTGATTTCATCGATATATCACACTTGGGGTCTATCGAAAATGATTACAGAGATATAGGGAGTTGAAAAATCTCTATTTTGAACACCCTATATCTCTATAATCATTTCCGATAGACTCCAAGTGTGATATATATCGATGAAATCAGCCCTTCAGGGAGAACTCGAGAATGCAATAAAAAACAGGGTATTCTATTTGAAATAACAAAATTGTTGCTACTTTTTGATAGAAGCGGCAACACTGTATTGCTGAAAATATTTCAAATGAAGAAAGCATATTCTAAAATATAGGCATGCATATTTTCATGGATTTCTCCCGACTGATTCTCGATATAGAGAAAGTGTAAGTTCGTCGTGACATATCCTGTATAATATAGCTTAAGGGACTTCCATTCACAATGTTATTCATCCTCAAAAGGTGTGTCTCATTTTTTGGGGCTCATGTTCATTCATTCATCGATCTACAGCGTTTATACAGTGTGTATTGAGACAACAGAATGTACAGGGTGTTTCAAAATGACGCTGCCGGAATGTAAATGCAGATAGAGCATCAAAAATTGTAGTGGCCCGTATTTTTATTATTTTGTCGGGATTCCTATATTTGATGGCCTCAAGGGAAGGTACGGAGGAATTTGTATGTTTTTCATTAAATTCTGTTTGTAGTTTAATCGGGGAGGCAAATTCATTTCTCAGAATTTTTGGGATTTTCTCCCGAGTATCAATAAAAATTAATTAAATTCAAACAAAATACACCACAACCGAAACAAAAATCAATAACAGTGAATATAAATTGAGACCAAACATCAAAGAGTTGTATTTATAATATACCTTGTGTTAGTGAAAAGTGTTATATACATATATATATAGGTGAAACCAAGAAAACTTTCTTAGCGAAGAGGAAATAGTATAAAAACTATATTTTTCATTTTTTGTTCACTTCCTCAAGCCGGAAACGGCTTCGGTTTTGAATTTTTAAATGGAACATTTTTGGATTTCTGAGACAATTATGAATCAGAATATGACATTTAGAGTCGCTTTTATTATTGAATCTAGGTGGTCATGATTCAACGTAAACAAATCTAATGCCTTAGGTGATATCAGAAAATTACATTCGCGAAGTTTTAGTGACTAGTATGATAGATAAGAATAAGAATAAGTGAGCAAAATAATGTTTTATTCAAATTGTGAACAATTTTTAAGAAGCACTCCAAAGAAAAGATTTTCTGACGAATCTAACTATACTAATTCTGGCAATAGGAGAAACCAAAGACGATTTGCAAAGAATTGTTTGGTCATCTTCAATGCAGATTCGTTCCCTAAACGTCGAAAAATAAATGAAAATTTGATATTTTTTCGATATATCTATATTTCTCTTGTTGAACATTTTTCAAAACAAAGGTACTGAAAATCGAATAATTTCATACTCTTCAATACACCTGTATCCTTGTTCTTCAAACATTTTTGGCCGAGGTGTCACTGACCATCAATGAAATTTCTCTTTTAGGTATCTGATTGAAAATTGAAATTTAAAGTGCAGTGACATTTTGGGAAAAATCTCCTGATTTGTAGTCACTACAAGTGTATTTGAATTATTACTTATATTTCAATTCTTAGAGAAAAGGGCAGAACATCCCAAAGATTCTGAAAAATGAATGTTTTTCGTTATTTCTCAGAAATATCAACCGATCATCAGAATAACATGCAAAATGTATGAGCATTTTCAGTTTTGTTGTCTTTGATGGAGATCGCCACTGATTGTTTTTTTTTTTCAAGTTTTTTCATCTTCTTGTTTCCAAATGGAACTTTCTTGTCAATATTGCCATTTTTTCTCGAAGTTAACCACACAAACCGGGTCAGCAATAAGTTAACCAGTCAATTTTCCTCCAATATTGATGGGAATAAATATTTGATTCTGTTACAGAGGACGAATTTCTTTATTCGATATATTAGTATTACTACTGAAACCCAACAATAAACAAAAACAGCTGACAAACTGACATCTGTCAAGCTTCACAAGTATACCGTGACATCATAATAAAGTTGCCGTGACGTCATCAGAAATTAACCTGTTTTGTCTGGTTGTGTTCGAGAAAAAATGACTTTGTTTTGAGGTTCTATGTTTTTATTCTTGCCTGATAGTTTTTCGGTAAAACATGAAATCTTTACTTCAAGTAGTGATGCATTGACTTTTGTCTTTTTCCTCGTAAACTGATGTCAATTAATCATTTACCTACCTCTTACCTCTATTGAAAATAACTGAACTGAAATTATTCATTTATAAATTTTTTTAGACATACCAAATTTCCACGAGGTGATTAGTCGGATTCCACTCTTTATCTGCATAGTTTTATTCTGAAATACCCAGTATGTTTCATTGTGTTTTTGAATTTACTAAATTCTCCATGTGTTGGGCTCGAAATGAGCCGCTAAAATGATGAAAAAAAATCAGTATTCCTAGTTGTTTCTCGAGGCAATATGTTCAAAGGTTTAGACAAAATAGTGCCAATAATTTATGTTTTCTGGATTGGTGAATGACACAATATATTTTTAGTTGTGGTTTTCAAAGTTTTTCATAGATTGCTCTATCGGGTGCTACTCCGAAAAGTTCCCGGACTAAAAGAAAATAACCATATTATGTATATTATACATAGACTTCCTTTAGACGCTTTTTAGAGTAGTGTCATATATGTCATACATCGAAAATACTGGAAATTATTATTTTTCAGCAAAATTGGACTTTTGCTTGTCAGCCAATTATACATATTTCCAGCAGTTGATCATTGAAATTATTTGATTTCTTCATATTCCATGTATTTGTTGAAAAATAATGTTTCATCTCATAATATTTGCAATGATCTTTGAATTTCATTGAACAAATTGAAACAGTGAGCAAATTGTATAAACCTGACATAATCATTATAAAAGGACTCTTAATTGATATAATATAATAAATTTGTGATATTGTATTATCTATTACATTTATTTTCGTGTATTTTATTGTATATTTCTTGTCGCCCATTTTATATATTTATACACTCTAAGTTCTTTATTTTCTATGTGATCTCAAGTCAAAATTTAGCACAAGGTTTGTCAAAACCTATTTATTTCAAAAATGGATTCTTTATGCATTAACTTTTATGTTGTAAATTTTAAAGTGTATTTGAAATAAATAAATCCTAAATAACCAACCATCTTTTATCCTTCCATGATGAAAATGCTATCAGCCATCACACTATATTGTTCACATGAAGATCAGTCGAACAAAAAAAACTACAATAATGATAACACCCTGATGTACTTGAATGCAACATATTTATTCAAGATTAGTAAGGATACCGGAGTTAAAAGCAAAATAACATATAATTTCGACTCTAATGAATAAATTTTTTTACTTCAAAGAGAGAGAATATTTTTGTTCTGGTGATGCTGTACCACAGATTAATCGTACATCTATGAACACCCTGTATGATATTACCCAAGTTTAGTAAACTAGACAAGTGGCTGAATTACTCGTGGTCGCATTATCATGTCGGCATCCTGCCTGCTGTTGATCTGTATATATTTTTTGTTCTTGATTTGTTATGAATTGAGCATAAAGGTCATCACAGGTAGGTAATGATTGTTTGAAATTTTATAAACCCTTCAAAACCTAGGAAATCAAGGCCGTCGTCCTTCCTACTATTTTTTTTTTTTCGGGGTGTCCAAGAAAAAAGTTATGAAGTCGGATTCAGGTCCTTGTTTCAGGGGGTCCGGACCTGTACCCTGTGGGTTTGTACAAGGATGGAGACTTAGTGCCTAAATCTTTCGAACCATTCCCATCAGCCGAGAGTTATCATTTGTGTAGTGATTCAGGCTTTCAAGGATATTTTTTCTTCTTCTCGAGGGTCTCGTAAAGTCTCGTTAATTCAAGTTTTTCTACGAGCACATACGTTCATAATGTATCATGTGATTCAATGAGATGAGGTTTGGGAATGGTTCGAAAACTATAGGCTCGTGATATTTGAACCCGGGATCTCTCCATCTGAAATCACGCACGTGGCTCACTTGGCTATCGCAGTAGTTGCAAAAGTTTCTACAAAACGTGTTCATATCAATGAACTCAATATGTGAACACCATTCATACACGATCACCAAGTCGTCAACGTATGATCTAAGGTTAACGTTATGCGCCTGCCGAAGTCCCAAAGCAATTCCGACATTCGTCTAGCTAGAGATCAGCATCGAGGTCAAGTGACGTCACCCACAACACATGATATTTCTTCGGATACGTAAAAAGCAAAACGTAAAAGAATTAAGGTTTGGTTGTGAATGCCGCTTTATGTTTTGAATGAGTTGTTTGTTTATAAGTTCTTAGTTTTGAAACATTCGCACTAGAGGCCATCTGTCTAGTTTATTAATCTTGGGTCGTATCACAGAATTTTTCTTCGAGTCGATCTAGTTTGAGGTCATAAGCTGATATGTTATGTTTTGTGATATTTTGAATCTGTCAAATGTGTCAAAAAAAAACGATTTTAATATTTTTCAAATATTGTCGTTACTCAAATTTCATCAAAAGTTTATTGGGTTTATGAGGAAAGAAGCCATAATATTATATTATTTCATTGCAAAAACGAGTCGTGGATTGTTTGGAATTCAATAGTGAAAAATGGAAAGCAGTCAGCGTCGTAAACATTTCAGTGATTTGCAAGATTTGGACATGAAAATTATTGAAGGCATCCCTTGGGCAGAAGAAATGTGGTCCATTTTATTGAATGGCTTGACCAAAACTTTCCTGAACTGGACTAAAGTAGCATGCAAAATGGGCAAGAAAGAAGAGGATATGAAGGAGTGGGTAGAAACGTTTATTGAACACTATGAAGATACCTGCTGTGAATTGGTTTCTGATATAGAACATTTACAAAGCAGTCTCATTGCAAGTATTGAAGGGTCTCTTGAAAAATTAGAAAAACTTTGTAAGGCCCTACATGTTGTGATGCCAGTCTTTGGACAAGGAAATCTGGGTCTGTATCAGGAGCATTATCAGTTGAAGAATATCATTGAGGAATATGAGTTCAGGGTGGAAACCAAAAGATCAGAGCTGAACAAGCTTCGCAAAAAACAGTTGGATTTATGTCATAGCTTGGGTAGAGATACTAGAATCATACAAGATAATCCACTTCCTACTGAAGAAGAAATACAGGAATTCAAGAACTATTTGGAAAATTTAGAACAGGAGCAGTTCAATAGGTTTGAGAAATTTTGTGACATGAAGAAGGAAATTTGCATTATAACAAAGGAACTCAATTTCAAACCCTCCACTCTGTTTGAAAATGAAATTTTATCCTCTGATGAATCAAAATTTTTATTAACTGATGAAAATATGATGGAACTAGCAAATTTCTACAATACTCTGAAGAAGGAGCAAGAAAATGTCAGAGAAGAAATATCTGAGTTGATTAGCAAAATTGATGATTACTGGAACCTTTTGGAAATACCTCTACTTGAGAGAGAAGAATTTCGTCAGAAACATTCAGGATGGTCCTTTGATGTTTTAGATGTTCTAAGGCTTGAAGTGAGGAGATGTGAAAATCTTAAAAAGGCCAACATCAAGATATTTGTTGATAAGTTGAGACAAGAACTTGTACAAATTTGGGACAAATGTCATTGTGTTGATACAGTGAAACATGACTTTTCTTTGTTCTATTCTGACTGCTATACTGAGGATCTGTTAGAATTACATGAATTCGAATTGAAAAAATGGGTGGCTTATTATGAAGAAAACAAGGAGATTCTTGGTTTGCTGAAAAAGCACTCAAGGTTGTGGTCAAAAATGATTGAGCTGGAGAAATCTGCTGCTAATCCTGATAGATTCAATAACAGAGGTGGACAGCTTCTCAAAGAAGAAAAAGAAAGAAACACATTGTCAAAAGAAATTCCAAAAATTGAACATGCTCTTGAGAAACTGGCTGATACATACAATAGTCATAAAGGTACCCCATTCAAGACCTATGGTGACACAGTTCAGGATTACATAGCAAATTTACATGCTGAAAGAGAGAATGCTAAAAAGAACAAGTTGAGTACTAGAAAATTGCAAAGAGAAAATACCATGCTGCTGACATTAACTCCCAGCAAATGTGTTCAGTCTTTGTTTCATGGCCCCAGTTCTTCAAAGAGAAAGTTACCACAAACTCCACGAACTGCTTCCAGTAAAAAACCCAGAGCAACTCCTGGACATACCCCATCAATTCCAAGAAAAGCCAAAATACCATCTATTGTTATATCATCAGTCAATAATTCAAAACGTCATTCTATAGAACGTAAAAAGAGACTAGAAAAAATAAGAAGGAGGAGTGTTTTGAAAGCAGAAAATTGTGCTCAGATAATGTCCAATACCCAGTCCACTGACTACATGGATTTTGAGAGTGAAATTTCAGTTAGAAAAGATTGTAGAAGTACCATTAATCCTTTTGCTAAATCTTCTGAGGAACATCTTCAAACTCCTGTTGCTAGTAGCACCAAGGGTCAGCTTACTCCCAAGCATTTACTCTCTAGAAGGGATACACCAAGTAAACCTTTTTCTCCTGGTAAAAGTAAAACTAATTTAACAGCAGCCAAGTCAAATCTCAAGCTTATATTTTGATTTACTTGATTTGAGAATAATTATTAGTTGTACAAGGTGGGTCAGGATAGATCCAACAAACTTCATGTTCTGGTCCCTCTCTTTATTTCCAGTTGAAAAGAAAAGTTGATGATGGAACAATGTTGAGAAATTGTATTTACCTATGAGAAGCAGGTTTTCTTATGTGATATGTGCATATTTTTATTCACATCCTGTATAAAAGGGTCACACTAGTATTATTTTTTTACTGAGAATATCAGGAATTATTTTGAATAATAAAGTCTAATTCTAAATGAAAATCTGAAAAGAGAGGAAAGTTTTCTCCTCTTCCATTTTTGTCTTCTATGCTACACCAATGTAGCTGCATTGAAATATAGAGAAATTGATAATTCTTCATTTGTCTCCCATTTTTTTTTATTTATGCTGCTGACTTTTCTTCCATCCAAGTAATGAATCATAGATAATTAAATATTGTGTCATTGACAAATTGGTGCCATGTAGAACTAGATATAATATGTTCAATTGAGATGAAAATAATCATTGAATTGGAAAGTCAACTGTAAAGTTCTCATACTTCATGACATATGACATTAAGAAGTGTACAGTGGCACATAAAAAGAGATGACCTCTCTTTACTTTATTATGGTTACCTCCTTAGCACTGAAGACCAAATGGAAGAGAACTTTTCTCTCTCTTGTTCATGTTAGTAAGAGCTCAATTGAATTACTTTCAATCTGTAGGTGATATCTTGATGAATAATTGTAGAACTATAAAGTTTCAACCAGTTTTTATATTTGAATCACAGTGTACTCCACTGGAAAATTTTAAAAATAATGTGAGAAAATGATTGCTCATTTTCTATATTGTGCTGATAGAATACAGTATTTTGATGTTCAGTTTTATTCTCGGTTTTATTAGTCCTTTTTATTATATGTTTTATGTTTCTTGAGTTCTTGTTGAACAAGCAATATTCGTTTTTTGCGGCTACTCTGGTGGTGGCTATTTTGTTTTATATTACATTTTTATATTTTCACAATAAAATTTCTCATAGAGAACCTGTTATTTTTCTTTCAATAACTGTATGAGACGTATGGGGAAGCCAGAAAAATTCGTAGTGAGTCGTAGTATATTCGAAGTCAACGAGTTTTATCAATTTTTGCATCGGGTTATTCCTTTCCGTTTCATTTCACAAGGCCCAACATTATTTTGCTTGGGCCCGAAAATTCCTTGATCCGGCTCTGTCTGCCACTAACGTAAATTTGACCACGCGAAACAACCGTACCAGCATATATCTACTATTGCTATATATGGCGCATCGCCTATACGATATCTCAACAAAAATGAGAGGTACTTTTCGGAAAGTGAAGGATGGAAACAGCCAAATTGGTTTGACAACTTTTGTATTATTTTTTCCCTACGTCGGCATCAACGCCTATTGGTCGATTTCGTTACCAGTAGTGATATTCTTTCGTTCTGAACAAACTGATACATTTCATTTGAACTGAACTGAATCAGTTGACATGCAATGGACGTCATTTGAAAGAACGCATATTAACTGATTCAGTTCAGTTCAAGTGAAATATTTCAGTTAATTCAGATTGAAAGAATATCACTAGTATGGTCAGCTGTCATATGTCAATAATGTCATATGATTCCAACTTGTTTTCCTATGTCCTATGACATTTATGACAATTAAAAATTATAAAATGTTGGTGTTTGGTTTGATGGGATATGGATAGAATTTTGGGTGCATTTCTACAGACTTATTTCTCTCATTTCAGTGGATATTGAATATTTTTGAATCATGACGGACAGTGACGAGGAAATTAATAAAAGCAAGAAATACTTAACTGGATTTTTCTTTGGAAATATTGACGATTCTGGTAATCTTGAGAGCGACGTTTTCGACTCCAGTGAACGAAAACAACTAATATCTCTATCAAGGTATGCATTGACTTGCATTGATGAACTATTCAGGATCAATAGGTACTACGCATTTTCTTTCCAGGTTGGGATTCAGTTCCTACTTTGATGATATATATAAAGATGAAAAAATCAAAGATGAAGTAGACAGTGATGGTGAAACACAATCCTCATTCACTATCAAGCAAGAGCATATAGATATCAAGAATGAAGGCTATGAATCTCTGGGTAGCCAGGGTGACAGCCAATATTATTCTGATCTAAGCCAGCGTAGTGACCTGAGTGACCCAAGAACCCTGAGCCAGAACACTTATGATTCTGGTGTGGATCCAAAGTCTCCTTCAGCACAGGATTATTCTGATATAACTGAGTTGGCAGATGATGAATGTAGTGGGTTGAATGAGGACTATGATGCAGATGATGAAAGACCTAAAAAAGATGATCAACTCATGCCTCCTCCTCCTACACCATCTACCAAGGGGTCTCAGGAGTTTGATTCACTTGGTTCAAATGAAATGGATAAGAGGAAGCTTGAGACTCCATTGGCAGCTATGTTACCCTCTAAATATGCTAATGTTGATGTAACAGAATTGTTTCCAGATTTCAGACATGGAAAAGTATGTGAAAAGTTTTCACAAGATCATCATATTGATAAATTGATTCTAACAATTTCAATTATAGGTGTTGAGGTTCTCTAGAGTTTTTGGACCTGGAAAACCAAGCAGTTTGCCAAACATATGGAAAAATGTGAGAAAGAAAAGGAAGAAGCATAAACATAAAGAAAACAATCAGCATGAATCTGATTCAAATTCAGAGGAGGATAAACCTCAGGGCAGAGGTTGGTTCTTTGACTATGCAGAACCAAAACCTGAGTTACTGAAGACTGATGATGAGGTTCAGATAATCAAATTATTATAACTTTTATTGAGAACATATTTTTCAGGAGACATTTTTGAAACCTGTAGAAACTTCTAATGAGGATAACAAACAAGACATTGAGAAAAAAGATGATTCAGGGCCCAAAGCTGCTGATTGGAGGTTTGGGCCAGCTCAAATTTGGTATGATATGCTAGAGGTGCCAGAAACAGGTGATGGTTTCAATTATGGATTCAAAGTGAAGGAGAAAACAGATGAAACAGAGGTAAGTGAATAATTAATAACATCTTCATTCAATCAAGGCATTGTTGAGGTTTCAAAACGTTATATTATAACTTTGCACGTCTAATCCATATTTCAAAGCAACATTAGTTAAATTTTTCCTGGATAGATGAAGACAGAATTATTCACTCAAATATGGTAACTGATTCAGTTCAAGTTGACTAAAATATTTCAGTTAGTTCATATGCCAACTTGTATTTGAAAAACTGTGAAAGAAAAGTCAGAAAATATGAGCTTATATCACAAATATCACATACAAAATTATATCACCACTTCAGAAGTATTTGAACATAGCTTTCATTGCTAAAAATACTATTCATAGTCTTGTGGGTAACCTCATAGGTGAAATTAAAACTAATGATATAGCAGGTATTGATGAAAAAATTGTAATGAGATGAAGTACATTGGGCAAACACATCAAAGCATGGTCACAATGTTCAAAGAACATATTACTCCCAATGGGTCTGATAAATCAAGTGTTGTTCAACATATTTTCATGAGAAGTCACCCTATCATTCTAGATAATTTGGGACTCCTTGAACATGTTGAAAACAATAGCTCCCATGCACATATGTCAGATGACCATGTACAGATAAATGCTTGACACACTAACCTCTTGTATTTATTTTCAATAAAAAAATCATTGAATACTGTCTTCTTCATTAACAAATCCAATAAGTAACTACACTGATTTTTTATTTGCAAATGAAAACAAGAGGTGTAGTGTACAAATTTTTCCTGGATAGATGAAGACTGAATTATCTACACAAATATGGTAACTGATTCAGTTTAGTTCAAGTAAGATATTTCAGTTAGTTTAGAAAGCAAGAATATCACTCATGTCTGTCACAAAACTTTTTTAGCAGTCAAAATAATCTGAAACTGAATATTTGTTAGTGTCAGTGGTGTCAATAAACCTGAAAAGCAATAATACTTCAAGTGATGTTTTGTCATATGCCAACTTGTATTTGAAAAACTGTGAAAGAAAAGTCAGAAAATATGAGCTTATATCACAAATATCACATACAAAATTATGTCACCACTTCAGAAGTATTCGAACATAGCTTTCATTGCTAAAAATACTATTCATATGGGTAACCTTAAAGGTGAAATTGAAACTAATGATATGGCAGGTATTTCTGAAAAAAAAATGTAATGAGATGAAATACATTGGGCAAACACATCAAATCATAGTCACAATGTTCAAAGAACATATTAGCCACTCCATATATATTTTAATCAGATTTATAAATCAAGTGTTGTTCAACATATTTTCATTTCTAGATAATTTGGGACTCCTCAAACATGTTACAAACAATAGCTCCCATGCACATATGTCAGATGATAATGCTTGACACACTAACCTCTTGTATTTATTTTTTTTTTAATTGAAAAATCATTGAATACTGTCTTCTGCATTAACAAATCCAATAAGTAACTACAAAGATTTTTTTATTGCAAATAAAAACAAGAGGTGTAGTGTGTCAAGCTTTTATCTGTACATGTACAACTTTTTCCTGGATAGATGAAGACTGAATTATCTACACAAATATGGTAACTGATTCAGTTCAGTTCAAATATGATAGATTTGATATGATAGATATTTCAGTTAGTTCAGAGAGCCAGAATATCACTCATGTCTGTCACAAAACTTTTTTAGCAGTCTAAATAATCTGAAACTAAATATTTGTTAGTGTCATATGCCAACTGGTATTTGAAAAACTGTGAAAGAAAAGTTGGAAAATATGAGCTTATATCACAAATATCACATACAGAATTATGTCACCACTTCAGAAGTATTTGAACATAGCTTTCATTGCTAAAAATACTATTCATAGTCTTGTAGGTAACCTTGAAGGTGAAATTGAAACTAATGATATGGCAGGTATTTATGAAAAAAATGTAATGAGATGAAATACATTGGGCAAACACATCAAAGCATGGTCACACTGTTCAAAGAACATAATACTCACCCCAGATATAATTTTATTGGTTTGATGAATCAAGTGTTGTTCAACATATTTTCAAGACAAGTCACCCTAGCACCCTAGCATCCTAGATAATTTGGGACTCCTCAAACACGTTACAAACAATAGCTCACATGCACATATAGGTTGTTATGTACAGATAAATGCTACAGTCTCATATTGTTTGGTATGTTTATAAAAATTGTTTTGTCCTCATTATTGTCATAATATTATTTTAGGTACCATTATCTGATGATGGCTGTAGTGCCGAAACCGATAACTTTTTAAGGAAGTTTTTATATAAAGTGTGGTCGACCGACTTTGTGTTCTTTTCTCTCATTTTTCTCTTGGGATATACGTCAGTTGTTTCTTAGGAATAATAAAGATGATGATGATGATGAAAAAAAAAATAGATTCATGAATAAATCGTGGTGCATATTTATTGTTATTCAGTCTGAGGGATAAACTATCCCCTCTTTTTTTTTTCAAGTATCAGCCCCACCAACCGGAAACCAACCAGTCCATCCCCTCGGAAGAAGAGTACCCCGATGACGCGTTCCTCATGGTCACCCAGCTGCACTGGGAGGACGACGTCGTGTGGGACGGCAACGACATCAAGCACAAGGTATATACAAGGTGTCCCAGAACAACGTACCATAAATTCTACAGGCTGGATTGAAGGCCAAAATAGGCCGATTGAAATCAACTTACCTCTATATAAAAATGCACCGTTGGGCCGTGAGAGAGCTATGAATAGTGATGGGGGGGGGGTTATTTAGCTGGGTATTCATAAATTGGGCATTTATCTGGGTATTTACCTTAATGGTAAGTACCCATCCAATAGTGGGTATTTATGAAAAACGATTTGAAATTGTCGATGGCACAAAAATGTAGTAAAATGTTTGACATCGCGCCAGATAATAGGAAAAGAAGCAGAAGAAGAAGAGAAACAATAACATAACCTCACTTTCTCAGTTTCACTTTTGCACTTTGCCACAAGTCTGAATAAAATGATGAAAAAGAAAGATCCAGCTCGGTCTTGATCTAATATAGAAAAAAAAGTGTTAGCTGTAATTACTGTAAAACCGAATACAAACACTCAAATGTCAAAAAAATACAAAAACATATACTAAAAATGTTTCATTTTGTTTTATAAGTGGGTAGTTTTTTTTTAAATATAGATTTTGTTGTTTATTGTAGTTTTTTGTCCAGGGTGTCATTTCTGTAGTACCAGATCCCAGACCTCTGGTCGATTTTGTTGAGTTCTTTGAGAGTTGTTCAATCTCAACAATGATTTTGTCAGAGGTTTTGGTTGTTTAGAAGGTTGTCAAATCCAAAAACCTGTTTTAAGACATTAAACTTGCAAAAATAGTGTAATAAAGTGCAATTTTCCATGTTTTCTGTTGAAAAGTTCATAAACACAAAATATCCTTATAAATACCCAGCTCCTAGGTTATTTACCCGGGTAAATACACCTCAATCATAAATATCCGGGTATCACCCATCACTAGCTATGAACAACAATTTCATTTCCAAATTGTCTTCAATATTTCGAAATCCTTGAAAGATACTGCTCTGAAATTGCTAGGGCAATGTACTATAGTACATGTCATACTAATTCAATCAATATACCTACTGGGAGTTATTATTTTGCATTCCCTTTGATAAAAATTGATGTAACTTTTTTTTTAGTACGGCACTTACCATATTTCGATATTTCAAAGAATGACAATAATAATTATGTAAAGGTGGCCTTCCACACCAGCTTTTTGCTGCTAGCTTTTCATGGTGAGCCAATCAGGTGTCTCCAAATTTAGCTGCTGCTTTCTCAAGTTCATGATGCTTGATGTAGGTCCAAGTTTTACTTTTCAACGGCAAATAGTTTCACATCTTTGTCTGATTTGATGCTATGCTATTTTAAAAAATATCTGAGAGAACGTCTGTCGAAGTTATTCATACTGTGACAGCAGTAATATTGGTATAATATTATAAAATAAAGAGTTCAATTTGCTTTTGCGGGTCGTCTAGCGACATTTTCGATAGGATCAACTAATGTGAGCAAAACATGGAACAAATCATGTCATCCTTAAATTTTTGAAGTATTTATGATAGGATGAACCCAAAATCGACTCCTTCTAGGTCTATCATTCAAAAAAGTCCCATAGTGTAGAGGTACTAGGCATCTGCCTTGCAATATTCTGGTTGCTGACGAACACCATCCATCACAATAATAATTACACAAATATTTGACTATGACATATCTTTTATGTCACAATCAAATCATGATTCAAATAATTACAGATCCTATACATCTGACATTTCATCAATCATTTGACGTACTCAGTTTTTTGTTTATATTTTTCTTTGGTTTTCAAGATGAATAACAAAATTCATTCTGGTGCTTCTCACCTTGTACGTTTTCATAATCACTGTTTTAAATTGTTTCTAATAGCACCAGTTTGGTTTTATTTTCCTTCGACAGGTGCTGCAGAAGCTCAGCTCGAAAACGAACGCGGCGGGGTGGGTGCCGAGCAGCGGCAACAGGACAGCGCAGGCGTTCAGCCAGCCGGGAAAGGGGGGGACCGGGGTCAGGATGCCTGCCGTACCTAACGCGCCCCTGCAGGGGTTGAAGACCAAGACGCAAATGTAAGGGTTACTTTTGTTTGCACCAATGTCATTTCTATTAACCGTCTCATAATCAAAATGGAAGCGATATCTCGACGGTTTTTTTTTCGCCAACTTTATTGAATGTTATGGTGATGACTGATCGATTTTCCTCTCTTCTTATTACTTGAAATCAATTATCAATTCGAATTATCTCAGGTTGAAACCTAGACCTGACCAGGATCAAGATGACACCTGGTATTCCATTTTCCCAGTGGAAAACGAAGATTTGGTCTACGGCCGTTGGGAAGACGATGTCATTTGGGATGCAGAAAATATGACCAAAGTACCGAAACCGCTCATTTTGACTTTGGATCCTAACGATGAAAATATCATTCTCGGTATCCCAGATGATATAGATCCGTCTAAACAGGTGGCAGGTAATGAATCTCAATATTTGATGTTATTCAGATGTCTCACTGAACTCAGTCTATATATTAATGTTTCCCTAATGCATTAGCATTTTCGAAAAAATATTCATGATTTATTGGTATCTTTTCATGTGACGTTTTAGTACAAAAAAACTAGATTTTTTTTCATAAATAATTTTTTGCGTGATATTATAATGGAAAGTATTGCTTCAAATAGAAACTCTCATTTAACCATTTTTGTGTGAAATCATCGTATTTTTTTATTTTAAGTGATGCATATTGAATATTAATCGACAGGAATCGACAACATCGCCAAAAAACATTTTGTAAACTTTTGAGACGTTATTCACAACACCAATGCAATACAATTGAAATAAGTGCATATATTCATTCGTACATCGATATGATACTGTCAACGAATATTCAAAAAATATAATTTTTTTTATAATTCTTCTATTTAACAAGAAATTCCATTCCAAAAATTGAACAAAAACGGAAGAATTATCAAGTACGCCGCTTTCATCAAATCAAGTTTGCCACTTTAAAACAATTTGAATTATTAAACTCCACGTAATTTTGCCTTCCGTACGGAAATTTGAATAGAGGTGACGTCAGATTTGCTACAGTATAGAACTTTGGGTGGAAAAAGGAGTTTCACCCCAAATTTTCTTCTGATCCCAATATTTTTTTCATTGGTGCCATTTGATATAATACGTCAATGGTTGACATAGTTGTATTCATTTCAATGTCACCCTGTATATACCTGAAATCACAATTATTATATCCTGAAATGAAATTATTTTATCACTATCCTAATTTACTTGGACTATAGATAAATACCTGTTCAGGAATTTATCAGTTAGAAGGGTGATGTAACTACTTAGTCATCAGAATGGTGAATCAAACATCAGTCATGCACTACTCAGTTTCATTTTCGATTCCATCGCATACGGTTGATTCAAGTGGTTCAAAAATTAACTTGTTTTATTTACAATTGAGAAATTGGAATTCATCGTTCAGTTGTGTGATCATATTGCCTTATTTGTGTCTGATAGGGTGTGTGTTTGTTTGTTTTGACGCTTTGCTAATTTCTTGAATGTTGTCCGCTTTCAGTATGGTGAGTATTTTTTCATTGTTTTCTATACCTTTTTTGTACTTATACCGATTTTTTGACAAATATGTCAAAATCGTGTGTCCACAAATGAAAATAATTATATTGTTTCTCGAATGAGAAACAAATATAGTTTTGTCATGAAGTCAACGACATTTCCGGAAAATGTTATCAGACAACTGGATAGATTTACTACCACTCCAATTTTATCCCAAGTCTAATGATATCAGCCTATCCAACCTACATAGGTTTTGTGAAACTGACTAAATGTCTACTTTCTGTGCATAATTTGACCCCTACCTACAGCTTCAACTATACGAGGTTGAAAAAAATTTCAAATATGAAAGTTGTAGTGTTTCATCTGCACTATCTTTTGGCAATTCTTAAATAAACAAATGCGAATCGCAAAATAGAAAAAAGAGGCCAAATCAGTTTATTGCTTAACGAGCACGGAATGATAGTGATTTTCCACGAGAACGAAGCTTGCAAGATGAGCCGTAGGCGAAAAAATGACAGAAATCGCTAATTTATTATAGGTCAGGCGACACCTGTGAAAGTCAAAATTCCCCACCCTCACGTGAAGAAATCGAAAATTTTGCTAGGAAAGGCAGGTGTCATCAATGTTCTTCAGGAAGATACTCCCCCACCTGCTCCAAAATCACCTGACAGAGACCCTTTCAACATTTCAAATGACATGTAAGTAAAACAAATCTGGGAAAACATTAAAAACTTTTAGCACTTGATAATATCAATAGTGAGTTATCTTCATTAAATAATTCCAGATAGAATCTCTCTGAATCATTAAAATGGATAACAAATGTACAGGGTGTTTCAGATTTTAACAGGAAAGATTTGATAGGCGATAGTACTCGCCAAAATAAAAAGAAAGTTCATATAAACTTGTATGTTTGGAATATTATTTTGCAGATTGTTGATGTGAGAAATATCATTTGCCCTTTTCCATTATCACCCTGTATATCACCTGTATGTAAATTCAGTGTGGTCGGTGACTGACCAATACTCAAAATCTTTAAATTATAATTATAATTGCTACATTAGAGTTATGATTTGGGTCAGGTCTTAATTTTTTGTCTTGAAAACTAAGCAAAAAATAGTCAGGAAACATGAAAGTTGTATTTTCTATTGTGAAATTGACATTGAAAATATATGTATCTGAGGGTTTTCGGGGTCGCAGATTATGATTCCTTCGTAAAAATCAGGGAATTCAAGGTGGCGGATTCAATATGGCGGACGAGCTATGTAATCATGATCCGATTCTATTCAAAATTTGTATCTGAGGGTTTTCGGAGTCTGATATTATAATCATATCATCAAAATTGGGAAATTGAAGATTGCAGATCCAATATGGCGGACGAGTTTTGTAATTATTATGATCCGATCTATTCAAAATTCGTATATGGGGTTTTCGGTGTCGGAGATTATGTATCGTCATCAGATTATGAATCATTCGTCAAAATTGGGCTATTCAAGCGGACTGAAAAAAATAATAAGTTACTTTGATTTCTCAGATATTATCAACCTCGCACCTCAGAAACGACTCTGAGACTGAAAGTGGGCGGGGCCAATCTGATACAGCACTCCACACCAGTGGTGGAATTGAGGGCGCCCTTCATACAGACCCACATGGGCCAGATGCGGCTCAGGAACTTCCACCGGCCGCCGATCAAGCGGTTCTCGCACGGGCCGTTGTCTCAGCCTGGGCCGCATGGGGTCATGGCCTTGGTGAAACACATCAAAAAGAAGGCAAAGGTACTAAAATATATGTATATTTTGCTAACCTTGATTTTTCCTAATCAATGTACTTTGTTTGTGCTGGAGATGTTCCTTGATCCTAGTTTATATGGTTCTTCTAGTTTGACCTACATACTGGGTATCCAGAGATGAAACCGACAAAGCTTATGGGGTTTTAAGGACTGTCAATATGATTGCAGAATGCCATATGCAAATGTTCCAAACCGCTTCGTTACTGACATACATAGTGATTTATAGATTTTGACAAAAAAATCAATCTGTCATATTAAATACAGGGACTACCCGATTGGGTTCAAATTTGGTAGATGAATTAAACGAATCAGTTTTGGACATTTGTATATTGCATTTTGCAATCATATTGGCAAGCCCTATAACCCCATAAGTTTTGTCGGTTTCATCTCTAAACACCCTGAATGTTGTACTTGATTTTTTTTCAGCTGTGTCTATTGCTCTCCTCCTGAATTACCTTAGATTTGTTGTTAGGAACTGAAAACTATAGAATGTGTGAGTTGAGGTGAAGGATTTTCAAAACATTCTCTGTATTTAATGTTTGCAGTTCACACATTCACTAGATTATCCTAATGAAAGTTGAAAGAAATTGATGAAGCACTGGAGTTCTGACTTCTGAAGAATGTTCTGAATAAATATCATTGTAATATTTATCACCAAAAACCAAAATTTTTTTAATTGGACCTGGATGTTTTGGTCGTGAATTCTGATTTTGATCTAAGGGAATCTGAAAGATTAGAAAATATAAATATGTTTCACTAACCTGGATTTTTCTCATCGACTGCACTTCATTCGTTATAGAGATGTTCCTTGAAACAAGCTTATATGATTCTCCTAGTCTGACCTACATATGCCTTATTTTTCAAGTATGTGTATATGAACAATTCACAAATTAGAAACAAATTCTTGAAGCACTTGAGTGATTTGTTCATCATATTTTTTTATCTGGACGTAGTTCTCCGTCGTAAATTCTGACTTCCTAATTTTCAGCAAAGAGAATCTGAAAGAATGGCTTCAGGTGGCGGTGATGTATTCTTTATGAGGGCTGCCGAAGATCTGACTGGTCGGGATGGAGATTTGATCCTCGTGGAGTTCTGTGAAGAGCATCCCCCTCTAATGAATCAGGTAAGAATCATGAATGTATGCCACAACCACTACAATAATAATGTTCAATTTGTTCGCGAATTTTCTCCTTTCAAATTGATTTTTCTAATATACCAAAGGTAATTTAAATGTGCTAGATGTTCCTTGTATCTAGTTTGGATGGGTCTCATGGTTTGACCTACATACATTTTGCTGTATACATAAATATATTGAAAATTATGTCTGAACCTGTTTTTCCTGACTAAGAATCTCTTTGACGCTTCTTTAAAGGTCGGTATGTGTTCGAAAGTCAAAAACTACTACAAGAGAAAAGCTGGGAAAGATTCTGGACCCCCGACATATAGATATGGAGAGACTGCTTATGCACATACTTCCCCATTTTTGGGAATTTTGCACCCCGGGCAGTCTATACAGGCGATCGAAAACAACATGTACAGGTAAATACAAGGCATTTCAAAATATATATGATTGATTATTCACACTAAGAAGATGATCCACCTCCATGTAAAATGTTGAAGTCAAATTTTGGCTCAGTTCTTGGCTGGCTGACTATCTAGGAATATTCTTCTTTCTGAATCACGAAAATAACTAACTTTGATACTCTGACTTTAAAATAATAAAATCAGGCCCTGATATGACATTCCTTCTTGCATAAAAACATCTAAAAATGAACTTTGAATATATTCTGCATTACCGATCTCTACCCTTGGCTACTCAACGAAAAGTAGTTCACCTTGTCGCTCATATATACCGCCCCCTACTGAATAGAATTTTACTTTGAATAAAAAAATGTCTATCGCACTTCATTACTGAGTAATTGATCATGAAAGTTTGAATAAAAAATTTCATGTATAACTTTCAAACGGTTACCATGGTAACAATGATATCCGGCCAACTAAATTAACTCATACTAATGCTCATTTTGATATGTAAACGGCTGTTCAGTGAATATTCTTTATACAGGATAGGTCGATTTTTTTTCTTTCAATAAAAGCATTTTTGACAGAGGCACTTCAAGTCCGTCCACACCACTCAAAATACTGACAGGTACAACAAGAGGAAGGAGCTGTGGGTGTCGGCTTCATTCTGTTCTCACAGATGACACTTGATTAGGAAAGATAGTATCATTGAATGTAGCCGATAGTATTTCATTGATTCAATGATATTTTCGTTCAGGATCGAGCTCTATTCGAGATATTTCAATGCACAAAACCATAACCTGTCAGAATGAAGCCAACTACCCTATGCATTCCTGCTCCGAGTGCATTTGTGGTTATGTATGTTTTTGTTTACCAGTTTTATTTTTTCTATTTTTTTCATTCGTAAGCTATTTATTAGCTATTCGTAAGCTATTTGCTAGCTATATTCTTCACCATCAGCTATTTTCAGAGTAGATTCAGAATGTACGCCACAGTTTGCCGACCCGAAAATTAGAAATTGCTTTAATTTGAAAATGAAAATGACTTGGACTTTATCGGTCGCCATTCTGTACAGCGTGGACATAAAACTGGAGAGTTCCGAACTTATTTTATGAAAATTCATCTGAAGGAAACTTCCCCATTGTGACGGTCGTATATAGGTAATAAATGAAGTATGGTTTTGAGAATATCGTTTTCTATGGAGGAGTTGATTTATCTCTCTCTTACAATTTTTATTGAATAAATCATAGCAATAAATTACCTTTAGGGCGCCAGTGTACGAACACCAAATCCCCGAAACGGATTTCTTGATAATAAGAACTCGTCAGCAGTACTATATCAGGGAGTTGGACGCTCTGTATGTGGCCGGTCAACAGTGTCCCTTGTACGAAGTCCCCGGACCGAATTCGAAGAGAGCCAATAATTTCGTCAGGGATTTCCTTCAAGTAAGCGAAAAAGCACAAAAAATCATAACGTGACTATTCAAAAAATAAATGCCCAACACTGGAAACGTCAAATCGAAATTTATTGATCCATTTTAATTAATCATATTTTTTTATTGCCTCGACCGATTTCAATTCTTTTTCAGTTAATGATTGTTCGTTTTATTGACTATCTCACCTGTGGGAATAATAATTGCATCTCTTCAGAATGAGATTCTAAAGGATGATGAAGATGTGCAGTTTTCCAAACGTTTCAAAGGCCTCCCGTTTGAGAGGGAAATTTTTCTAATTTCTTCTAACGCTAAAACATATTGCACCATCTGTTTTGGAATTGTTGGAGTTTTCACTTATGATACCAAGAGAGCTTCAATTTCAAATATTAACGAAAAATGTTTCGAGAAAACGATTATTTTGAAAATTTTCCCGAGTTGAAGACGAGGGAGAATTTTATTAAGTATTCGTGAATAAAATATGATTAAACGCCTCAAGTTTTTCACAAATTCATTAAGCAAAAGTTGGTAGGAATATATTTTCTTATATGGAACTTATCAACTTATAGAATGAATTCGACGTAATCTGAAATTGAATGTCAATGTCATTTTACCTATAAACGTCAAAAAATGTCACTCCTCCAAGGAAGAGGAAAAAATTTCCAGGAATTTGTTTAGTTTCTATGGTAACGGCACAAAATACAGACTTTTAAATGGTCAAAAATGTTGGGTGTGAAATTTTCACTAATTACTGAAATTTGAAAATGCATAATTTGTTGCTCTAATTTCTACTGACTTTGTGTGCTTGTCATTCTAGTTCAAACGGGGGTCAAAAATCTTGAAATGATGCATGATCACAATATCCAATGATATAGGGTGACCCTCAGAAAACAATTATGTCACTGAATCAAAAAAAAAATTGAAAAAGATCGAAGATTTACATCGATATTTTTCAAAACAACATATACATTAATTTCTTTGAAGACAAGTTTAATTTGACAGTTGTCGTTACCTGCTAGGAAACTTCAAGGTGGCATTTTGTATTATTTTTTAACCAGGAAGCTAACCTAATCTCACATATTAACAAAAAAAACCATAATTATGATGTGTGCTTTACTGATGCCATCTCGATAAATTCACATTCTTAAGGCTTATCAATTCATCAATGAACAAAATTTTGATGTGATTCATAAGTATTATATAACGATGACTGGACGTTGAAATGTTTAGAATTGATGGCCAGTCATTGCTTTACCGTACCTCCTCCAGATTGGATGTAAATAAATATTCATAGTGATAATTATTGTGTACGATTGTAAAAAGTCAAATATCGATGGGTGATTGTCGTTTTCGGTTCAGGTTTTCATTTATCGCCTGTTCTGGAGGAGCAGGGACATTCCCAAAAGGATAAAAATGGACGATATCAAGCGGGCCTTTCCCTCACATTCTGAGAGCAGCATCAGGAAACGGCTGAAGCTGTGTGCCGATTTCAAAAGGACAGGTATTAGTACTTTGCCTAGTTTTTATCATCAGTATTTAGCTTTTGAAATAGAAAGTAAATTTATATTCTCGCACACATTGGAGAAGACTAGTAATCATTTATTTCAGCTGGAATGGAGAATGTCACATAGTAGGAGTTCCGAATGTATGTTGAGTAATGTCAAATTATTAGTATAGGGTAGTGCCTAAGTTAGGTGTACTTGTTTTCACCTTTTTCTCATTATACTTGAAAGTTGTTGTGCATAGTTGTGCAGATTAGTCATTTTTTTTTATTAGTATGAGAAAGGACTTGCACGTCATATTCAACATAAAGATGTAGACTTATTATGAGTGTTTTTCTTCTAGTTTCTCCTAGTAGAGGTAGCTCGTTTTTTTTTTATTCAATGATATAAACATAAACTTTTGGCAAATATTGTATAAGAAACATAAAACCGCAGTTTTTGAGAGGCAATGCAATTTTCTAGTTTAACTGGAAACTACGCCGATTTCCTCTATGCTACAGAAAATGAAATTTTGGCATGGCAGCAATATTACTACTACATGCACAATCTTCCATTTGATATTACTATTTGTATTTGTTATAATCTCCAAAAAATTGGATTTTTCTATTCCAAAATGTTTGTTCTCATCATTTTGATGGTTAGGGCTTCCCAGTCATGACTGCACAAGCCTCATCAAGTAGTAACCATAGCTAACAAATTGTTTTGTTCATTCTAAAGGGATGGATTCAAACTGGTGGGTGATCAAGCCTGAATTTAGGTTGCCGACAGAGGAAGAGATCCGTGCGATGGTATCGCCCGAACAGTGTTGCTCCTATTTCAGTATGGTAGCTGCAGAACAACGCCTCAAAGTGGGTATTCATTCATTCATTTAATTATCTATTTATTATTTGGAATATACAGTATGGTGGAAATGTATGGAATAAATTCGTTATCTCTAGCGCATATGAATTTACAGAAAAATCCTGAGACAGATCGATTTTTATTTTCAAATTGACACATCTTGATATACATACGGAGTTTGTAACGTCATCCGCGTAGTTGTGGTGACGTCATCGTTTTTTTTTTAATGGAAACGTCCCCTTTTTATTTATTTTTTCGGAAGGTATATTCATTGTCTATCCAACCATATACTGATATTAGCAAAATAAAGTGATGCAGGGTGAGAAAAAATTATTAATTATTTTATATTTACAACGGAAACCCTTACATGCAGACTCAAATTCTTTGATTCCTTCATGCCCTGGAAACCACAAAAATGTGACTTTGTTGTTCATTCCCAGTTGCATCGAAGTAATGAACATAAATATTGTTTATTTAGCAATGTCTCATAACAAGATCCGATCAGAATCCCCCCTCTAACAAACTAGTTCAAAACATTGTTGTCAGCTCAAGATTCCGCCATTTTTCAACAATCACATAGCTCATAACATTCTTGTAGTTATGTTATAGTCATAACAAAATTGTTAGTTTAGCAGTAAGGAGATCCGAACAGAATCGGCGCGAATGTACCCCGAAGTCCTCGCCCAGAATCGTCTATAACCTCGTTCAACCACTCTCTTTCCCTTAATTCTAGGATGCCGGTTATGGCGAAAAGTTCCTATTCACGCCGGCCGAGGACGACGACGAGGAGATGCAGCTGAAGATGGACGACGAGGTGAAGGTGGCGCCGTGGAACACGACCCGCGCCTACATACAGGCGATGCGCGGCAAATGTCTGCTGCAGCTGACCGGGCCTGCGGATCCGACGGGGTGCGGCGAGGGGTTCAGTTATGTGCGGGTGCCGAACAAGCCGACGCAGAGCAAGGAGGAGCAGGTCGGTAGTAAATGTATCCATAAATAATAATATGCCTTTTTTCTGCGACCGACACAAAAGTCGTCCATTTTGATACCGAAATTAGCTCTTGAATTGACGTTTCTATCACTGAGACAAAAATTTTTAGTTTAGTTCCTAGGAATTTGAGGTTTAAACTTACGAAGATTGTTGTTTTTAGGAGTCGCAGCCAAAGAGGACGGTGACTGGTACTGACGCAGATTTGCGTCGGTTGTCGCTGAACAATGCCAAGGCGTTGCTGAGAAAGTTTGGGGTGCCGGAAGAAGAGGTAAGTGAATTGAGTGTATTATGTGCTTTTCCGTCCTTAAGGAATTTAAAACTACTAGGAAAAAGCCAACTACAATTTGCACACAACAACTCGGCATTTAGGGAAGATTCACTTGCAGCTGTATTCGTCTTCACACATCGTTGCATAGATATCGGGAGGATGTAATTCAATGTTCTGCGTGGCATATAGCCAGGAAAGTAATTGTTTTTCTCTCGTTCCGTTCATTTTATGAACAATTGTGGTAATGACTTTGAGGTTATCCCTCTTGGTGAATCGAAATTTTTCACCAAATTTCTCAGAAAGACCTACCGTCAAAATATAAGAACTGATAACAAATACCATGATATTCCACGGATCCTAACGACTGCGCCATCTTGACTTGAATTAATCAAGGAATTTTGATTTGTCCAATTTTACTTTCACATACGATTGTCTAACCATGTCATGAAGAATTGGATTGGGATGATAAATTACCAGAATTTATAAAAAACTCATTGACACTGAATATATTCAAGATAAAATTGACACAATATTTGTTGGGTGTAGGAACCTGAGTGATGTGGAAAGAATTTTTTGTTCAATTTAAGCTGCATGTACTTGTATGTTGAATGGTATGTCTTTTATTCAGTATTCGTTTTCATATATGTTATATTCATGACTTTTTTTTCTCATTACTTGTCTACTCTTGTATTAGTTATTTGCTAAACAAAGGAATTATATATATAGATTTTAGGTATCCATGATATGAATTGTAGTGACTAAACTGAGATATATTGGACAAATATGTAGAAGCATTAGAAGAAGATTTGAAGAACATATTGCTCACTTCCGATATAATCATTTCAGATAATTGAGTTGTACACATTAGTCGAATTTACGCCACATACCTATTTTATATTGATCATTCTGAGTATTATATAGTATTTGATGCAATCATTCGATATTTAAAATCACCAGAAATATTTTTTTCAATAATTTAAATCGGCACCTTCTAAAAACGCCAGCGCCCGATGTTGACATACACCTTCTCACGTGGCAAACGTGATATTTGTTGATATATTCCTCTATTCCTCATCAACCAATGCGAGCATAACGACATATTTCGACACCTGGAGCTAAAATCTACTACTTTTTCCCTTGTATAATAAATAACTATTTTTGTTCTTATCATTTTCTTTCTACTTCCTTTTGGTAGGTATGCAGTGATTTTTTTTCCACCACTGCATCAATTCGGTGGTATATCTGTATTAGTCAGTTAGTTTTTGCTACCTCAAACTGTATGAACTCCTTGTTTCAATAATTATATAAAAATTGTTCAGAGCTCCGAGGAATAAACGGTTTACGAGAGTGAACTGGTTAGGGTTAGTACTTCGAAATGATGAAATAAAAATGTTCACTGAAACAGGTGCATTTAAGATTTATTGAGCATGTAACAAACAATAGAGAATTGAACAGTTCGGAAAGCATCATCCTGTGAACACTTTCCAGATCAAAAAACTCTCTCGCTGGGAAGTCATCGACGTAGTCCGCACCCTGTCCACGGAAAAAGCCAAAGCCGGGGAAGAAGGCATGGACAAGTTCTCGCGTGGTAACCGGTTTTCGATCGCCGAGCACCAGGAGCGCTACAAGGAGGAATGCCAACGGATATTCGACTTGCAGAACCGCGTTTTGGCCAGCGGCGAGGTTCTCAGTACCGACGAGGGCGAGAGCTCTGAGGACGAGAGCGACGAGGATATCGAGGAGATGGGCAAGAACATCGAGAATATGCTGGCCAACAAGAAGACCAGCACCCAGGTAGGTTCTTTTGTTGGTTTGTTTTGAATGGAAACCTTAGTAGGCGTGGTATAACATAACATAAGATCTTGACGAGATCGGAAAGAACATTGAGATTATGCTGGCTAACAAGAAGACCAGCACCCAGGTAGGTTCTTTTGTTAGTTTGTTTTGAATGGAAATATTAGTAGGCGTGGTATAATGTAAAGATCTTGACGAGATAGGCAAGAACATCGAGATTATGCTGGCCAACAAGAGGACCAGCACCCAGATAGGTTCTTTTGTTCTAACAGGGTTGTTGGTCTAGGTGAAAACCTAGTAGGCGTGGTATAATAAAACACAAAGATATCGAGGAGATGGGCAAAAACATCGAGAACATGCTGGCCAACAAGAAGACCAGCACCCAGGTAGGTTATTTTGTTGGTTTGTTTTGAATGGAAACCTTAGTAGGCGTGGTATAACATAACTCAAAGATCTTGACGAGATGGGGAAGAACATCGAGATTATGCTGGCCAACAAGAAGACCAGCACCCAGGTAGGTTCTTTTGTTGGTTTGTTTTGAATGGAAACCTTAGTAGGCGTGGTATAACATAACTCAAAGATCTTGACGAGATGGGGAAGAACATCGAGATTATGCTGGCCAATAAGAAGACCAGCACCCAGGTAGGTTCATCTGTTGGTACAGGATTGTTGGTCTAGGTGAAAACCTAGTAGGCGTGGTATAATAAAACACAAAGATATCGAGGAGATGGGCAAAAACTTCGAGAACATGCTGGCCAACAAGAAAACCTTCACCCAGATAGGAGCTTTTGTTGTAAGAGGATTGTTGGTCTAGGTGAAAATCTAGTAGGCGTGGTATAATAACACTCAAAGATATCGAGGAGATGCGCAAGAACATCGATAATATGCTGGCCAACAAGAAGTACCAGCACCCTGGTAGGTTCTTTTGTTGTAACAGGATTGTTGATCTAGGCTAGGTGAAAACCTAGTAGGCGTGGTATAATAAAACACAAAGATATCGAGGAGATGGAAAAAAACATTGAGATTATGCTGGCCAACAAGAAGACCAGCACCCAGGTAGGTTATTTTGTTGGTCAATAAAATGAAGAGATTTTGTATTTCGTGTAAAATTCATTATAAAATCGCAAAGCGGCTTGGGCTAAAAAACCATCATCAGTGCTATACCTGGAAGTAAGTAACATTTATGAAATTTCAAAAAGACAAACCCGAAAGTGCATATTACTTACTCGTTGAGTATTTACAAAAAGGTCCAAACATTAGTAATCGACATCATTATGGTACAAACGGAATTAGGAACAGAAATATATTTAACAAAAAAGATCCCTAATGGGTTTTTGTGAAATTTTTCATAAATACATGTTGTAAATTGTAAATTGTTCACTGCAGGTTCAAGAAGAGCACGAGGGAACTGAACATATTGGATCCTATTGGATCGGTAAACTGGCAATATTATACCGATAGTCAATGGCGAACCAGGATATTCTCCACTAGAATGTGGCTTTTTGTAGTTTTATTATTGTTATAATGATGTTGGAATCTATATTCTCTGTTTAGTTGTCACTAGAGAGAGAAGAACAGGAGAGACAAGAGTTGAGAAAGATGATCATGGAAGGCGAGAAAGAAAGGCAAAAGGACAAGAAAAAGAGTGAAGAGGATCAAAGTGAAGATACAAATTTCAGTCAAGGTAAATTCCTAAATAGTTCAGATTAGTAAGATATTGAAGATTTGATTTATGCCATCTGGAAGAAGATGAAATTTATGAGGTAACACATACTATTTAATGGTATAAAAAGCAAATATGGCGCAAATCTCTGAGAATAGTAAACTTATTATATTTCTGACAACCCCAACTACTTTGCCATGATTAGTTATCTGTTTAGGGAATTTCAAATTTGCTAGATAACCAAGAAAATGGATAAAAACTAAATCAATGATTTTCAGTTTTTTCAAAATATTTCAGGCTGACATTTTTCCAAATCGCAATACTTCGTCTCGGTTAACTAACTAATCTCACGACAGGAATGAACCTCTTCCAGCTCGGTGTACTGTAATATACTAGGTTTGTTCACGTTCACAAAATTAACATCAGAAGCATGCGCAGTGACAAAGAAGTGTTCGCGTTTCCTCAGGACTATTTTGAATTCCACAGATCATGTGTTCTCGTTTCACACGAACTAGTTTGGGATAGTTTCGAATCGGTCCAAAGCAGTACGAGCCTCTAGGCAAGAACTGCCCATGACTGTCGTGAATAATTTTGGATTCACATGCGTAAATGCAACAGATTTTCAACCTTTGACTCCTTTGAGCATTTTTAGTTAAGAGATACACTCCAGGTTTATGAACAATGGGCATATTAGCTCCAGCTTATCATCATCTTCAAGTTCATATGATACCATACGAGATAACGAACGTGGAAAATGATGGTTCTAAATGAATCTCTACTCGGATAAAGAATTCAGGCATCATTTTTGGTAGGTATAAATGCGTATGAATATGTTAGTGAAGAAGGTTTATGTGCATGTCCTGAATTTCAGGATTCTCTCATGTTGACATCAACATAATAACCCTGACCTAAATATGCCGTAAGCACAGAATACCCAACAATCAGAATAGCATCTCTCGCGCGGGAGTGGGTTCGCGCATTTGAACGGCGTAGATTGTTGGTCATCTTCCTGGGTTACTTGGTTACATGTTTATCGAATTCTGAGCTGTGGAATGATCGTGTGAAATATTCAGATATTCAAGTGCATATTCTATATTTTCTGTGTTATGTTGTTATTTCGGTTGTACTGTTTTAGTAAGTTTTGGTGCCTTTCCCTAATTTGGTTGAGAATAAGAAAGCCGATTATAGATTCTTTATCTACCTGCTTCATCTGTAATTGTAGGCATGAGTGCTAAAAAAAACTTGAAGGTGGTCATGTATGTGCTGCTACAGGATGCAAACACAATTCTGAGACTTGGTTTTATTCCTCATCTGAACAGAGTCAGCTGAATGAATATACTCTGTATACCTATTCACCAAGCAAAACTGCAATTGAGAACAAAAATGAGTTTGGGTTTTCCAAAAAACAACTTGAGATTATAATCTACTGAAAACATGGTCAAATCTATCAATTTCAATGTTTAGCAATGTTTGTGTTCAAACCTGTCCTACTGAAAATAAAAGTTAGCTTTCGTAAACAATTTTTTATTGAACTAAGTGTGAGTGAAATTTTGTAAGAATTGAATACATTTTACTGGTATCTATAAAAGACACACAAAGTGAATAAATTCAGTTGGTACCATCCTGTCATTTCCCTTAGAACAGCCCTGCTTGCTAACCCAAGAACATGGCGGAGCAGAGAAAACATATCCTAGAATATCAAAGGCGCCGACCAGAGAAGCACTTCTGATTGTTGGGTATTCTGTGCCCTAAGAAAACGCGATTTCGTTCATCTGGTTTCAAAACTATTCCCGATGTGTTTCGGATTTAATCTGAGGCGTACCTGATTTTGCGCAGTCCAAGGACCGTTTCAATAATTTGGAACGCAGACAAACCTACCATTGCATTCTTAGCAATGAAAAATTGTGTTGTTTAAGGTCGGGTATTGAAGATAATCCGCACCTTCCGAGACCACACCGGCAAAGAGTACACGCGAGCGGAATTCGTGCGAAAAGCCGCGGTGATCGACGCCTACGTCAAAATCCGCACCACCAAGGACGAGGCGTTCATCAAGCAGTTCGCCACTTTAGATGAAGCGCAGAAGGAGGAGATGAAGCGCGAGAAGCGTCGCATCCAGGAGCAGCTGCGCCGCATCAAGCGCAACCAGGAGAAGGAGAAGATGGGCGGGCCGCACGCCCACACGCCAGCGCCCATAGTGCCGCCGCCCGGGGCGGTCGAGAAGCTGCCCAATCCCAACGAATGTAATAATTGGAGAAAAATTGGTGTTGCTGTAGCTTTAACTGTAGTTATTGACGTATTGAAACGAATTTTGATCCAAAACACGTATAAAAACGGGAAATTAGTGTTGCTGTAGCTTTAGCTGTAGCTGTTGACGTATTGAAACGAATTTTGATCCAAATCACGTATATAAACGGAAGATTAGTGTTGCTGTAGCTTTAGTTGTAGACGTATTGAAACGAATTTTGATCCAAATCACGTATATAAACGGAAAATTAGTGTTGCTGTAGCTTTAGCTGTAGCTGTTGACGTATTGAAACGAATTTTGATCCAAATCACGTATATAAACGGAAAATTAGTGTTGCTGTAGCTTTAGCTGTTGACGTATTGAAACGAATTTTGATCCAAATCACGTATATAGGCAGAAAATTAGTGTTGCTGTAGCTTTAGCTGTAGCTGTTGAAGTATTGAAACGAATTTTGATCCAAATCACGTATATAAACAGAAAATTAGTGTTGCTGTAGCGTTAGCTGTAGCTGTTGACGTATTGAAACGAATTTTGAACCAAATCACGTATATAAACGGAAAATTAGTGTTGCTGTAGCGTTAGCTGTAGCTGTTGAATTGAAACGAATTTTGAATCAAATCACGTAAATAAACAGAAAATTAGTGTTGCTGTAGCTTTAGCTGTAGCTGTTGACGTATTGAAACGAATTTTGATCCAAATCACGTATATAAACGGAAAATTAGTGTTGCTGTAGCTTTAGCTGTGGCTGTTGAAGTATTGAAACGAATTTTGATCCAAATCACGTATATAAACAGAAAATTAGTGTTGCTGTAGCGTTAGCTGTAGCTGTTGACGTATTGAAACGAATTTTGATCCAAATCACGTATATAAACAGAAAATTAGTGTTGCTGTAGCGTTAGCTGTAGCTGTTGACGTATTGAAACGAATTTTGATCCAAATCACGTATATTAACGGAAAATGTCGAGTTGTAATTTTTGGCTGACGATTGTGGATGTATTATGGAATAGCGAAATTAATTCGTTTCCAAAATAAGTGTTGACCGACGATCACAGCGATCTACAGGGCCTGGTTCATTCGCCAAAACTTGAATTTTGGGAGAAGCTGCCCAATCCCAACGAATGTAATAATTTGAGAAACATTAGTGTTGCTGTAGCTTTAGCTGTTGGCGTATTGAAACGAATGTTGATCCAAATCACGTATATACAAACGGGAAATTAGTGTTGCTGTAGCTTTAGCTGTAGCTGTTGACTTATTGAAACGACTTTTGATCCAAATCACGTATATAAACGGAAGATTAGTGTTGATGTAGCTTTAGCTGTTGGCGTATTGAAACGTATTTTGATCCGAATCACGTATATAAGCGGAAAATTAATGTTGCTGTAGCTTTAGCTGTAGCTGTTGACGTATTGAAACGACTTTTGATCCAAATCACGTATATTAACGGAGGATTAGTGTTGCTATAGCTTTAGCTGTAGCTGTTGAAGTATTGAAACGAATTTTGATGCAAATCACGTAAATAAACAGAAAATTAGTGTTGCTGTAGCTTTAGCTGTAGCTGTTGAAGTATTGAAACACGAATTTTGATCCAAATCACGTATATGAACAGAAAAATTAGAGTTGCTGTAGCGTTAGCTGTAGCTGTTGACGTATTGAAACGAATTTTGATCCAAATCACGTATATTAACGGAAAATGTCGAGTTGTAATTTTCGGCTGACGATTGTGGATGTATTATGGAATAGCGAAATTAATTCGTTTCCAAAATAAGTGTTGACCGACGATCACAGCGATCTACAGGGCCTGGTTCATTCGCCAAAACTTGAATTCTGGGAGAAGCTGCCCAATCCCAACGAATGTAATGATTGGAGAAAAAATAGTGTTGCTGTAGCTTCAGCCGTAGCTATTAGCGTATTGAAACGAATTTTGATCCAAATCACGTATGAAAACAGAAAATTTCGAGTTGTATTTTTCGGCTGACGATTGTGGATGTAATATGAAATAACGAAATTGATTCGTTTCCAAAAAAAAGTGTTGACCGACGATCACAACGATCTACAGGGTATGGTTCATTCTCCAAAACTTGAATTTTGTGAGAAGCTGCCTAATCCCAACAAATGTAATAATTGGAAAAAAAATTGTGTAGCTGTAGCTGTTGACGTATCAAAACGAATTTTGGTCCAAAACACGTATAGAAAAGGAAAATGTAGAGTAATTCTCGGCTGGCCATTGTAAATGTAATTTGGAATAACGTGAATTTTGTGAGGGGCTGACCAATCCCAATGAATGTAATAATTGGAAAAAATTAGTGTAGCTGTTGAATTTCGGTTCAAAACACGTATAAAAGCAAAAAATCTAAACTTGACGAAGTTAATTCGTTTCCAAAAAAGTGTTACCGACATTTACGAACGAGCTTCAAGGCATTCTCAATTCTCCAGAACTTGAATTTTGTGAGAAATCATACTTTCATCAACCGTAAAACCCGAAAATTCACATGGAATGTTTCACCTTACTTTACAACAATCCAGGGACACATTGTATATACGGCTGGACCGAAGGTTGATGTTTATAAGATTATCCATTTATTTTAGTTTCCATGATGCCGACTACCCCTACAACAAGCAAAAATATAACTAATTCTCCACCTAAGTCACGAAGGAAGACCAAGTTGAAGCCTGATTTGAAACTGAAGTGTGGGGCTTGTGGCAATGTTGGGCATATGAGGTATACACTAGTATCATAAATTCCTTCATCTATGATAGCATTTTTCTAAAACCCTTGTATCTCACAAGAATGAAGTTGTGTGACATAAGAAAGTATGTAATTTAATAAGAAAAAAATGAAAAATTATAGAATGTATCAACTCTGCCATTTCATTGGTTGATTCTCAAGTTAGGCATGTTTCGTGTCGCCCTGTATAATATGGAGGCATGACTTATTTTCTCGAAATTTCAACTTCTTATTTACTATAATAATCGTGAATCATTCCCCCACTTTTTTTTCACGAACTCAGTGGTATAAGATATATTCGTATAGCTATGATGAATCCTTGTAATACTGTGAACTGTGGAAGTGACTATTAAATTAATGTTGAGTGTTGACGGTGATATTTTCAAATTTTTTAAGGACCAATAAGGCTTGTCCACTTTATCAGACCACTACAGGAATGATAGCACCGATAAATGTTGCCATGACAGAAGAACAAGAAGAAGATATTGAAAAACAGTTGAACACTGATGATGAAGACCTAGTCAACGTAGACGGCACTAAAGTTAAACTTTCCGGAAAGTTACTGAAGGTATGAACTCTCCATTCTTCCAATTTTCCTTTGGAAATATATTTCGAGTTTAGACAGTCAGCTTGAACTCTTGTATCCAAACTGTTATTTCCACTGTTTTTGACAGATATTTCAAATTGCTGCTTTTCGGATTCTTATGGTTTATATTGGCAAGCAAAAAATGTACATCTTCTTTGTTATGATACTCAAAAAAATGTTTTTGGATCTTTCTTTTATTTTATTCAGACCAGAGAAGAGTCCCTCTTATTCTGATATCTATTATGGAACAGAATAAAAACGGTATTGGAGTTTGATGCGAACAGCCCTTCTGCCCCGAATAAGTTTCAGAAATACATTCTGAGAATTGTAAGAGATCGAACGGAATAAATAAATATCAAGAACTCGAGAATAGTAAATTTGGTCATAATTTCGATATTTTCTCTAGTTTATCGACAATCTCGGTCTTTTGAACTTTGATTGATTACCTGGGTCATAATCAACTGCATTTCGAAGAAGCTGATTCTCATGAACCCCAGCTTTTTCGAAAGTCTTGATTTTTCTTTCTCTAATGACTGACACGATTGAAGGAAGTTTCAGATCCCTGGCGATCTCGTTATTCCGAACATACCAAGGAGATCCTGTCACCATTCTCGCGACTTTGTTTTGTAATGTTTGTAATCTGGTGATATGAGATTTAGCTGTGTGGCCCCAGACTACTGAGGCATACAGTAAAATTGGCCTGATAGCCATGATATAAATATTCAATTTTTGTCTCAAAACCCAATTTACTTCGCCTGTTTAGAAATTCAAAAAAATGTGTAAACGTCTGTAAAGTCGAGATTTCTATTGTGGTTTGATGGAAGTTTGGCAACAAAATAAGCCTGGAGGTAAAACAACCTCACTTTTATTCTGGTCGAAACATTCTTAGCATAAAATGAACTACGTAACACTGATTTCATCGCACCCCAAAATTTTGCCTCTGTTGAAATATGAATAACTTTTTTCTGCTTTGAACGATTTGTATTCGGATCACACTGTTCGCTAGCCCAGTCCTTCAGCTATAATCTCGTAATTCTTTAAAACATAAGGTTCTTCACATAAAATCGCTACAGGGTGTTACCTGAAACTGCAAAATTTCGGAAATTTCAAAAGTATCCCAAATGAAGGAAAACTTTTTTTTTTTTAACTTTGACAGTAGAGGCATGTAGATGATCTCATTATCTTGGAACAGTTCCCGAATTGTCTCCTTATCTCTTTTATTTACAGAGTGATCTCGAAAAATTTACTTTTTGGTTTTGCAGTCTTAACTTTTTTCCTCGTCAACCGATTTTTGAAATCTCAGGCTCATATTGAAGCTTAAACTTCAGATGAAGAAGTATGAAGATCAGAATTGACTTAAGATGAATATTATACAGTGTGTCTCACTTCTAATGGAAACACCCCTGTATCTTTTGTAATTGTTCAGTTAGGATTCTGGAATTTTTTGCAAGAGCGGTAGATACACTGAAAATAGACACTATGACTAAGTGGAGCCGTCTCCAGTGATATACACTGCTTGTCAACAGCCATAGAACTACCCACAAAAATGATATAAGGAGGCAAGATTCGTTGAAAATCACTTCGGATTCGGAATCAGGACGTCCCTTTTGCTTCCTCCTGCAAAATTCAGAACCCTACCTCAATGATTACGTGAGATACGGGAGTGCTTCCATGAGCAGTGACAAAATTTAATTTTCTTGATCTGAAAATTTTACAGGATTTATATGTATAGTCAGTGAATTGGACGTCTTGATTTCGAATCCGAAGTGATTTTCAACCTATCTTGGCTTATAATAACATTTTCCGGAAATTTCGTTGGTTCCATGGCTGTTGGCGAGCAGTGTTTATCACTGGAGATGACTCCACTTGGTCATAGTGTTTATTTTCAGTATATCTTCCGCTCCTGTAAGTTTCAGAATGCTAACTCAACAATTACGAAACATACAGGGGTGCTTCCATTAGAAGGGAGATACACTGTATAATGTTCATCTTGAGTCAATTCTATCATATCTCTTCATCTGGAGTTTCAGCTTCAAAATGAGATTTTAAAAACGGGTTGACAAGGACAAAAGTTATGACTGCAAAACCAGAAAGTTATTTTTTGAGATCACTCTGTAAATAAAAGAGATAAGAAGACAATTTGAAAAATGTCCCTAGGTTATGAGATCATCTTCATGCCACTGCTGTCGAAGTTGAAAAAAAAAAAAGTTTTTGTTCATTTGGATCCTTTTGAAAATTCCGAAATTTTTCACAGTTTCATTTTTTAAAGGAGTACGAGATTATAGCAAAAAGACTGGGCTAGCGAACAGTGTAATCCGAATTCAAATTGTTCAAAGCAGACCAAAGTTATACATATTTTAACTGGGACAAAATTTTGGGGTGCGACGAAATTAATATCATAAAATACTAAGACACTTCATAGTGCACGATCGATCAGAAAATTCGACAAATACAAGTATAATGATCTCCATATTCCAACTGATTGAATGAATTCTCATCATTACATCTCAATAAATTATATCGCATCCCAACACTTTCACTTCCTTTTTCTTGCCTTCGTTTCATCAACATATCTCGTTTTGATGATAGAATGAAGGATCCGCATTTTCTTTCAATTTAATGGTATGTTCCACTATCAAATCTTCACTTTTGAAGTGCACCTATTATGTCAAAATTGAAATCAGAAATGATATTATTCCTTCGAATATGCATCATATTCAATCGATAAATTCAAATATTGAGTACTTTGCAAATTTCGCTAGCTGAACTCAATTTCCACAATGGCCGCTTCATATTTTGTTTTTATTTCTGTAGCTGTTGTTTATCATGGGGAAAATGGAATAAATGAAATGATTTTATTTTATTCTGGCAGTTTTCAACTACACAATTAGCCATTTTAATTTTTGAAAAACTGAATTTTCAAATAATTCGATGTCATGTACGTTCATGAACTGTCAGTGCCGCCCAAATTGTTCAGTCATTCAAAATTTTTAGGGTTATGCCTTTTATCGCTGCTTGTCATAGTGTCCGTACTCTTATTACAGCAAAACTGTCAAATACATACAGGGACTCTATGTTTTACTACTTGTTTTTACCATAATCATCCCAAAATCTTTCAAGACTTAAGCATTTGACACTTGTTTCTGGATATGATTTGTGTAGCATGCTGAGGAGATCAAACGGAGAAGTTTGATGCTGAAAGTGCCAAAAGATGCTCTTGGTAAAAAGAGGAGAAGGGCCAACAGCGACCTACACTGTGATTATCTGAAGAAACACAGCAGGCCCGCGAACAGAAGAAGAACGGATCCTGTCGTTGTACTATCTACAATACTAGAAAATATCTTGAACGAAATGAGGGATATGCCCGATGTGCAACCGTTTTTGTTCCCTGTTAATTCAAAGGTGACATCTCTTCCTTCATGTTACGCTAACCCTGGTTGATACTTTTGTTTTGATGGTGTTTTCAGTTGGTGATGGATTATTATAGAATTATTCAAAGACCCATGGATCTTCAGACAATTCGCGAAAATCTGAGACAGAAAAAGTACCAGAGCAGAGAAGAATTTCTCGCTGATGTGAATCAAATTGTTGAAAATTCTAGTTTATATAATGGTGAGTGCACTATAACAGAAGTACCAGGTGAACAACTAAGATCGTCTGTTGGCGTGATCTGGAGTATCAATAGATATCGTGAATTAAAAATGTAATGTATGCATTTCATAACACGAACAAATAGAGAAACTAAATCTCAACGGACCAACGAAAACTGAAACATGATAGCTTTTCGCTAACGGAAGATATTGACGATCAAAGTTGGAAAAAGGATTGATGACAGCCGTTCTTAGTTGTTCACTCGGTACAGTTTTTCAACTGACGATTCGGAATTTTTCGCCTATATACAGGGTGTTTCATAATTGAATGTCAATATATGGGGAGGCGATTCCTGGGCCCATTCTGAGAAGAAAGTTTCATATGAACGTATGACCTAAACTTCCTAACTTTTGACTCACAAAATTTTTTCTTCATATTTAGCAGACAATGAGAAAAACAATAGAAACAATTTGAAAAGCCTAATTTCTAATAACATTTCGCTATTAGAAGGTGAATAAAATGTGAATAAAAGTACAATGTTAGGACGATTTTTTTCATTAAAGATGAATATCTGCGTCGCCCAGAATGTACACCTTCATTTGTTCCTTTCTGGAGAAGGAGAATTTCCAAAGGCAAACCTGAAAAGACAATATTATGATGTAGCTCTTGAGTTTAAAAATTTGAACTTGAGGTTTTTACTTTCAAAATGTATTTTTAGTACCTCATCAAGATTATCATTCTCCTTCTTACTTTTTGTTTCAGTGTTTTCACTATTCTTTGCAATAGAATAGGCTTTCTCCAATGAAACAGTTTGTGGGTTTCATTATCAATAAACTTCGAAACTTACATGGGAGCTGGAAGTTGCGAGCAAATCAATGTCCTTAGGACCCAAGTTATGAACATCCACAGACAGATCCTGAAAATAAATTACTATAGTTTTTCTAAGAATCTGAACAATTTTCAACTTACCCATGGAGGAAAAGTTCTGTTTGTCTTGCTTGTTTTGCATCCAAAGGCAACACAATATAAATAACCAATGTTCAGTAATGCGAAATCCCAAATCTTTTCAACAATAATTAATTCACACCAACAAATTCAGTCCTTTTGAAGAAATAGAACATGCCAAATTCAGCGATATTTCACATAACAAAAAACAATGAAGTTCTGTCTTCACATTTTTCCTGTTTGGATAAAAAAAAGAAAGAAAATTTATCCACCAATCCGCCATTAAACAATACGAGTGTGCAAGAGACAGGTTACCGTAACACAAACTATCTCAACTGCTAGATCTCATAACTAAGAGATCCAGAATGAACAGAGTTGTCCCAATTGTCAGCAGGAGCGAGACAATACTGTTTCAAACCCACCAGGTCTCATCAGCCGCTCTCGATCTGCTGACAACTGGGGCAACTCTGCGCTTCGGGTATATCACCCATTTCGAAGACGCAGGGTATAACATGAAGTTATAGTCATGTTGTAGCCATCTAGTGGCAAAGCTCTATGTTAGGATCGAGAGATCGCGACACACACTGTATGGCGCTGCCATCTATAGTCACACGTACAGAACCCTACGTCTATACGCTACTACAAGTGAACCACTCTGCTGACAGATGGCACTACCTAACATACTTGAGTGGAATTTTTCCACCACCTACAGTACTATCTCGCTCCTGCTGACAATTGGGGCAACTCTGTTCATCCTAGATCTCTTAGTTATGGGATCTAGCAGTTGAATATGTGGTGGAAAAATTCCACTCAAGTATGTCAGGTAGTGCCACCTGTCAGCAGAGTGGTTTACTTGTAGTACCACTCTGTAGCGTATAGACGTAGGGGTCTGTACGTGTGACTATAGATGTGTGTCGCGATCTCTGTATCCTACCTTAGAGCTTTGCCACTAGATGGCTACAACATTACTATAACTTCATGTTATACCCTGCGACAAGCTATCTTTGTTGCAGCTGCCCCTGACACACTGTGCTATTCGAGAAACCGACAGTCTCCCTTCCTAGTGTTTATATCGAGTTCATTGTTTTCAGGACCCAACAGCAGTCTCACTTTAGCCGCACAAAGAATGTTAGACAAGTGCGTCGAACGATTAGGAGAGAAAGAAGACAGACTGATGAAGCTCGAAAAAGCTATCAACCCATTGCTGGACGATGACGATCAGGTAGCTTTCACCTATATACTCGATAACATATTGAACACCAAATTGAAGACCATGTCGGAGTCGTGGCCTTTCTTGAAGCCTGTCAACAAAAAGTTGGTCAAGGATTATTACAGCATCGTCAAGAGGCCTATGGATTTGGAGGCTATTTCAAAACGTGTTGCTAGTAAGCTATACAGTTTTTTTTTTCAATTGAAAACATGAAGATACTTCTGAGTTCAAGAAGAATCTGAAATATAATATTCTACTGGGTCTTCAACAATGATTAAACACCATATTCGTAAGCAATCAATAATACATTTTTGTTATCATGTTTACTCAGGTAATGTCATCATATATATCATATATATCATCATATCATAGCAGCTGTTAATTTCCAGTTATTTATTTACCAACTGTGCAGTGTTGGTTGCAAACACATTTCGGTCACGTGGTGTTCAATCATTGTTGAAGACCCGGTAGTTTTCTATGAGGTAGTTTTTTTAAAAGGGCTTATATGAATGACATTTCTTTTTTAGCTCATAAATATCATAGCAGACATGAATTTTTGGTGGATGTGGAACAAATTTTGGAAAATTGTGTGCTCTACAATGGCAAAGATTCCGGTTTCACTGATAAGGCTGAACAGCTGGTGAAAGTTTGCAAAGAAACTCTAGATGAAGTAAGTGGGATTTAAGGATATCTCAAATCTGACGATATCTCCCTAGAAGGTTGAATGATTTTACTGGAATTTGTTCTGTACGCAGAATCTTTTCTCATAGAATACCGCCATGGATTCGGAACAAGGGATCGAAATATTGAAAAGAATATTTGTGTGAAAATTGAACAAAGGGAACTTTTCCAAAATTACTAGATTTGCGATATCTTTCTTTTGGAATGACCGATTTCACTCTGGTTTGTTTTGTTTGCAATCTTTTTACTCATAAAATAAAGCGGCGTTCACAACAAAACTTTTTACGTTTTGTTTTTTACGTTTCGTATTCTGATTGGTGAAACAGAATCTGAAATTGAACGTGAATTAAACTTATTCAAATGTCATTAACAACAAAATTTTTGTCATTTGTGTTTCATCCTGAAATGAAGTGAAATAATCATAACAATAATATTGATTAGAAAATTAATAATATTCATAGAACTGACGGTGACGTGAATTGATCCTTATTCAATACTTGAAGAGAAAAAATCAATCCTCAATTAGAAAATGATAAATATACCTATCTACTATTCCGTGGATTCACGAAAAAATCATGAGCAAAAACATTATCATATAGAATGTTCCATACATGTATTGTTCTAATCAAATCAGAACTAAGAGTAGTATTTTCCATTTCTATAACAATATCTTTCGTCTATTTTCACAGACGATGCCTTCTTGCAATGCAAAAAGCTGAATATTTTCAGCTTTTTGCGTCATTTCAATTACAGATTTTGCTTCACCAATCAGAATACGAAATGTAAAAAGCAAAACGTAAAAAGTTTGGTTGTGAACGCCGCTTAACCCTGTGGACTGCAGAAACCATTAAAATTCACAAATGAAATAAAATAAAAAAATTCACAAAACATTCTTGATTTTTGCCAATTTTCATTAGTTGACTGATTGACCGATTTCACTCTGGTTTGTTCTGTTCGCATTCTTCTTACTCCTAGAATAGCGCTATGGATACCTCAAACAAATAAATCATGATTTTGAAAAAAGATATTTTCAATGATGAGTAAAAATTGAACGAACGGGACTTTTCCAATATTACTAGATTTGCTATATCTCTCTTATGGAATGACTTATTCACTCTGGTTTGTTCTCTTCGTATTCTTTTCACTCAGCCCTTTGGACTAGAAACCATGAAAACCAAATATTCAGGGAACGGTTTTGGTTCTTTCCCAATTTTTATTAATTCTAGTAAATTTATAATATCTGGAACTGAAAGACCGATTTTTATCTGGTTTGTTCTGTTCGCATTATTTTTCTTGGGGTAATAAAAACAATCAATCAATAGATTTGCGGACAACTAAAAAAATCTAGATGCGTCATAAAGATATTTTCGTATTCTTCCCAATAATTCCACTTGTCGATATATCTTTTTACGGCAAACTTGTACTTCCCAGTTTGACGAACATCTTACTCAACTGGAGAACAAACTATTATTGGCCCAAGAGCGTGCCTACCAAGATGACGATCAGACATGGATGGGCGGTGACGAGGAAAACTACACCATCGCCGAACCAGATAGAGCCGTAAGTAATTTTTTCTCATTGACTCATTCAAGTGTCAAATTTGAGGTCAGAGATCAAATTTTCTATAATTCCGATAGGTTGCGTACAAGAACTGTCAGATGACAGACACTGGAGGCAAAACATTGAAACACAACGTTACTTTTCTTATTTGTTTACAAGTGATCGAAATAGTTTTTCACAATTATTTTGGCATAGGAATCGTATTTTTCCGCTATTCATCAATTCGCTCATGCCATCACATTATGCTGTTGTGAAATGCACAAAAACTGCAGCGGAAGACGAAGTAATCCGGTTGGTACATTATGATTAAAAGTAAGTACCTACTATCAGTGACTATAGTCACTCACATATAGTTTTCATTTTTGAAATTTGGTAATTTCTCTGATTTCTCATCGGAATTCCTTCTGCGATAGGAGCTAATAGAAATACACCTGAAATTTCTAAAATAATGCAAGAATATTGGGTACATGCAATCAATCGGGAGGACTGGTCTGACATGCTGACGATCGTGTGTGTTGTAGACATTTTCAATCTATTAGCAGTATTAGCTTGTATTGCAGAAGTGGCATAAGGCAGAAGGAATTTTAATAAGGAATGACAACATTTCATGATGATAACTATGTGAGATTACTATTTACCTGAAGAATCATATTCTTTAGTCTCTTGCTGCATTTTTTGTGCATTGTACAACAGTACAATGCGAAGGCATGCTTGAATTAATGAATAGCGCAAAAAACACGATTCGTATGCCAAAATATTGTGAAACACTATATGAATCCTCTGATTCCTTTGCAACCAAATAAAAAAGTGAGGTTGTGTTTCAATAATTCACAGAAGAATGAGGTTGTATTTCAATATTTTGCCTCCATGGTCGGTCATCGTGCACGCGACCTATTAATAACCCTGTGAGCAAGAATGCGAATTTTCATATGGGAAATTCGTAGAATCTTTGAATACTTTTGTTAAAATGTTGATGTTCATAATGGGAAGTTTCCTTCAGATGAATTTTCATGAAATAAGTTCGGAACTCTCCAGTTTTATGTCTACGCTGTACAGAATGGCGACCGATAAAGTCTTAGTCGTTTTCATTTTCAAATTGAAGCAATTTTTAATTTTCGGGGCGGCAAACTGTGACGTACATCCTGAATCTAGTCTGAAAATAGCTGATGGTGAAGAATATAGCTAAAAAATAGCTAATGAATGAAAAACGAATGGAAAAAATAGAAGAAGTAAAACTGGTGAACAAAAACATACATAACCACAAATGCACTCAGAGCAGGAATGCAGAGGGTAGTTGGCTTCATTCTGATAGGTTATGGTTTTGTCATTTATGCATTGAAATATCTCGAATAGAGCTCGATTCTTATCGAAAAGATCATTGAATCAATGAATCACTATCGGCTTGCTACATTCAATGATACTACCCTTCCTAATTTAATGCCATCGGTCAGAACAGAATGAAGCCGACACCAATAGCCCCTTCCTCTTGTTGTGCCTGTCAGTATTTTGAGTGGGGTGGACGGACTCGAAGTATTAGGCGCTGTTGCAAGATATAATCTGCAACTTTCCAAGAAAATAGATCCGTTTTATTGAGGAACGATTTCATAAGCAAAAAAATGACTGACAATGGATGATATATTGTAAACGATAATGGAAAATTATAGATACTATCGCAAAATATCATAATTTATCTTTATTAGTAATCAACTTCATTTAGCCAATGAGAGATTTATGGGAATTATTCATAATACTTGACAAAGTAGGACTGTAGAACCTATTATATCCCATTGCTAATATGATATAATTATTATGCATTCAAAGAACAATTTCCGTAATTCTATACATATTGATGATGTTGGCAACGTCGTACTGGCACAGATAATCGTATTTTAACTCTGTGTGAATGTGGATTTGCAGAAAGTAAGTCATAGGAATGGTGGAGGAGCCAAGTTCCTCTTTTACTCATTTTTTCTGAAGTGAAATTTGATCTCACGAAAAATGAAAAAATACGTATATATTAATTTTTTACAAACTTCACACTGAGATAAAAATATCAATTCAGGAAACTTCCCCATTATATTTCAGAGCCAGACCAGTTCGCCTGACCACCTCTCGTCTGTCAAATCCCAATTAGACGAGTACGATCTCATAGATGTGGAGGGAGAAGGTGCACTGCAAGGTTTGGAAGACGCCATGTTTCCTAAACCTGCCAAACAGAAGAAGAAAATCAAGCGAGAAGGTAAAATTCATAAACTTGATGAGATTAGATTTTTCCCGATAAATTTTGAACATGTCTCAGAAATTATCAGTTTTTTTTTCTTTCTTTTTGAATGTACCTTTATTTCTGCAGGTTTTAATTTCATCTGGTAGTTTATTGAACTCAGATAATGCTGCATGAGTGAATCTTTTTTGTCAGAGTGTAGAACTAGCAGCATCAAGGTGAAATAAGTTATATTGTCTAGTTTGATGACTATGAATTTCAAAATTTCTTGTCAAAATAATATTAGATTTCAGTTTTTTATTTATGATAACATAAGGTCCGAAAGTTTTGGGAAAAAATCAGATGCTGACAACTCTTAGAAATAAATTTTTATAATCTTATCAAATAATCTTACAATATCTCTTAACTATTCTTATCACTACCTGAAGTTCAAATAATCGACAAGGGACCGTTGTCTTCGATCTGCCTGAGTTTTCCTCTGACGCGTTGTATCATCCTTTGGACGACCCCAGCGTTGATTTCTCTGATTTTTCCCGATATACGACGTCGGAGTTGTTCTTGATTTTGTGCTTCCCATCCGTTATTGTAGACTTTCCGGCTCAATATTGTTTATGTTGTTGGCCCCATACCAATCCCTTGTGATTCTCGCATAATGGCATGAAGCAAGATCTGGTCAAAACATAATTTCGTCATTCGCATGATTTGTATTCAAAAACTGAAGCAATTTAGAAAGACATCGGTCAATATATCGTTCTGCATTCAAGGCCTCACGACGAACAACGCCAATGTAGGTCTGTGAAATGAAACCAGCCTCAGAAATGGCACACCATACCTAAATTTTGTCCTCAAACTTCTTTTTGGAATGGAATGGAATGGAACATTTGCGTGATCGTCCGTGTAGAACCCTTCATCTCAGAGTTGGCCAAAGTGAAATATTTTTCGTCGTCCATCTCGATCAACTTGTTGGCAAAATACACTCGCCTTAACGCGCGGCAACATCTTGGAATTCTTCCTAACTGAGCCTCTGTGTATTTTGGAGCTTTTCTCCTTTTCCGGAACAAAACATTGTGTCTTGATAGGGTCTTATACACCGTAGTCTTTCTAACATGAAATCTTCTGGCCAGTTTTCGCTGTGATATCCCAATTCTGTGTTTAGCTACTTGAATAAGTCTCCTCTCTCTTAATTAGTTCAAAACCCGCGGCCGACCGTTTTTTTGCAAGTTCATACATGGTATCCCTTCTTCACAATCTTTAATTGTACGATATATTGTCGATTTACTTATGTTCTGATCTCGAATAATATCGACAATCTCTCGTTTCGTCATTTGCCCAACGAGATTATAAATACCTCGACGAAGATCAATTTCATAAGACATTTTGGTAAGCCCAAACCAACAACTTCTGCATTGCTCATTTAGATGACAAGACGGGTGACATTCAATTACCACGTCTGCTTGATTAAATGCATTTCGTCACTCAATCAAACCAGGTGAATTTTTTCCCAAAACTTTCGGACCATACGTTATTAAACATGTATTTTGAATGTATTATTATTATTGTATTGTTATTTCACTCTTTGTTATTTTAGCATAGCATATATTATGTTGACAATCATTTATTTTAAATTATGTCTATATTTTGTTTTAGATCATTTTTAAATAAGTGTAATCATAGATAAGTATTGACAATTTTCAATACTTGGAAATCCAAGTCTGAAGGAAATAAAGTATTCTATTCTATTCTATTCTATTCTAAATGAAATTTTCAGAGTCTAATCTGTACAGTTCTTCTAAAGAATATGTTTTTGTTATCGTTACAACTTCCCCAGAACGCAATACCGTATCGTAGATGTGACTCAATGAGAGATTGAATAAATGTGTTTGACTTTGAGTGATGTGTCTACGATTCCTGGATAAGAATCTAACAATATACTTTCTAGAAGCGCACACTCTCGAAGAAGACCTCCAATTCTCCAGTGAAGAGGAGCTGGACGAGGTGCCACTGAACGAATTCGAAGACGACACCGACCACAAGGGCCTCCTCATATCGGCCGAGATACCCTTGGTGGGGGCGGACGATGACAGCCAACAGGCCGCCGAAGCCATGGTGCAGCTGGGCACCATGGGCTTCTACCCGCCCAACGAGGAGGAGACGGAAACGGAGACTTTGGTCTACAAAGGTAAGGACAAAGTGGAGAAGAATTTGATGAATGCGCCTTTCCAATGATTTCTAAAAAACTAATCGAACGGTTCAAGTGTAACCTGACGTAGTAAAATAGTTATTTATTATACAAGGGAAATTAGATTCTACCTCCAGGTTGTGTAATATTTTTCCCGTGTATAATACACTATTTTTTTCTGCGAAGATATTACATTATTTTGAAATCTGAAAATTATCGACGTGAATTTTAAGTTTTCAACAGTAGGGCACCTGCGTTGTAGGCATCTTTATCATTCTTTTGAAGTAATCAAATATCTGATGTCACTTCTGTCAGTCTAATTTTGTGATTTGATTTAAAAAAATTGCGAATTTAGTGGTTGTTTAGTAAAATATGTAACCGTGAAGTCGAATGGAAGATAAAAGGACTTGCAGTTCTTTCTCAGAGACGGTATTATTGAATCATTTTTCGGAACTATAGCACAACAAAAGCCATCAACAGCGTGTAATAATGTGATATATATCCGGGAAAAAAGTACTCACTTTTTTCCCACGGGAAAAAAGTAATTTATGAAAAGTGACATTTTATAACCTGCCAACAGAGATGAAATGTCAAACTTTCTTCCGGTCACAGAAAAAATATTTATAATAGTCTACCCACCAGAATAAAATCTATTAGGTTCGTCACAGAATTTAACTGTGAACTGAAGAAATATATTTCATCAATTTAACTCTCTCCTTGTATCAATTAATTCTGATTGAACTGTTTATCTTTCATTGTATTGCATGTTTATTTTTTTTTTGTTTCCCTCTTTAAACATTGTATGTTTTTTGGGATCAAATAAATGTTATTATTATTGTCGCAACTCAGATGGTTCTAGTAGGTTATATGGTATCATTGAGAAGAAACTGCGCCTCCACCACGTGCTGCAACTCAGATGTTGACCCTCCTATAGGTCGCGACTTCGCTACCCGCTTGGCTTTTTGACGAGAGGTTTTGATCATTTCACCACCCAACCATATTCATCCCCAAATAAAGAGAATTGTTTTGCAAAAGTACAACAAGCAATTTATTCAATCGTGAAAACATAAAAATGTACTGTTGGCCCGCGACACAGGGTTTATCGATGTTCTAAGTCGGTATGCCATTTAAGGAACCCACTCACTTAGTCCAAGTTAACAGGAAGGAGTGCCTCGGAGAGTCGCAACCCAGTCCTTGCCCCGGCCCTGACCTCCCCTTTCGGTTGGAAAAAAGTTCAAAATTTCCAGTCAAATGATGTTAGAATAAGTCGAGCTCCCCTCTCCGGAATCGTATGCAAATGTCGGGAAATTGATTAATGGGTCCCAATTCATTGTTTGGCCAAAGGGCATACATTCTTAGATCATCGACTATAACACTGAAAAATTGACACTTCCGGTTCGTATGCCGCCCTTGGGGAGTGACCTAGGCGTATGCAAACCGGCAAGCGCCCCAATTCTCGTGAGATAAGATCATTGCACTTCATCGCCGAGCTTCTTCTTAAACAAAATTTTGAACTTTTTTCCAACCGAAAGGTGAGGTCAGGGCCGGGGCAAGGACTGGGTTGCGACTCTCCGAGGACTAAGTGAGTGGGTCCCTTAAATGGCATACCGACTCAGAACATCGATAAACCCTGTGTCGCGGGCCAACAGTCTATTATGTTATGAGCAGCAGCACCAAAGTCGAGGAGATGTCAAACCCCCAAAGTGGCATAATGCCACTTTGGAAGTGAGCAATCAATCAATGAGTGTTATGTACGATTGAACCAATAATGCCTTGTGTTAATAATGAATTACGATAGAACTAATAATGACCCTCCTAATCGATTCGGGTTCTATTCATATTTGAAACCGATGCTAGATTCGCAATTTTCCGCAATGGGAATGGTCATTACCTTTCGATACTGCTTACCTAGGTATTATCGCAGGTTTCTTTGCAAATTATAACGGAAATGACGTCTATGAACTCCGCTGACCGGATCGAAACTACAATGTACTGAATAATTTAATTTGGAAAAGTTAATCAATCATAAAAGATCTTGAAATGAACGAGAGTTTGAGTGATGTCAATTCATAGGCATTTGTACTTCTTGACATTATTATTATTGTTAGATGAGAGCATGGACGTGGATCCGAATTACGACCCCTCAGACTTTCTGATGTCCGGTCTGCCTCTGCGCAAAGTGGAAGACTTCAACCAAGAGACCGGCATGAAGATACACGACGACCTGGCGGTGAGCGAGAGCGACGACGAGGGGCCGAACGTGTCGCACCAACCGGAACATAATGTACAGGACGAGGACGATCTTTGGTTCTAGAGTGTCTTCGGCTATGTAAGTTTTCCATTTCGTGTCGAGAGTGATCTTGAAATAATGAATGGGCACGTTCCATTTGATGGAATCATTTTATGATGAGACCGAACAGCGAAACGAGAATAGACACACTGAAAATGAGAATAAACACAGTGAAAATATCATTTTTCTGCAACCGACACAAAAGTCGTCCATTTTGATATCAAAATTAGCTCTTAAAATTTCACACCAAACATTTTCGATCAATTTAAAGCCTGTATTTCGTATCGTTACCATCGCAACTAAACAAATTTCTTGGAAATTTTCTCCTCCTCCTTGGTGGACGGAGCATGAAATTACAGTGGACATTTTTTTACGTTTATAGGTTAAATGACATTTACATTCAACTTACAAATTCAAATTCACAAAACCATCGAAAATCGTCATTATCCAAGTAATGTTTTAATAATATTTCAAGGTGAATTTTCTTACCGAATACCACAGATTCTTGTGGAAAAAGTTCTTACATTTACTATTGATTTCCATCAAAGTAACGGCCGAATTCAAAAGTTGAATATTCATTGAAATTTATCGTGGTTGTAGTTCCCCCTAACTATATAAAATTTGTGGTAAACTGCGTTTTCCCAACTTTTTTATATTGCAAGATATTCACATTGAAACTTTTCACATTTACATTAGATTCAAATTGAAATTCGAAAAATGCGTCATTCAACTCTGAATATTTGCATTCAAGGACGGCAGTATTTATTGTATTATATTTTTGTACATATTGGTTGAACAATTCATTCACAAAACAAGAAATATATTATTTAATAATGTTGTATCCTTAAGCTTTTGTAAACCTAATGTAAATAAAACTAATTTCTGCTACGTAAATTATTTATTTCATATATTTGATAATACATTGATGGATGATTTATTCAAATCCGAATCCAGTTTTTTGGGGTTAAACGATAATCACAATATCTACAGGTGAAAGATTGAAGTTTATAATAATAAGAAGGCACCGCTGAAAGAAGACGGGGAATTCAATACAATCGCATAAAACGGCCTCTGTTGTCTTCTAATTCGTACATGGAAGTCTAGATTGTTGAAAAAAATTTTTTTGAATCATTTGGTAATCATATACCGACAGTTTATGTTGCCGCAATAATTTAAGTTGAATTTTCGTGATGAACCACATCGCAGGTTTATTTAGATTTTCAGAAATCTGAAGTAAAATACAATACCTCTTACCGATCATCATTGAAAATCCGTTATGAATGCGGTTCATTAAGAAAATAACCTGACGATTTGATTCAGTTGATGTGTTCATTTCTGAAAAATCGAACTTTTCAAATGAAACTTGATGATCAACGATCTGGTATCAAGCCCATTGAAGCTGGTGTTCCTCAGGGTGCAGTTTTATAGCCGCTGTTGTACAGCGATTTGCGGAGACCAGTGATGTGCAAGATGTCGCTGTTTGCTGAAGATACGGCAGTTCTTGCATATTCGACAAATTTCGAGCAAGCAGCTATGAACCTCTAAAGCCCGCTGAATTCGCTTCAGGAGTACTTCCTAAGATGGAAGATCAAATTGAATCCTTCAAAAACACAATTGGTCGCACTCGGAAGGGAGTGGTGGCCTCCCAAAACCAGATTAGTCCTGGATCGTCATGAGTTAGAGTGGTCTTCACAGGTTAAATACTTAGGTGTGTGCATTGACAAAAAGCTCACCTGGGCCCAGCACATTGAACAGCAAGTTTCAAAAGCTAAACGAGCCATTGGAGCCCTGTATCCATTTCTAAACAGATGAAGTAAATTAGGTTTGAGACAAAAATTGAATATTTACATCATGGCTATCAGGCCAATTTTACTATATGCCTCGGTAGTCTGGGGCCACAGCTGAATCTCATATCACCAGATTACAAACATTACAAAACAAAATCGCGAGGATGGTGACAGGATCTCCTTTTTATGTTCGAAATAACCAGATCGCCAGGAATCTGAAACTCCCTTCAATCGTGTCAGTCATTAGAGAACGAAACATCAAGACTTTCGAAAAAGCTGAGGTTCATGAGAATCAGCTTCGAAATGCAGTTGATTATGACCCAGGTGATCAATCAAAGTTCAAAAGACCGAGATTGACCATAAACTAGAATTAATATCGACATTATGACCATCAAGTTTCTGATATTTATTTATTTCGTTCGATCTTTTTCAATCCTCAGAATGTATTTCTGAAACTTATTTGGGGCAGAAGGGCTGTTCGCATCAAACTTCAATACCGTATTTTGTTTCATAATAGATATCAGGATAAGAGGGACTCTTCCCTGGTCTGAATCAAATAAAAGAAAGATCCAATATATATCTCAACAATCTAGATTGCACAAATCAAAGACATTGTTGACATAAGACATCGCAAATAAAAACGTAGTTTTGCCTCTTTCTCGCGTTCGCGTATACGTAAACAATTCCATCCAAACTAAAACATCAAACGGTTTATTTACAAAATCAGATTATTGCTAGGTTCGAAAATATCATCAAATGTTGCAAGACCAGATTACAGACACAAGCAATAATTCAGACAATTTATCTTTCACCGATTCAGATAGGATCACAGCTGTTTCTGTAAACCAGTCCATGCTCAAGTCAAACAATGTGCATAATCAAGTCTCTGTACCCATTATTGCACTGCTGTCAGTCTATTCTTCATAATATAATAAAACTATGTAGTCTACATAGTCGTAATCATAGGATTGGAGAATGTGCCTGCCTTGATATGTTCATCTGTCTTTCGTATGTCACAAATCACAATCAGGGTGAACAGAAGATGGTGTAGAAACTCGTATCAAATCCCATCTACTGTTTTTTCGGTCAAAGTTCTTGACCTACGGCCTACTTGACAGAAGGATTCTTTTCAATATCGCGGAATATTGGTCGCATTTTACCCGTTAGATGGCGAAATCTCAACCAAAATTCAAGATTGGTAGAACTGATGATAATTAAAATCCCCCAAAGTTACAGTTTCGTACTTTCGAATTTAATCTCATTTGATTTGAGGTTATGTTATGAATGTTATAATATTATTATTTCTGGTGCAAGCGGTGTGTAAGCGCCATTTTCTGTCATGAAAGAAATCTGTAAAAAGTGTTGGCCATCTTGAGGACAACTGAGAACTAATATGCCATTATTGTGGAATCTGCGGTCAAGCGTTTTGGGAGAAACAAAACACTGTCCGTGATTACACCATATTCTATCCACCTTGGTCACAATGTGTTGGTACTTGTAGGTCATTAAGAAGCATACTGGAAAGTAACATGCACATCTAAATTAGTTGAGAATACTCCTTTTATCTGAAAACAATGCAGAAACCGAACTTCTATAAGGATGAATATAGTGTGAAAACCGAGTATAGTTGACAATGAGTACCAACTAATATAATAATGACACCATACATGTGAGCGTGCGATCTTATTTCAAAGTGAGTGTGCTTTTAGTTCAATCTTTAATACCAGTGCGTTTTTATGTCAAATATCTTTGCCATATGAGGTACTTTCGATATAATACATAATGTTATCTCTTCTTTCGATGGCAAACATGACTGTTGAAACGAAACTAAACATATCAAGGCCGTTCAGATATTAATAAATCAATAACAAAAAATGGAAGAATAAGAATTGTACAGTACCTTATCGCCATGAGTAAAATTCAGGAGCTTCTTTTACTCATAGACAGACAATATTAAAAAACCTCTAAGTACCAACTAGTCACATAACTAACGTGAAAATATCATCGGTCCACTAACGAATAACAAATAAGGTACAAATATACGCGCGATTCATCATATTTTTCTAACCAATATGTCTGACCGTTCACGAGTTGCGTTTAATAAAGAAGCATACAAGATCTATGACTTCCTCCATAGATCAGAAACGCTCTAGACAGACACTGCTCATGTATTCGTTGGCAACATCGCACTGGGAGCTGGCTTCTTCAGGCCATCTATCGGTATCAGCGGGAATCTCAGCTTTCACAGAATCCTGTGCGATTCAATACTTGATAACAGTACCCCAATCAGTGTTGTTAAAATAAGATTTCTAAAAGTGGTAGCAGTGGTGGGTTAATTGTCTTTCCAAATTAAAACCTATAAGGACCTACCTTCAAAAGGATCTAGCGCCCTTATGAAACATTTTCCGACGTTGATAGAACATATTTTCTCATTTTAATCTGCAGAGTTACCTCCTGGAGTATACGAACGTTATTTTGGGACCCCCTGTTAGGTCAAACTAGGAGATTCATTGTACCTAGGCTCAAAGAACACCTCAAATTATGTCATCCCAGAAACATCTACCGTTGCGCCACCAAAACGAAAACACGGAACCTTCCTCCCAATGCAATGTTGCCACCGAATGGGTTGCGTGCAAGAACTGTCAGATAACCGACCCTAGAGGTGAAACATTGAAATACAACCTCAGTTTTCTTATTTGTTTACAAATGATTGAAATAGTTTTTCACAATTATTTTGGCATACGAATCGTGTTTTTCGGCTATTCATTAATTCGCGCATGCCATCACATTGTGCTGTTGTACAATGCACTAAAATGCAGCAAGAGACGAAGGAATTCGGATGGTACTTTATGAATTGAAAGTAAGTACCTACTATAGTTACTCACATATAGTTTTCATTTTGAAATTTGGTAATTTCTCTGATTTCTCATCGTGATTCCTTCTGCAATAGGAGCTAATAGAGATACTCGTGAAATTTACAAAAGAATGCAAGAATAAGATTGGATTCATGCAATCAAACGGGAGGACTGGTCTGACATGCTGATGAAATATGATCGTGTGAGTTGTGGACATTTTCAATCTATTAGCAGTTTTAGCTTCTATTGCAGAAGTGGCAGAAGGAATTTTAATAAGAAATGACGAAATTTCATAATTCAAACTATGTGATATTACTATTTACCTGAAAAATGATATTCCTTCGTCTCTCGCTGCATTTTTTGTGCATTGTACAACAGCACAATGAGAAAAATATCGTAAAAAACTATTTCAATCCTTGGATTCCTATGTAAACAAATAAAAAAAAGTGAGGTTGTGTTCCAATGTTTCACCTCCAGGGTCAGTAATCGTGCACGCGACCTATACCCTAGCGTCATCTGTCCACAGCCATCTCGACCCTCGACCTCCTCGAATGAAGTGACAAACGTCTCCGACGAAACGTTACCTCCGGGCACCGCATCAAAGTAAACACTCGTACACGTTTACGTGCTTACTTCTATACGGTGTATAGAAGTAAACCCTTCTATACGGTGCTCTAGGCGTTGGATTCCTTCAGGTCTTGCAGTCGGGCGAGCTGGTGCGGTTCCAGCTCGTCGGGGATGCTCGCTCTGCCCCCCACCACCTGTTTGGGTTCGCTGTCGACGACAGGGGGCGCTTGGCTGATCGAGTTCTCAGCCGTGCTGGGGCCCGTCGTCTCGCCATCGCTTCCTACAACGAGTTAGGGTGACTTTATAAAAACATTTAAACATTCAAGACTTATGAGTCTTAAGTGGAGACAGTAAAAAAAATCAGATTCAAGGGCGATACATGACTTCTGTCATTACTGACATCTAGTTTCTGATGCAGCACAAGATTTTCAAAGTTTAGTAAGTTGAAAACTGGTTGGAAATCAAAATTTCATGTCCTGATATCATTCTATCAATTTATATTTATATCCCTGAAATGATACCCACATCCATTATATCTCCACATCATTTTGAAAGTAATCACTATTCCTTGCCTAACAGAAACTGGCTCACTCCTCGGAATTTTTGCCAAATATGGAGGCAACAGAGTTGCGACATTCTAGTGTATTTTTGAAGAACGGTTCAGTATCAATCAGAAGGAAAACAAATATTCAGGAATAACAACACAAGATATTTTGATTTATTTTTGAATGGCGGGAAATTGAGATGCCACTTTTGGATGCGCATTATTCCATTTATGATCATTTCTCTGCACTTCTTAAGTCAAAGTTAAATCATAAGTCTTAAATGGTTTTATAACATAACCAATGGTATTTCCATGTTCCATCTGTCATAAGTGATAAGCCTTGAATGTTAGGTGATGAATCTTAAGTCTTGAAGTTTTATATAAAGTGGCCCTTGCAAGCAAGGTGGACACACGCGAAAAGTTAGGAGTATACGGAACAGGGTGATCAAGATAAGAGTTTGTACAGCATGGGTTTTTAACAGGTGTACTACCTGTTCAGTAGTTAATCGTCGAGAAACTCGTCTATTTCTTGAATATTACTGCTGAATAGTCTGACTGACTTTTTATTGATTACTGCCAAAATATCATCAGATACAAGGGAATTTCAAAAATATAAAACCACAGAGTATTCTAAATAATATAGAAACTTGTCTATTCCTTGAATATTACTGATGAATAGTCTGATTGACTTTTTCCAAAAGTGTCATTTTATTGATTACTGCCAAAATCTCATCACATACAAGGGGATTTCAAAAATATAAAACTACAGAATATTCTGAATAAAATCAAATAACAACACAACCTATCTGTGTCTATGATATAAGATTTCAATTTGACATTTTCGCTGAGAAACTTCGTAGATATAGAGGGGGCCCAATAATTATAAATTTTTAGAATCGCCCTGTATCTTATAAAGGGAAACAGTTATGCAAAATCTGATTAGGCCGTCTGAAATATCACGCAAAAGCATCGGAAACTGGACACACTGTACATCGACAATATCCGTTACCTGTGCTACTGCTCACTACAAAAGGCGCATCCACATGATGATCCTCGATCTGGTCTTCCCCCTCCTCCGATTGGTCTCTCCTGGTGTGGCCCCTACACGCCCCTCTCTTCGCTTCCCCCACCTCCTCTTGCTCCGCCTCCCCTTCGCCGGGTTCCGCCTCCTCCCGGTGGTTCACTCCTCCCACCTCCCGATGGTTCACTCCTCCCACCTCCCGGTAGTTCACTGCTCCCTCCTCCTGGTGTTTCGCTTCTCCCTCCTCCTGGTGGTTCACTTCTCCCTCCTCCCGTTGGTTCGCTTCTCGCACCTCCCGGTGGTTCTCCTCTTCCGTGGGTGGGAACGGTCGCTCCGCCTCCTCGATCATGGGTGTGGCGGCGGTGATAACGATGGAGGCGGCGCACAGGCCGAAATCTGCGCCTGCTTCCGTGTCATCGGTTTGAGCTACTTCGTCTCCGTCCTAAGAAAAGAGGAAGAAGAACTGTCAGCGTTATTTTGGTATCGTACGAGATTGTACACTTCTCCAAGATATTGAACGCACCACCAAAAAGTTGCCAATAGTTTAGGAAACATGTTCATCAAGAGTACTTCTCCGATTTGGAGGTTTTTTATTTTGAGTGACAGATTATTTCCTTCTGAACATTAGCTAGAAAATGAGCCTAATGGTTGCGTTTTTTGGGATTTCGAACCCTGACTTGTCATTTTGTGTTAATCATTAATCTATATCATGGTTTTCATCTGTAATCAGCAGCAGCTGATCAGCTGGTGGAATTTCGGAATTTGAATATCATTCTCAGCAGCGTCAATTATTTCAATAACATGCATTTAATTTGTGATATTAAATATGTTATTATCAATTTATTATTGATAAGACAAGACTTAATGTTTGAAAAACAACGGAAATAAATGTGACATTCCTTCTCCTCTAAAATAATGACAGTTCACTGAAGCCACACTACCTTTTGATAGTCAGCAATTTCAGCAGAATGTCGAGTCGAAATATTTGGAATGAATAGTATATCTGCTCACAAATATCTGTCACTTTCAGTTAATTTTATTGATTTTGGAATGAAAAATCAGCTAATTCAGTACCTACTGTCAGTTGAAATCGGAATACATGAAATTAATTTGGGATTCGACTCGGGTTCCAAGGAAAACGCTCCAACTACTTATCGTTTTATATAATGAATTGCAATGTTCGCCCTCCAACGACTTGTCAAATGACGTAATTCTGGAATGATTTAATTGTTGGACAGCCCAAAACATTGGGCGACGCTTGCATGAACACTGTCATATTTTGACTGAGAAACTGGACGATTAAGTCCACACGACCAATATTTATACCAGTATGTTCAGCTGACTAAAGACATTTTGACAGTTGGCACATTACATCAAGATTTCTATTGCAAGAATCGTATAATGAAAGAGATGTTAGTACCTATGCAAGCTTACCTCGTTGATTATTTCTACGCTGGGTACGTCGATTGCTACGAGCAACAATAAAGTGTGTTAGTAAAAACAGAAGTGATGAAAAAAAAAACTGGAACTTACTCGGTATGGACGAATTAGGACTGAATTGACTTCCGTAATGCTGATGTTGGTCCCGGGATAGTGACATGGCGAACAGGCTGTCCTCATGAGCCTACAACAAGAATAACATTGTGTGATAAGATTTTTCACTGAATTGTTTCTTGCTACCATTATCAGAAATCCAATTGCCACATTTTTGGATGGAAGCAGCAAAATCCTATATATGATAGCAAGAAATGATTTTGCTGAAGATGAATTATCTGCCACAGGAAGGTATACCTACTGCTGTAGTTATCAGGCAGCCAGTCTGGGACAGTATGATATTTTTCTATATTTTCTTTAGCTGAATAACTACTAGTGAGTGGTATGTATGTTGCTGAGATATCCGTTGAATAGAATTGCAGTCATTAGCGATTTTACAATAACTGTCAACCTGTCACGAGAATATAATACTTGACGAACCTACTGTACATCAGGACGACACGACAGTTACGATTACTTTCAATATTCAAAATACTCGCGTCGAAATATCAGCTTTTTTTGAAAAAATCGATGGGGTTTCTTCTGTTCGTTGAAATGTTCACTTCCTGATGGTGTACAAAAATTAATAGATATACATTACTATGGAAAATATTCTCAGAAAACGCAAAGATAGATCTTTTCATTACCTACAACTTTGTATTTCAATTTTTTCCATAGCACTTGTAGTTTTGCCAGATATCGAGATTAACAATTTCAATAAAATATCTGCATTATATAAAAAGACATTGAAAGTACTGTATCGTTTACCATATGATACACCAACAAATCAATTATATAAAATAACTGAATCAAAGATTGAAATCTAATTTTATTTTAACACGAAACAATGAAATTCATAATTATCAAACTAGACAACATGGTTTATTTCATCTTGATATCGCTAATACTTCTATAGGCCAAAAAAGATTCACCCACGCTGCTCTCTTGAAATATAACAAATTACCAGATAATATAAAAAATTGCAGAAATACAATAAAATTCAAATACCATCTTAAAAAATTTATCATTTCTGAACGAAATAGATGACTTTTTTTTTTTTCAACTTTTGATTCATATTCAAATTGATTTTTGCTCACCAATATGAAATGATTTGTCAAAATTTAATAATTAATGTTTTCAAATATTTTATTATTCATTAGTTTATTATAATTGTATAGTTTTAGGTATTATTGTTAACTATACTTCCTTATACCAGAACTTGATTCTGACTGGAAGTAACATTTTCAATAAATAAATAAATAAATAAATAAATAACCGTTTTTCACTCTTAAAACCTCACCGCCTTCCACTTCTCGACCTCACATCGACCGTCATTTATTTTTCCCTTCATTTTTGTTATATTCTCTGCCTATTTCAATCGGTTTCATTCCACATACTATAATTTTTTTCGGTTCCAAAAATTCTCGACCCTGGTCTAGTTTCTTGCTGGAGTAATTCGATTTCTCACTATATGGTTATAGCAAAATGATTCCCTCAGTATATTGCACGGACACGACATCGGTCAAGTACGCGAAACTCACCTCCGCATCGTCTCCGTTCACCATCCCCTCCTCCACCTCCACGCCCTCGGGCAGCGCGGGAGGCGGTTGCGCAGGCGGCGACGAAGCCACGCCCCCCACGCTCTCCTCCTCGCAGCCGGTAGGCGTGAAAAGGGGCGGGGCGGACCGGGGCGTGGTCGCGTCGTCCTCGTCGTCGCCGGTCAGCGGTTCGCCAAACGCGTCGCACTCCTCGACGACGAGGGAGGGGAAGTTGCCCACGTGACCGTCGTACTCGCCCTGCCACCAGCCGTCGTCGATGCTGTGCGCGCACCGGCTGAGGATGCGGATGATCTGGCCCTCTTCGAACGAGAGCTCCTCGCCGCCTATGTGGGAGAGAGAGAGAGAGAAAAGAGTAGCGTCTGGGGAGTATACTTGCTAAAAATTAAAATCAATTAAACATAGAGATAAATTATATAAGAAAGCTTTGAAAAATCATGAAACTCTTCAAAATTATTGCTATGCCCCGCGAAATACTGTCTAAGGAAAATATTGAAATATTGAAAATTAAATTCATACCCGTTAAGTAAACATCGTTTGTCGGCAAATTTAAGATACTTAATATTTATTTTAATGACTCTAAAGACGAAATAAGCACTGATAATATTGATAATGATGATAATATTCCTCTTTCCCGGTTTTGCAATCCTTAAAAATTTATCAAACGACAAGTTTTTTGTATTACATATTTTAGGAAAAATATTATTTTTTGTTCCTTTTTTGTTATTTCAAATTAAACTGAAGTTTGATTATAGTTTTTACCAAAATAAAGGTATTTTTTTGCATTTCAGCCTAGGAACAAAATCGAAATTTCTGATATAAGAACCGACATAGAGCAGGGGCATGTTGGGGGTCCCAAAATATGGCAATTCAACGCAACTTACCTCTATACCAAGTTGCTTCCCTAAGGAGTTATAGGCTTTGGAAGTGTAGTTATAAATTTTGAAAAAAATCAATATCTCCGTTATTCTTGAACTTAAAGCAACCAAATTTGGTACACTTTGTGGATGTATTCAGGGCGTTACTTGACAGTAACTAGAGTTCAATTGAAATTTGTGAAGGGGGTATACCGGGTGGCGCACCATTAATATTCAACATAATTTTGTTAACCCTTGATGGATTTCAAGAATCTTTGCTTGGTTTTGTGGAAAATTCAATTCTTAAACTTTTCTTAGTCCAGTAATTTCTCGAAAAACCTCATCATTTTCATCAAAAACTCGAATAACTGAAAACGCGTGCTCTAGGTGTGTTATTTAAAACCATCGAAAATTCAAAAGTTGGCTATGAAAATAAACGTCAAACTTGACAATGAAGCAGGTAAGTTGTTTAAATAAGTATTTTATCGATAAACAACTGTTTGTTCTGGTTGTTGTTTAAGTTTTTTGTGATTATTTTGGTTAGTTGTTAATCCCAGTTTTTCACATTTCAGTATCTAAATAATAATTTGCCAGACAATTTCTACTGATCACAATAAATGACCTACTTTCTTGTTGTACGTTTATTTTCATAGCCAACTTTTGAATTTTCGATGATTTCAAATAACACACCTAGAGCGCGCAATTTCAGTTATTCGAGTTTTTGATGAAAATGATGAGGTTTTTCGAAAAATTACTGGTCCAAGAAAAGTTTTAGAATTGAATTGCCCACACAACAAAGCAAATATTTTTGAAATCCATCGAGGGTTAACAAAATTCTGTTGAATATGAATGGTGCGCCACCCGGTATACCCCCTTTACGAATTTCAATTAAGCTCTAGTTACTGTCAAGTAACGCCCTAAATACATCCACAAAGTGTACCAACTTTGGTTGCTTTAAGTTCAAGAATAACGGAGATATTGATTATTTTCAAAATTTATAACCTCACTTTCAAAGCCTATAACTCCTTAGGGAAGCAACTTGGTATAAAGGTAAGTTGCGTTAAATTGCCATATTTTGGGACCTCCTATATGCCCCTGCTCTATGTCGGTTCTTATGTGAATCACCTTGTATATATTCAGCAGAAGTACTATCCTGAGATCTACGTTTACACAAATTTGCAAAATAAAATTTCAATCTACAGGGCATACTGAAATTTTATTTTGCAAATTTGTGTAAACGTAGATCTTCGGATAGTCCTTCTGCTGAAACGAAAAAAAAAAAAAAGAAATCGGTCAAAAACTATAGATTTTATGAGGGTGCTCCGGTCTTAAGTGGCTCACACTGTATACATAAATATCATGATATTTGCCAACCCTGTCTAGGATACTCACCCTCCCCCTCGTAATCGTACAAGGCCACGCAGAAATTCGGCGCCACCCCGTCCGGCGTCTTCTGCGGCAACGAGATCACCGACACCTGCTCCGGCGACTGCGTGGTCTCCGTCCGCTGCTGCGACACGTCCTCCTCGTTGTCCACCGTGTAATCCACCGAGGAGAAGGAGATCTGCTGGACCAATCCCGGCGTGGTGGCCGATTGCTCGCGTTCCACGTCCAGGTAGTTTTGCGGCACGAAACCCTCCTCGCCGCGGTAGTTGCGTGCGCGCAACCAGCCATCGCCGTCACCTTCTCCCACCACTTCGAGCTGCTCGTTCTCGACGATGGTGAGTTCGTCGGGGTTTTGTGCCTGGATCACAAGTCACATCGGAAGTTTTCAGACTGATGACAATAAGATCCAATGGAAGGGGATAGTAAAGTTTGTATGCAACAAGCGTACTTTTCATATTTCATATTGAAATTTCGTGTCCAGCTGACACTCAAGGTCTGTCACCAAACCTGAATCATATAGAACGTGGTCACGGCTGTCAAGGAATTAGTAAAAAGATGTTCAGAGTTTGAAACACTAACTCAGGTGTAACGGAAGAAACTTGTCCAACGTCAAATGTATGTCAGGAGTGTGTATAATAGATGAAAAAAAAATTGAAAATTCTTCCAGACAATATAAAGATTCACTAGTATTCCGCATCAACTTACTGTATAAGAATATAACGCGGTGCATTTCAGAAGTGGGACCGAAGATGTTTTCTCCGGTCGACCAGATTCCTCGGTATCCTCGGTCGTATCTTCAGTACCCCAGTCCACTTGAATGGGATCGTCCCAACCGGCTGTCAACTGTTCTATCCGTTGTCTCTCCTGCTCCATCATGGCTGAAGAGAAAAATATGCAATGAAATTATTATTTAGTAGTGCACCTATGAGAGTATCATGCCAAAATGGCCACGAACGAGCCTAGTTTTGAGGCTGCCTCAAGCCATCGTGTGACGTCACGGGTATAGGTACTACTCATTGGGAGACTATATACTTATAGAGATAGTATTAGTAATGTCAAACGATTGTCGAAAGACTGATGTGTAGTGAAACAAGAAGTAACAACTTGACCATTCTAGCTCGGCCTCTGAAAATTGGATGCGCAGTAGACCAGTCGGCTGGAGTGGGGCGAGAGCTCATTATTGTCGAGGAACTGGTTAGAACAGTAAAGTACGATTGTACTTTCCAATAAGAAGGCGTAGTGAATCTTTGTCGCACACTAAACATCTCTGTTTATCGTTTGCGCATCTCAGGGGCCAAGCTAGAATGGTCAAGCTGTAAGATTCGCATGAATGTGATCGTTCCAACTGATGGTGATAAACAGTTCTCTACTGATCAAATAAAGCTAAAAAATAAATGCATCCAGAAATCATCATGATATCAAGACGGCCGCTATCGAGACAGGTCTCCGTGTGACGTCATGAGTGGCCATCTTGGTATGATATTCCCTTGAGTTGACTACTCTTTTGGAGACTATACATGGAAAAGCTGTCTTATGAAGCCCACTGGCCAGACTGCTTTCGAGAGAATGATGAAGAAGCGATCAAACAAGAAATGTTTGCATTAGTGGGATCGCTCCAACCGGTGTTCAACTGTCTTATTCGTTGCCTCTCCTGCTTAAAAAAGAAGATTATGCACCCACAGAATCCGAAGTAGAACTACAGTTTAGTAGTGCATCTATGACTCCTCGCCAAGCTTCCATCTTATGGCTTGCCTCAAACAGGTCTCTCCATGTAGTGGTCGACGGAGTTTCATCTGACTCTCTTATCATAAATGCTGGTGTTCGGCAAGGATCAATTCTAGCACCAACACTATTTCTACTCCATATCAACGATTTGTTGGAAGCAACTTCATGTCCAGTACACAGCCTCGCGGATGATAGTACCCTCCATACCGCCCTCTCTTCCAGGGCTCCAATAACAGCCAGGCAAATCAGAAACGCACTAGTGCGGGAAAATGACACTTCCCAAACTAAATTTGCGTGTGGGTATAGGGTGAATCACGCACGCTTGTAGAAAAAATAATTGACTCCTAACAATATATGGTTGTTGGCCTACCCCACTCACCATCGACCTCGGCACCGCTCTCGAAATGATCCGAGTCCCTTCGCTGTTCCTCCCCCTTGAGACTATCCGCCCTGGTTGCCACATCCGTTGGTATGGCTGGCGATTCTGCGTCGGCGAAGTCGCTGTCGTAAAATGAATCCGAACTAGGATGATCCTGTGAATACGACGAAACGAATTTATTTCGACAACTGTATAAATACACCCACCGGCAAAAAAATTACCGGAGAAAAATTTTGCCAATTCGATCGCCCTGTAACTTTTATAATTCTTCTCCGATTTCCTGTATTCATTCGGAATTTCGGAATGTTTCATGTAGGTTCTGAATTATGGTTAATGAAAATCAAAAAAATGTCTTTCTCAAAACACTTATTATTGTATCTTCTCTTATAAAGAAAAAATTGACGTGAATGGAGAACCATTGTGTTGAAAGGATCACTATTCAATCCAAATCATATCATAATTCATGATGAAGCTTATTTCAATCACTCCACTTTTGCCACAGGGCATCAAGAAGTTGAGGGTGAAAATTTGGATTTTTTCTGCACGCTAGTAAAAAAAATAGTGTACCTAACATGTGCGTGAAGTGCCTTCTTCGTACTCAAAGAATTATATATACGAACTCCGCGTCGCGTCGTTTGCCTAACTGTATTTGCTTGCAGAAAAGTAACACTTTGATTGATTGATTGTCTTTATTAACCCAAGAAACATATCTGTTTATAATCGAGAAACATGAACGCACATATCAAAATGATAATAATAATAATAATAATGAAAGGTTACGTGCATTGACCCTCGGCTAACGCCATTGAGCCATTATTCACGCCGCAGGCCATAAACGCATACTTTACGCCTTTAATACATAAATAACTATAATTGGGACCCGGTCTCAAACATGAATCTACGATTTCGTCTCAATTTCACCGACATCGGACGAAAACTAAAAAAGCTACAGGGTGATCAATTTGGGTGAATTTTTTTGTGGTCCTTATTTTTCTTGCTCTCACCGATAGGCTGCTGGTGGAGCGCTGGATGTCCTGCACGTTCAGCGACTCCGCCTCCTGCATCCACTCGTCGACGTTGACTCCTCCGGCTCGCAAACATTCTATCCTTGCCTCGGCTTTCGCCTTGGCCGTCTCGGCGCGCCGTACGTTCTGCTTCAGCTCGTCGATCTTCGTGTCGAGGTCGGGGCCGTTCGGGTCGTTCGGGTCCACCTGCGAGAGAACAATGTGCGATGGATCCCGTGCTTATTTTATATTAGGATCTTCCTTATGAGTACCTCTTACCCAGTCAACACATCTGTGACATGACATCTCTGAGATGTCGCGTTTAGGTTCGCGTTCCATCGCTGCTATGTACAGAAGCAAACACATCTGCAATATGATATCTCTGAGAAGTCGCGATGAGGCAAAACTTCCATATTACGAATGTTACATCGCTGCGATGTACAGAAGCAAACACATCTGCGATATATCTCTGAGAAGTCGCGATGAGGCAAAACTTCCATATTACGAATGTTACATCGCTGCGATGTACAGAAGATCTGCAATATGATATCTCTGAGAAGTCGCGATGAGGCAAAACTTCCATATTACGAATGTTACATCGCTGCGATGTACAGAAGCAAATACATCTGCGACATGATATCTCTGAGAAGTCGCGATGAAGCAAAACTTCCATATTACGAGTGTTACATTGCTGCGATACCCGAGGGACCACCAACCAGTCACAACAGCACATAATCAATATTAGATGTCATCAGAAGTCAGTGGTGTACCAATTATCACACCATGTTTGAGGAAACTTTTTTCCGCTTCAAACACACATTGCTTTTCCATCACAAATAACATATCGTAATAACTAGGAACCGAATAGTTAACTATTCCTGAGGGCTATGTCCGATAATCTTTTCCTAGTTTGCTTAAAACAGTTCCCTCAATATTCCTTTCATCTTATCGTAATAACATTGCATAAAATATATCGCTGTTATATCGCAGAGAACTTATCGTAGCGATGTCGCATGGATGAAACTTGAGTGGGACAAAATAACATATCTCTGACATCGCAGCGACGTCTTTGCGACATAGAATGCGGTATCACAGGTCACCATTGTTACATTGCTGCGATATTGCTGTGATGTAATTGTGTTTGCAGTATTGAAGTTTGATACGAACAGCCTTCTCTCCCAAATAAGTCTCAGAAATTCATTCTGAGAATTGAAAAAGATCGAACAGAACATATAATCATCGAAAACTTGAGAATGGTAAATTTGGTCATAATGATGATATTTTCTCTAGTTAATGGACAATCTCGGTCTTCTTGATGTTTCGTTCTCTAATGACGGACACGATTGAAGGGAGTTTCAGATCTCTGGCGATTTGATTATTCCGAACATTATTACAAATTAATATCGATTTTTTATCGAATCACTAACCTTCTGCCCAGCCTCCCTTAGCGCATTGAAAATCTGCACTTTCCGCACGTACTCCCTAACGTTGTTATTCTCCCGCGCGATTTTCGTCGCCCACCTGCGAGCCTCCTTGCTCAGCGCAGCCGCGGCAGAGTCGTGCTCGGCGGTCACGTGATCGACGGGGTCGCTGTCGCACGGCTCGAACTCGTAGTTGATGTGCTGCTTCAGCACGGGGTAGTACAGGTAGCAGCACTGGAGGTTGTAGTCGCGCGTCAGCTGCTTCGCCTGGTTGCGAACGGTGGTGAAGCTGTTCTGGGTGGCGGAGCAGGTGAGAAGCTCGGTGCGGCTCATCAGGTGCAGGTATTCGGCCACTTTGTCGTACACGCCGCTCTCCATGGTGGTCATGCACAGTTGCAGGTCGACGACGAAGTACCTAGGGAAGGTAGGGATCCATATTGTGCTCTTTTGTTCTGTAATGATACTGATAGAACATCCCTGATTGAATCTTGTGTGTTACGTATAGGCGATGATGTAATTCCATTCAAGAACAGCACAAAAAAATCTAGGGTTAATAATCGATTATAAACTTCGATTCAAAGAACATGTCAAGCACATGCTGAAGAAATGCTATTCTAATTTGAAAATGATTTACCCTCTTAGGCGCTCTCTCTTGAACAAGATATCAAAAAAATGCTTTGTGAGCCATTGGTGTTATCCCAGCTCAATTACTGCGATACTGTCTACGGACCTTGCTTAGATGTTTTTGATATAAAACGCATTCAAAAAGTTCATAAATTGAAAGATGTTAATTGGCTGAACATGCTTAGCAGACGTGAATTGCACATGGTTTGCAGAAAAGTGCTGAGAACAAAAAAGCCGGAATACCTGAGAATTCTGAGATTATTCACTTTCAAATATTCCTGATGGAATATTTTTTGTATATTACAATGAAATATAACACTGGAATATTTACATTGGAATATTTCTTGTTGCAGAGGCATGTATATATATTCTAGGAATATTCGGTAGATATTCAGAATAAACTCCTCCTTTTTAGCATATTCAGAAAATATTCTAGGTATATCCAGTGCTGTCTGGGTGAGAAGGGTATAGAGATCCATGGAGGGAGGACAAAACAAACATGATCTGTTCAAGATATCAATGCAGAAATATTGAAGGTAATGCATAAAATATTGTATTCAAGACCTTTTTTACAGAAAACCAGAGAGAGATTAAATAACAATCATGGAAAATTGTGTTTTAGTGAACCTTGTGTTGGTGTGGTGGAAGCATTTATGATGATGTAACTTGCATACCTCTTTCAATAAATACAAAGAACATTCAAAAAGATAAGAGATATGTATTTCAACCAATCAAAACTTGCAGGATATATCTTGACCGAAAATGGGCAGCATTCAACTGACTTCGAAATAATGTGGAAATCCTGGCTAGAAATAGCACGATCAAAAAATCAAACAGAGAAACGGCCAACATTCAATAACCGGTTCAGTTGATATGGTTCTCAATTCTGAAGACTGCATATGGAAACGTTAAATTATTCAAGATAGAAGAATTTTAATCACTGAGTATCAACTTGTAACTGAAGAGTTTCAACCGAAAATAGCGCGAAAAATGTGCAAAGCTATAAAAGAATTTGTTTGCGTTATTTATAAAAGTCATTTTATTGGCCTCAAACATGTTTTTCAGATTTCAGGGTGAATTTCTGATCATAGATGTCAGAATTTTGTCCATAAATTCCACTCCACCCTGCACATGATCACAATTTTTAGTGTAGAATATCTGCGGATTTGTTTCAATTCATTTATTGACAATGAATCATCAATGATTAAGCGTGAGGCAGACTTCTTTTGGTTAAGGTCTCATAAAAAAGAATGCCTTTTATGTTTATGTGATATCGTCAAATTTTTGGAAATGGTGTTGCTGGTGATGAAGAGATATACGAGTGTCCATCTAAGTATCCACAAAAAAATTGAATTACGCCAATTTTCCTACAGTGTTTCAAAGTTGTTGAGGAACTTGTAAGTTTGGCATCATCAAATAAGCGAATATTTCTTCTCTAAAAAGAATCACCGTATATGTATCACCGTATGTAATACATGGAAACAAAATTGTTCAACTTCATCATTCATGAGATATAGTTCTATAAACAGGTGAAAAAAATCAACCTAGGAATCTGTTTGTATAAGACACGCGTCATTTACCTGGTTTGATGTGCATTTGCGGCAGCAAGACACAATAAATAGTCGTTTCTGGCTCCCGATGATTTCTCCTCGAGCTGATCTCTTTTTGATGAGAATTTCGCACTGTTCTTTTGCAGAGACGTGATCGATTGGAAAAATGAGCCTTTCTTCTTTTTAAGCCTGCAAAAACACGAACAAACACCTAGTATCGCATCGATTCTCATGAGATCGTTGATGGGATTTCATTCCCCCATATCTATGTTCATTGTATCAATATTGCATCTATATTTTTATCATTCGAATCAATTCATTCCAGTACATTGCGAGATATACTTGTGCGATCAACCCTGAGAACGAATTTATTGTCTCGACTCGAAATAAAAAGTTACATATACTCTGTTCAATTATAAAAGCTGATAGGTATTATCAATAACTCACTTCTCTTCAATATCCCTTGCTTTATCTCTAACTTCATGTGCCCCGTGTTCTTCATCGAAATATAATTTCTTGGTTTTATCGACATCTTGCACGCAAAGCTGAACTTCTTTCTGAACCATCGCTAGTTGATCTATGCACTGAAAAAATGTAAATAACCTATCAAAATTTGAAGTTGAATAAGCAGCAACCGTATTTTTTCATTTGTCATGAATGAACTATCATTCAACTAGTCATATTGGAATCATTGCGGTAATATCGATTTTGGCGCAGTCGGTAGGATAGGATACCATCATGTACGCACAGGTTACCAATAACTTTCGATGAAATCATATAATGATTCCAGTGTTCAGTTTGATGACCTAGAGACACATATACTGACCTTTTTGGCGGCTTGAATCTTGTGAGCCCTCAACACCTTGGCATCATCCGCTATTTGTTGCTGGAATACTTCAACGGCCGCCAACCGAGCCCTAGCTAATTTCTCGTTCTCTTCTAGCACAGTTCGCCAAACGTTCCACATATTCCTGCAATCAATAGAGAATTTAGGATATTTCGAACACCAAATATTGGGAATGAAATTCCATCAATTTAGGGTATGGCCAATTCATTGATCTGCGGTTTGGGTCTCATCATAGCTCTAGCCAGTCAATAGCCTACGTGTGACATAGCCCATTGTCCAGGTGATAATTTTCCTTATTTGGACTCTCATAAATAACATTTCGTAAAGGAGGGAAACTGAGATGAATGATTTAGTCCGGATCTAGGTCCACCTCGTAGGTCATAAGATTGACATCTACTCCCTCCAAGTTAATCAAAGCTATTCTACTCTAAGATCACTCTGTTATCTTTCATAAATAGAAGAAGGCACACCCTTGCTCTGACAATGATACCAATCAACAAAACCCTCGAGCTAGGTTATCTTTTCCTGAAATAATGATTTCAAGGCAGCATCTTCCTCAAATCGCCATACTTGAGATTATTCTTGTGCTCGGGGAGAGAGCTATAGATTCGGCCTGAATCCTCTAGCAAGAAAAATAATTATCTTTTTCCACCACTTGCCCTCTAGAACCCATATAATTACTTCCTCCGTTTCTCGTTGCAAACTAGTGTATTAGTTTTTTCATTTTATCAACTACAGTGGTCTATATAGACATGACCTTCTATTAATCTGAATTCACAGTACAGTGCAAATTATATTCATTGAAGAACATTGCTAGTGGTATAAAAATATAATATATACACCTTGGTAACGAAGAATATCATTGACAAAGGACCTTAGCTAAGGCCTCGGGGTATAATCGCCCTAGCTAATGATATGTTTCACTGTCATGGTGTATCAATAACTAGGAGTAACTTCCACAATAATCACAATCCCTGCAACCATTTTATCGTTCAAAGGCGTTTCATAAGGCTAGAGCAATGTTGAAGTCTCAAGAACATCTGTCATTCTGTCAAACAAGATCCCACTAAGAACGCCCTTTCAAGCTCTCATTCCAAGGTTACTCCGCGATGACCTTGTAAGGGGGTAGAACAGGCCTGAGTCTACTACTGGTAAGAATCTCCTTTATAGTTTCTTTTCCTAGTTAGTATTTATCACATGACAAGGTAGTGTCTTTTATGATGTATGAAAAGCAAGTATGCCCAAGTATTTTTCACCCAAACTCATTCATATTTCACGAAATCACGTGTGCCAGTCCAACTAGGACAACTTACCATTTTTCTTCTCCTCCTTCCAATTTAATATCGGGAATATTCGGTATTTTCTTGTTCAAATACGCCGACGATATTTTAAGAAGGGCCTGAAAGGGTTCAAAAGTTTAATAAGCACGTTCGACTTTGGAGTGACTGGAGATGAGGAAATATTTACTTCAGAGTAGGATTTTTCGATGGCTGATCGTTTGATGATGAAGGACCTGATGTCTTCGAGAAGATCGCACTCGTGTTGATTTTTCAGTATCAGCTTGTTTATCTGTTCTGTATGGAGGTTCTTGAGAAATTTCACATAATTGCCCTGAAATGGAAACGGCCATGTTTCAATTATCGATTTTGAGATTTTATGAAAGTTTTTGCGCTCTCTCTGTATCAGAACATTTTCAAGGGAGATTGAATATTCATAAAAAAAGTATATTGAGACAAAAAAATAATCCCGTTTTTTATCAGAAATATAAATATTTGAAGTGTAGATACGATGAAATTCCGTAGAATACAAATTTCCAACGGAAATATAGGATGTCATTATTGAAGAATAAAAGATGAATCATTGCCTGGTTGGATTAGAAATAGAATTCATCATGCCAACATGTCTAAAAGTACAAAACAGATATTAAAAAATGGAATCTTCTCCTGAGGATGCCAATATTGTTATAGTGAATGGCTTTGTTTAAAAAATGGAATATAACTATTGTATGCGTATTATCTTGGGTGATCAGACCGAACCATGAACCGTTTGACGATAATCTCTCTACCAAATATTAGTAATGTCGATATCGACGATAACAATACGTTTTAAATGGAGAAAGACACGTTTTTCTCAGCTTTTTCATTATTTCATTATTCAATATTCATCACTAAAAAAAGGAAAATAATTCTTGCAGAAGCAATCGCAGCGAACGATTGAAATTGAAAAATTGGATAGACAAGGAAAAACCAGATACTTCCCAAGCAAAAAAAAACAGTAGGTGACCCACTGCATTCAAACAATAAACAAATATATTATGTGACTCCACTCGTGTTAGTATTATCTTGTGCGATCAAACCGAACCATGCACCGTTTGACGATAACCTGTCTAGCAAAAGACCTGACAATAATCCCGAAAAAAAATCCCACCTTTCTCGGCGGCGACTGCATATTTCGCTGTCGCAAAATATTATGTATTTTTTATTGTGTCTCCCAAAAACGAGTTGCCTTTTGCACGTCCGTACCTAACAGTGCCAGTATCGACGATATCAATACGTTTTAAATGGGGAAAATACACGTTTTTCTAAGCTTTTTTCATCTCATTATTCAATATCCACTGAAAAAAAGTGGAATTATTCTTGTAGAAGCAATTGCAGCGAACGATTAATGTTGAAAAATTCTCAAAAAACAAATCAGTACGTGACCCACTGCATGAGGAAGAACATTGACACACTAAACAAGAATATGATGTCACTATTGTGCGTGTATTATCTCGTGAGATCAAACAAAACCATGCACCGTTTGACGATAATCTGTCTAGCAAATGTCCCGACAATAATCTCAAAAATAATCCCAGAAAAATCCCACCCTTCTCTTATTGTGTCTTCCAAAAACTTTTTCATTATTTCATTATTCAATATCCACTGATAAAAAAAGAATAATTATTCTGGTAAAAGCAATTGCAGCGAACGATTGAATTCGAAAAAAAAAAGATTCTTCTCAAAAACAGAGCAATACGTGACCCACTGCATGAGCGAGAACATTGACACACTAAACAAAAATATGATGTCACCATTGTGCGTGTATTATCTTGTGAGATCAAACCGAACCATATGCACCGTTTGACGATAATCTGTCTAGCAAATGTCCCGACAATAATCTCAAAAATAATACCAGAAAAATCCCACCCTTCTCTTATTGTGTCTTCCAAAAACTTTTTTATCATTTCATTATTCAATATCCCCTGATAAAAAAAGAATAATTATTCTGGTAAAAGCTATTGCAGCAAACGAAAGAATTCGGAAAAAAAAATTCTTCTCAAAAACAGAGCAATACGTGACCCACTGCATGAGCGAGAACATTGACACACTAAACAAAAATATGATGTCACTGTTGTGTGTGTAGTGTATTATCTCGTGAGATCAAACCAAACCATGCACCGTTTGACGATAATCTGTCTAGCAAATGTCCCGACAATAATCTCAAAAATAATCCCAGAAAAATCCCACCCTTCTCTTATTGTGTCTTCCAAAAACTTTTTTATCATTTCATTATTCAATATCCACTGATAAAAAAAGAATAATTATTCTGGTAAAAGCAATTGCAGCGAACGATTAAATTCGAAAAAAAGAAAAAGATTCTTCTCAAAAACAGAGCAATACGTGACCCACTGCATGAGCGAGAACATTGACACACTAAACAAAAATATGATGTCACTATTGTGTGTGTAGTGTATTATCTCAAGAGATCAAACCGAACCATGCACCGTTTGACGATAACCTGTCTAGCAAATGACCTGACAATAATCCCGAAAATAATCCCGGAAAAATCCCACCCTTTTTTTATTGTGTCTTCCAAAAACGGGTTTCCTTTTGCACGTCCGTACCTAACAGTGTCGATATCGACGATATCAATACGTTCTAAATGGGCAAAAGACACGTTTTTCTAAGCTTTTTCATCATTTCATTATTTATCCACTGAAAAAAAGAGAAATTATTCTTTTAAAAGCAATTGCAGCAAACGATTAAATTCTTAAAATGAGATAGACAACAAGAAACAGATTTTTTCCAAAAACAGAGCAATACGTGACCCACTGCATGAGGAAGAACATTGACACACTAAACAAAAATATGATGTCACTATTGTGCGTGTATTATCTCGTGAGATCAAACCAAACCATGCACCGTTTGACGATAATCTGTCTAGCAAATGTCCCGACAATAATCTCAAAAATAATCCCAGAAAAATCCCACCCTTCTTTTATTGTGTCTTGCAAAAACTTTTTTATTATTTCATTATTCAATATCCACTGATGAAAAAAGAATAATTATTCTGGTAAAAGCAATTGCAGCGAACGATTAAATTCGAAAAAAAGAAAAAGATTCTTCTCAAAAACAGAGCAATACGTGACCCACTGCATGAGCGAGAACATTGACACACTAAACAAAAATATGATGTCACTATTGTGTGTGTAGTGTATTATCTCGTGAGATCAAACCGAACCATGCACCGTTTGACGATAATCTGTCTAGCAAATAACCGGACAATAATTCCGGAAGTATTCCCGGAAAAAATCCCACCTTTCTTGGCGGCGGCTGCATCTCTCGCTGTCGCAATTGCGGGACCTCGTCCGCCACACGTCGATCGCCACTCCCGAAACTGTCGGCGCCCGTATCGATTGCGGGGCGGCCGACCGCCGCCGACCGAGAGGCGGCCGCGCGCCGTGAGGGTGCGCCTGCGCAAGGCGGGGGCGGGTTGCGACCGCCGGCGGTGAGGCGGCGCCACCTGCGACCAAAGTTTACAGAATATACTTCTCCTACAACTGTGAAAAAACTGAACTTTTTTAATATACTTCAGGGTGTCTCAAAATTGCTGGGACACAGAGCTACCACGTATAGAAGAGGTCAAAATAAGTTGATTGGACCCTATTAATTTATGTGTCAAAATGTACCGTTTGTCCGTGAGAAGGGTTCAAAGTTCACATAAAAAACACATTTTTGTACGCTGTTCAGAAACACGTGAAACGAATTTGATGAAATTATTGTAGTGTATTTCAGAGGCTTACTTTCTTTTTGGTAATCGAAGAAATCTAAAAGAAATTGTAGAAGGGTTAAAACCACCCTCACCCCCCGACATTTTTTTCAGAAGGGGTTCATAATACGGTTCTGAAATTTTTTGAGCACGAAGACTAATCAATTACCTTCATTTAATTGCTTTGAGTCAAAGGTAATTAATAGCATTTTGATACAGCGTGCTGTATAATAAATATGATGTAACTGTTTTTGCTGGGTATACGATCTTCAATTTTCGCAGTTTTCTTAATGTCAAATAAGTTATGATAAAACCAATAGTTAAAAATGAATTCATATATCAAAGACAATAGTAGTCGTGGACAAAATGAATGTACAGGGGCAGGAGCCCTATAGCTATGACTCTCGGGCTCGGAATTTTCTTATTGTCAAGATTGTTAGATTCAAAGTTTTGGCGAACACGCCGGGCACATTTAGATTGCATTATGGATATTTTTTATTCAACAGCCGTGGATATAGCAGTATAGTATTCTACTCGCGTATAATGAGCTATTATTCACTCAGGTTAATTATGTCACGAGCGTATAGCGAACTTAACATTCGTAAATAATAACCCTCATTATATTATTATGTTTGTTGAATTAATATACCTAGGTACTATATTTTTGAAATATTTCTACTCAATAATAAACGGACGATTTCAGAGAAGGTGATAGCAGGTTAGAAGTTTTATCGAATCGATTATTGTGTTATTGTTTCCTCTTTGTAGATAAAAAACCACAAATTGCAATTGCACAAGTTTCCTGCTAGTCCCTCGAAAATTCTATTCTAAAAAATCTCTTGGTCGGTGAGCCCTGCTCAGATTCCTAAAAATGGTATCAATATCGATCATAAATGTTCCTAAAACAATGACTGAAAATAATAAGGTATTACTTACCTTTTTTTCAATGTTATCATTTTAGGAAACTTTATATAGGTAACGAAATATGAAATTCAAATCGAATCAGCAAGCCACAAACATGCCAATTAGAACTGACACTAATGACAGTACTGACAGTGAGAAGGTGAGAAGTATCAGTAATACCAATCAACGAAAAAGAACTCAAATTCCACTGTTCTGATTTCTGATGTAGTAGGTCATTTTGTTTTCAATTTTGTGAAATTCCGATTCTAGAGTCACTGGATATTATTAGTTTGATAAAACTAATAACATCCAGTGACTCTATCCGATTCCTATGATGAATCACCATCAAATATCTGGGCTCGAATGGCATATCCTGGGTTATTTCAATTATCATTTGCTGCTCACTAGCGCACCTGTGTGGTCAATTGGCAGATGTCATTTTTTCATAATAAAATAGTGAAAGATGTCATTGTCTTATGTCATATTTCTCATATTGATGATTAATTGATTAATGAAAAAATCAAAACAATACCATAATTTGTACCAAAAATGAAAAGATTATGTTAAATATCACATTTATAATTTTCTTTGTTCAATTGCATAAATTGCTTCGTTATGAATATTTTATTACAATGAGGACAATGAAGACCACCTATTATAATGAAACAATGATGAAAGGAGCATAGAAGTGAATACTTGATAAAATTCGATAAACCCATCAAAAATCAACAAAAAGGTAGAAATGGGTGGTTATGTGCCATTTTCAAGACTCACAGCTATTTTTTTCCGAATGGTTTTGAGGGTTTGGGCCTACTCTGGTCTTGTTCTGGTTTTTTGTTTTTTACTGTATTATATGTATGGTGGAATATTTGCTGTATCCTTATTATTTTTTGCTGTCACAGGTAACTCACCTATTCAGGCAGAATACCAACTGAAGCTAATGATGTAATATATTTTTCAGGTATTTTATACCAAGTTCAGGATAATCTGCTCTTCAACCCAGAATTACCTACTCATTCTAGAGTATATGTACCTATACCTTCCATGTTCAACCTTCCATATGAGAGTATAATGGCTAGAACATCAGATGGTATCCAAATTCACATGTATTTCATATCACAAACCAAAGATAAGCAGAGAAGTGCTCCAACCATTATATTTTTCCATGGTAATGCTGGCAATATGGGGCATCGTCTGCAGAACTGTGTTGGCTTCTATCATAACTTGCAATGCAATATATTACTAGTTGAATATAGGGGATATGGTCTATCAGAAGGCAGTCCTTCTGAAGATGGGTTATATTTGGATGCTAAAGCTAGTATTGACTACTTATATACAAGGAATGATATCTGTCATTCTGAAATAATTGTGTTTGGGAGATCTCTTGGTATGAATAGTGAATTATTCATTTTTTTTTATTCAATTGCTTCTGTTCAATAGGTGGTGCAGTAGCAATTGATTTAGCTACAAGAGAAGAATATGCTGGTAAAATTTGGTGCTTGATGGTAGAAAATACCTTCACAAGCATTCCAGATATGGCTAAGGTATTGTTGGGTTGGAGAATCTTGCAGTATTTTCCACTATTTTTTTATAAAAACAAGGTAAGCATCTTCTATGGTTTGAAACATACTGGTTAGATACTGGTTTTGTTTGGTTTTTATTTGATGTTTTATTGCAGTTCTTGTCATATCAGAAGGTATCTCATCTAAGAATACCAACACTATTCATATCAGGCTTAGCTGATACTCTTGTTCCACCACGTATGATGCAAGAGTTGCACAGTAGCTGTTCCAGTGTCAGGAAACAAATTTTACAAATTCCAACTGGTACTCACAATGAAACATGGCAACTGCAAGGGTACTACAGATCTCTGGCTGTGTTTCTAGGGAGCTGTAGGATAAAAAGTACTGTTAGTGATTTTGATATTAAAATAGACAATGAAAAAACAAAAAATAATGGTCTCTGGAGTAATGTACAAACTATTTAGATATTTATATAAATTAATGATGTTCAGTAGGTAAGTTCAGTGGAGGATGGCCTTCAAAATGAATATTTCAACAAAAACCACAATGCAATCAGATTCCCAGAATCATTTTTTCAAACTATTTGATCTGCTTCCACCATTTCAGTCAAAATTCTCCAGTTATCTATTTTATAAATAGTTTGACTTTTGAAATATCTGAAAATGTAGTCATATACTTGCAACACCTTATATCTCAGAAACTAATAATTCATGCAAGAGAAAAACTGATGCTCTATTCTTCTGAGTTTTGAACCGATCACCCTGTATAAATTGGAATTGGTGAACAAAGCTATTACAATCTTGACTGAATGCATGACCTGTCTCTCAAAATAATTTTCTCGGAACAAAAATACCTCAAATACATTCAATAAATTTAATCATACTGGTAATCTTCCACTGAACTACTAAAGTACAAGAAACAAATGCTGTGAACTACTCCAAACTGTATATATATCATTGTTTTTAGATTTAAACAAAGTCTTATGTTTCCTTCATTTACAATATCTTGCAGAATTATTTTTGCAATGAGTTTTTATAAAAATAGACACAAAACTTCAATTAAGTCTTGTCCTCACATGAAAATTGTGTTTCTGACTTTCATTTCTCAAAAGTCCCTTCTCTCCTATTTTTCAAAAAATTATGAGATCTATTAGCACACCTGTGAGCTTCAATTCCCATTAGTTTGTTTCAATTGTCAAAGGAACGCATATTATACAGTGTGGCTAAGATAAAAAGTTGCACAGCATGAAAATCTCGGGAACTGTAGAAGATACGAACTAATGGGAAAAAAGTTGCGCATTCAGAGAGTTTTTCCTCTAAAAATTGTTGAAATGAATTATAGAGTTTCAGTAAATGAAGTAAGGTCAGCACGAATTCGGAGAGAAATCAAAGATCGGGCCAGCGCGGTTCGCTACATTTCTCAGCCGTTGAAGATAGAACAGAAATCTAATATTTTCTTCGTGTAAATCGAGGACGCTGATGATGACTATCTGTTCCAGAGTCGCTAACAACGACTATCACTACGAATCGTTCGTCAGTGAGATAACAGAGATTCATGAATTCCTAAATTTTTTTGTTGGCAATCGATAGATCTCGTCGAGACCTTCAATTTGATATGTTACACGATAGGTCTAACTCTGTTCGTTGCTGAGATATTCCAGTTTTTCCAATAGACATAAAACATAACCTCACTAAAAACTAAAAATTGAGCTAGGAGGCTGAAACTTGGTACCTAGGGTGAATGGGGTACGGTGAAAGTTATAGAACAAAAATTGTTCCGTCAATTAATGAGCAATTTGGTATACTAGCTATGCCCACCAATTTTCGAGACCCTATCTGGAATAATTCGAAAGTTACAGTCCTGGCCGTTTTTTGTGCACTTCGCTGTATATATATGCGACATTTTATGTATGTCGTGTGGTCTTCACCAAGTTTCGCGGAATGGGCGGGAAAAGTTTTAGTAGAGCACAGATTTCAGTAATCCGGGTCTTGGATATGTGATGAAGAGACTTGGCAACATTGCATCTAGGCACACCGTTAGAGCGCACACGCACCGGCCTTCAATGAAGTAGAGGTGCAATGCTTGGAAAAGTGACTATAGTCTAATTTGCAAACGGAGGAGCCACCGAAATTAAACCGAACGACAGCTAGCAGTGATGCCAAGTGATGCACTACTTTTATACTCGATGTCTTTTATGTTTTGACCTCCGAAGTGGCCTCTCCTTCTTTCTTTCTTATGCAGAAGTGATATTTCTTTCGGTCGCGCCTGCATGAGTGATCCGATTTCGACACGAATTCGACTGAAGCGCTCTCGTTGTCATTCTCGCGTATGCAGTGAATTCATATACCCAAACGGACTAGTGGTTAGGGCTGTCGACTCTCAGTCTGAAAGTCTATACAGTGTGTCCCACTTAGCATGCTCACCATGGGTATCTTTTAAACGGTGAGAGATACGAGGTCGGTTAAATGACACCAAATGTGGAGTTTGTCAGGGCCAACTATAATGTGAAAAAATATTTTGATAAAATCTATTCGTTTTTGTTTTATACGCAAAAAACAGATTTTGATCATTTTCATGTCTCCTCCGTAACTTCTTTATTTATGAAAATATTCAAATAGGAATTCCACATTCTTATGGCAGTTTTTCAAAGTGATTTCGAAAAAAATATGAAATTTATACCAACTCTTCTAGAATTTGAGATATCAGCACCAACTTTTGTTTTTCAAATGTAGGTCATAGCTCACTATGACTTAGTTACAAATAACTTTTTTTTCTCTTTCAGATGATATATCGCAGTAATAGTTTTGTGTTGATAACAACGGAGTTATCGTCATTTATACAAGAACAAAGAATTATTTGGAAGCCGCCATCTTGAATTTATAAATTTTAACAAAAAAATCATGATCTCCGACCTCAAAAACCCCCACTTACCAATTTTGAATGGAATCGGACCAAATCTTGTCCGCCATCTTGGAGCAGCCATTTTTTTTTAATTTCAACAAAAATTCCATACCTCCGATTAACTTGAAATTTGGCAGGTGTTCATAATTTCGGTGAAAACACATTATGGAATTTTTGCTGAAATTAAAAAAATGGCTGCTTCAAGATGGCGGACAAGATTTGGTCCGATTCCATTCAAAATTGGTAAGTGGGTGTTTTCGAGGTCGGAGATCATGATTTTTTTGATGAAATTTATAAATTCAAGATGGCGGCTTCCAAATAATTTTTTGTTCTTGTATAAATGACGATAACTCCGTTGTTATTAACACGAAACTATTACTGCGACATATCATCTGTAAGAGAAAAAAAAGTTATTTGTAACTAAGTCATAGTGAGCTATGACCTACATTTGAAAAAGTAAAGTTGGTGCTGATATCTCAAATTCTAGAAGAGTTGGTATAAATTTCATATTTTTCTCGAAATCACTTTGAAAAACTGCCATGAGAATGTGAAATTCCCATTTGAATATTTTCATAAATAAAGAAGTTACGGAGGAGACATGAAAATGATCAAAATCTGTTTTTTTTGCGTGTAAAACAAAAACGAATAGATTTTATCAAAATATTTTTTCACATTATAGTGGGCCTTGACAAACTCCACATTTGGTGTCATTTAACCGACCTCGTATCTCTCACCGTTTAAAAGATACCCATGGTGAGCATGGTAAGTGGGACACCCTGTATATGGTTAGAGTTGCTGTGAACCTGAACTTTTTTCACAACTTTTTTTTTACCGATGCTTTTTTACTTCGTTCTGGTTAAACTTCATCAGAACATATTTGGAGTAAAATAGGTTAGTGAGTTCAGGATGAACAGTCTCATTTTTGAATTTCCAATTTGTTTTCTCAAGTATTTTTTCCGAAGAACATACTTTCTAGGAAGAAAGTTATTTTTTAGGCCGACAGGTTAGGTTAGGTGTTTAGTCTCCTTTTTGATGGTTATGCATAAAATATATTTTCCTTCCTCATATTTGATTTCAGTGCTGTTTTTATTCAGGAAATTTCGTGTAGACTTGATTCCACGAATAATTGACTCATTTGGCATCACTGCCGTCGTTTGGTGTACGTTCGGGTAATTTCGGTGGCTCCTCCGTTAGCAAGTTAGACTCTAGTGGAAAAGTGTACTGGTGGGACGGTAATGATTTTTTGTAGTGTCGAGTGTTGTTGGTGTGTTGTGGGTTTTGGTACCTTCCGGAATCTAGCGGATAGCCCGGATTAGTTATCGATGGTTATCGGTGTGTCGGAAATAGGTGTTGACATTTTGCGGAACAAATCAAATATTTGCGATAACACAACATTGAGGCATCTGCAACTGAATAAGTGGTTCCCGTATTGATTTATATTCTGAAGCCAGGTAAACCAATGGTATTTTACGTGCTTATTTCCGGTTAGTTCTATTTAAATTTCGCGCACCTTGACTGGAATATTAACAACACCCAGTAGGTAGAGGTAGTTCCTGCATTCCTTCTGCAGCGTGATTTCATTTATATCGAAATGAAATGCCCAGGCGAATATATAATATGGCTTGATTTTTTTTTGAAAAACTGAAAGTAGGACGAAGGTTTCTTGACCTCTATATAATTCTATAAAATAATTAAAAAATCTAAACATACTTGATTAAATTGAAATATAAACATAAATTGCTTGCGCGGCAGCCCTGAACAAAATATTCATATATAATGTTGATAGTCGGTTTTTTAGCGCCATGATTTTGTTTTTGATTATTTAAAAATACAACATAATAATATTATGATAATATATATATATGGCATGTATAGGTACCTATAATAATAAATACAAGGTTTTTTCAAGCCGAATACATCAGATTAAAAAATTATATTATTATAAAGGATTTTATAGTGATGGTTTTAGTAATTATAATGAATGAATTTGGTCAACAGGGGCGTACCCATGGGCAGGTTTGAATAAAGAGATATTTTCTATTAATTCTTCCAAGTATACATATAGTATACAGTGTGTCTCTAAGATATAAAAGGATGTCATGGTTTCACCGAAACGAAACGTTCGTACGGAAAATCTCTTAACGCTGTTTTGTATCGCTTGAAAAGTGGCAATGAGAGATTGTGTTTTGTTTTCCTATATCTCGCTTCACATAATATAACACTAGAAAAAAATGAAAACGAAATCGGCAATTTTCGGATTTTCAGGCATATTTCTGGAAATATAGTCGGAATATTAAACCTTTATAAACGCTATATTGTTATACAGGGTGTATCTAAATAACACCGAAAAAATTTAAGGGGTATTTCCTTGTGACATTTTAGCAAATAAAGTTCATATAAATATGTAACCTAACTTTTGCTCCGTTTATGAGATACAGGATGTTGCAGTTGGAAGTATCAATTGTCTTGAAAACACCTCTACATTAAAATTTGGAGTCAAATCGAATTTTTATTGTTTTCTCAAAAACTAAGCTAGATACGAAAATCATACAATGTATAAAAAGTTGTTTTAAATAGTTCAATCTGATAAAAAAATTAAACTCAGGAAAACCGCGCGGTACAATGACATCCACCATAAATATCGATCAATTTACCCACTGTGACGCCACTGGAAGTATTATTTGGAATCTAATCGCACTAGAAGAAGCTCCATATTACTATTACAAAACCACAAAGTTTTATTGAAATTGATGAAAAGACAATTGAGTAATAATGAATAAAAACACGATCTTTCATGAAAATATTAATACCATATGTATCTCGAAAACCTCGTCGAAAACGAAGCAAGTTAGGACACATGTTCATAAGAATTTTATTTCCTAAAATATCACAAGGAATATCACTCCTTGAATTTTTTCGGTGTTATTAATAAGATACACCCTGTATATCAGCACTGGCCGTAGAGGTTAAGTTTTTCCGAGAGTTTTTCTTATAAGGACAATAAAATCATCAATATGAATATTGATAGGTAACGCACATTTAGTGATTAGGACGAGGTAGGTATACTATTTTAACAATTTCATTCCATTTTCATATCATAATTCATTGGATTCTCAAAGGGTCAAGAAAAAATGCATGTTCTGCATGTAGTTGAACTGAAAAAACTCGTTTTTGAATCGGATCCTTTTTGGGCTTGAAATAGAGTTCTAGGTGATCGTTGACTATGACTTGAATGAAGCAACATATTCATTTACCGAAGATGATGGGCTCGATGATGGGAGTTACGAATTTCTAAAAATAAACGTTCAGTAATTCATTATCTATGCAAGCTGGATAAAAAGTAAAAGTCAAGATTATTCAAGAATAATTATTTAAGTATTGATGTTTATACGTATAAACATTGATTAAATGTTGATTTTTTTTTAAATTGGAGAGAAGCAGCAGTGGTAAATTAAGCAATACATGAAAATTTTATTTTTCCAAGTTTATTTCCTCACCCTATATTTGTTGCATATTTGGATGATTATGAAAACACCCTCGAAAACACCCACATATTATCTTGGAAAAATTGTGTCATTTTCGTAATTTCTGTCATAACCTATTTATTTTGTTTGATTAATTATAGTTATTTATAATGGTATAATAATATCAGATTTTAGGTTGTATTGCAACCGTGTGCTAAAATCTAATATTTTTCCCGTGTATAATTCACTATTCTTTTTGTGACAGGAAAAAAGTCGAATCAATATTTAGAAGATATTACGTTATATTAAAATCAGAAATTTATCGACGTGAAATTTTTAGCAGGAATTTCACCTGCCTTGCAGGCATCTTTTTGTAGGCATCTTTATCATTCTTTTGAGGTAATCAAATATCTGTCAGTCTAATTCTGTGATTTGATTTTGAAAAATTGCGAATTTAGTGGTTGTTAAGTAATTCAGTAACCGCGAAGTGGAATGGAAGATAAACGGACTTGCAGTTCTTTCTAGGAAACGGTGTTATTGGCTTATTTTTCGGAACTAGCACAGAAAAGCCATTTATATCCGGGAAAAAAGTACTCACTTTTTTCCCGTCATAGAAAAAAATGTTTTGTAGGCAAAGTGTTCATACAGGGTGATTCCTAACTGCGGGGGGTGATTTGTTATTTCATTTTAAGACGAAAAGTTTCTATGAACATATGTCCGAAGTTGCTTCGTTTCTGGGATACAGGGCGTTGAAAAGAAAAAAGAAACGGTAATATCACGAATATCCTGGAACCGATTTGGTTGAAATTTGGTACTTTTATTTGTAAAATTTTCTAAAATTTCAGCATAACAAGTGTCAATTATATTTTTGGCGGAAATAATGAAAAACTCATTTCTCCAATGCAGGTGTCCATATGATATGCAATACAGCGGCTTTGATTTTTTCTCTCGGAAACGAAGCTGGATATGAAGAAAATACAGGAGACCAAAAAGTTGTATTTTGAGTTGCTTAATCTAAAAAATATGAAAATCTATCGAAAAAAGTCAGTGGCGTACTTTTTTTTACAATATTGTTGGCTGTGGTGCTCACTGAGACGCCACTGGACCCAATAATCTCAATCTAAATAGGGCTAAATAAGCACTGTATTAGTTCAAATAAGTACCAAATTTTAACCAAATCGGTTCTAGGATAGGTATTCATGATGTTTTATAATTACAGTTTTTTTTTCTTCAATTTCAACACCCTGTATCTCAGAAACGAAGTAACTTCGGACATATGTTAATAGGAACTTTTCTTCCTGAAATGACCTAACGAATCACCACCTGCAGTAAGGAACCGTAGTTAGGAAACACCCTGTATAGCTACTCAGAAAACAAGAAAAAATATCGAGAGCATAATATACTATTATGAATAATAAAATAAATATCGATAAATCTCGATATAAGCACAGAATAAAATGAGCACAAGTTGAAGTGTGAACAAAAATCAACTCATTATTTGATGTGTGTGTGTTCCAGTTTTGTGGCAGTAGCGTAGATTCCGCGGATGTTTGAGCTACGTTGCTCGAATTTGATATGATGGTATAGGAAAATGCTTGGCTTCATCTGAAAGTGTACGTAATACACGACCTGCCACAAAATTTCTCAGTAGTTCAAATTTTGAAACTTTTAGTGATCTTAACTCTCAACAGACACCATCTATTTCTTCATAAAGGACCCCGCACTTTTAGTACGTAAAATGGTTCTCGGTGAAATTTTCTGAATTTTCAGTATGTTGTAGAATTCGATGAACTGATTGAACCTGCAGAATCGTAAGAACTTTGATGAACAGATTCTGAGATACAGGGCGTTGAGGTTACTAATCGGTATTTTTTATTTAATTATTTTCTCGAAATTCAAAGATGATATGATGTCCAATTACACCAGAATTTCATTGTTCCATCCTGTTTACATCATTATCAATTATTATAAAAAGAAATTGCAATATAATTCTCCAAAAGTACTCACCTGCTCATGGGGTTTTCATAAAACATTGCAAATGGCAAAAAAAAGTTAGATCAAGCTCTTTCCAATCTGAAACTCTGAAAGAGATGATGTGTGTTTTCTTCATTCCCTATTTATTTCGGTTTCTCCGATATTTTGATTCTCGAATGAAAAACACCTCTATTTTGTCTAGAAATCTTGGTTTATCCTATGGTTTATCGAATCGATCCACGTATAGCAGCAAAGAAGCTTTTTATTATCAAAAATGTAAATTTTGAATTATACAGGGTGTTTCATAATATATGCGCAAGATAAAAAAGTTCCCATCAACTTACCCTCTAAAATTTTAAATGTTAGAGATACAGCTGTTATGGGGATTTCAAAATAGTAAACGTTTTCTGCAAATATCTCTGGAAAAGTTCATCGCACAGAAAATAGCTTTCGTGAACATTTTCTACTTATAAGAGGCTATGTTTTCACTTTTTTCAGTGTAGAAAATGCCTAAGAAAGCTCTCGCGAAAGCTGTTTTCATCAGTGCGATAAAAGGTTCCAGAGATATTCGCGAAAAAACGATTTTTTTTTAAATTGCAACCCTGTATCTCGAAAATGGTGCATTTTAGAGGGTTAATCTCGAAGTTAATAGATCGTAATGTTGTCTTCATATTTTTTGACGAGCTATCACATCCTGTAGTTCTGCACATATATTATGAAACACCTTGTATATGTATGTTATTTCAAATTGTTTTGAGTGTTTTTTTTCGAATTGTTCGAAATTTCTTCTCGTTTATATACAGGATGTCCCTAAATTGCTGGGACACAGAGATACCACGTGTATAGGAGGTCAAAACAAGTTGATTGGACCCAATTTATTTATGTGCCAAAATGTACCGTTTGTCCGTGAGAAGGGTTCAAAGTTCACATACAAAGTGCCGAATTTCAATTTCATCAAAGTCGTTTCACTTGTTTCTGAACAGCGTACAAACCGAGGTACAAACGGTACATTATTTTGGCACATGAATAACTTTTGTCCAATTAACTTATTTTGACCTCTTCTATACGTGGTAGCTCTGTGACCCAGCAATTTTGGGACACCCTGTATTAATAAAGATATTATTTCAATAGAATCTATAGTTATGATAAATTAGATGATTTGCCCCAAAATGTGAGCTTCAAGCCACCTGTATAATATAATAATATAATGAAGAGAGAATCTTTCAGTTCCCATCAGAAAGGACCCCGCACTTTTAGTACGTAAAATGGTTCTCGGTGAAATTTTCTGAATTTTCAGTATGTTGTAGAATTCGATGAACTGATTGAATCTGCAGAATCGTAAAGTTCTTTGATGAACAGATTCTGAGATACAGGGCGTTGAAGTTACAAATCGGTATTTTTCATTTAATTATTTTATCGAAATTCAAAGATGCCAAGTACAATTTTTTTCGCTCATATCATCAATGAACCTCCATATTACTCAACATAATTCAGATGGTTCAGATAATGTAATTGTTTACAGAGTGAAACATATAAACATTTCAGTGATGTCTGAAAATTCGATGAAATTGTACTTGGCATCTTTGAATTTCGAGAAAATAATTAAATAAAAAATACCGATTAGTAACCTCAACGCCCTGTATCTCAGAATCTGTTCATCAAAGTTCTTACGATTCTGCAGGTTCAATCAGTTCATCGAATTCTACAACATACTGAAAATTCAGAAAATTTCACCGAGAACCATTTTACGTACTAAAAGTGCGGGGTCCTTTATGAAGAAATAGATGGTGTCTGTTGAGAGTTGAGATCACTAAAAGTTTCAAAATTCGAACTCCTGAAAAATTTTGTGGCAGGTCGTGTCCTACGTACACTTTCAAATGAAGCCAAGCATTTTCCTATACCATCATATCAAATTCGAGCTACGTAGCTCAAACATCCGCGGAATCTACGCTACTGCCACAAAACTGGAGCACACACACACAGATATATTTATAATTAAACGTGCAGCTCTGGGAGCACGTTATTTTTAGCAAACTCTCACAACTATAGCCATTGTAAAAAAAATAAGTACCACGTAACTTCCATTCCGCAGAAACCGCCTATGGCTTGACCCACAAAACCCAAAAACCCCGCACCACCAGAGGAAAAGCATGGCCACCCCAACATGGATCTAGCCGAAGTGGTCGAAGATCTCATCTGCACCTTCGACTCCACGGGAGACACCACCATGGACACTCTCGCCATGTTCGTCTTCGGATGGATCCTGGCCGCCCTCTTCCTCCTCTGGCTGGGCAAGAGCCTCTACGAGAGGCTACAAGCGAAGCCCACCGACCCCGGCAAGCCCCAGCTCGTTGAAGCCCCGGCCAAAACCACCGACAGCGTCGACGCCGTCAAGAAACAAGCGCCGGTCACCTCTAGGGGCTACGTGCCGCCTACGCCTCCTGTCAGGAAGAGGCTGACGAGGCAGAGCCCCGCGCCTGAGGGGCGGGTCAAGAGGTTCGTGCCGGCGCCGCAGGCAACGGGGCCGGATAATGTTTGCGTGCTGTGGGTGAACGATGTGTTCCAGTGGCTGTACAACGATTTCGTTATTGTCAACGAGTTGCTGGGGGTGTGGATTCAGGCGTTGAACGAGCAGACGAAGAAGTCTGTGAGCGAGGTAAGAGGATTCTGTTTTCTTTGCACTTTCGGTTTTTTTTTATCGCTTGGAGCGCACGGAAGGGAATCCCTATAACCTATAATGTTCAAAGAACATCGTGCGTTCCTAGGGAGGATAGGGACAGGAGGTAGGTATTGGAATTTTTTTTAAACTTCTGGAGATTATGTGTTGTTGGGAATACTTCCACAGGCAATGAATTCCAGAGCCTAGCCGTTCTATGGATGAAGGAGTCTTGATAAAGTGCTGTTCGACATCTTTCGAGGTTGACAACGAAAGGATGTGCTGACTGGGCTTGTCTAGTTCGTCTGATTGGTATTGCTAGTGAAGGGATGATAGCAGAGATTTCCGAAGAACATTTCCCGTGGAAGTATCGATAGAAAAGTGAAAGGTCGCCGACCTTTCTACGGTGTTCCAATGATGTCAAAGAGTGAGTGAGTGTGGCGTCACCCACCACGCGAATGGCTCTTCTATGTTTTGGTGCTGAACCCCATATGTGGGAACAGTATTCTAGAACAGGCCGTATCTGCGCTTTGTAGATCATGAGAAGGGGGTATACACTATTAATTTCTTTGTCTCTATCAACTTGTTGGAATTTCTTCGGAAGTGTTTGTTTTCTTCCTTTTCATTTATTGATTCAGCTAAAACGAAATCAATGAACAAGGGCAAACCGAGGTGCAAACATATTTTTCACAGGAACCCTTACGGAAACCCAAACAGTAGGCATATACAGGGTGATCCACGGTGGATGGCCTATTAGAAGTATCTGGAGAACGAGAAGACAAAACATTCTGAAAATTGGGATGCTCTGATAATTGAACATTCTCCATCAGTCTAAAATATTTTCATCGATACAGTGTTGCCACTTATATCAGAAACAACTAGCAACTTTGTTATTTCAAATGGAGAACACCCTGTATTTTATTGCATTTTTAGATTCTTCATGAAGAGCTTATTTCATCAATGCATCACACTTGTGGTCTAGCAGGAATGATAACAGAGATATAGGGTGTTCAAAATCGAGATTTTTCAATTTTAGGATTTTTTTTTGTCGAAACTATTCATAATCGATCAAAACGGCTTACATGTCCCTATCCTAACTCTTGATTGACTATCTACTGGAATTTAATTGCAAAAAATTCAGGGTGCTTCAAGATTCAGAATCCTGATCATCCTGTATCTGTTCCAATTAAATGTCAGTAGATAGTGAATCGAAAGTTAAGATAGTGACATGTAAGCCATTTTGATCGATAATGGATAGTTTCGAAAAAAAAAATTCTCAAATTGAAAAATCTTGATTTTGATCACCCTATATCTCTGTAATCATTCCTGCTAGACCACAAGTGTGATGCATCGATGGAATCAGCTCTCCAGGAAGAGTCTGAAAATGATATAAAATATAGGGTGTTCCATTTAAAATAACGAAGTTGCTAGTTGTTTCTGATAGAAGTGGCAACACTGTATCGATGAAAATATTTTAGACGGATAGAGAATGTTCAATTATCAAAGAACCCCCATTTTCAGAATGTTCTGTCTATTCGTTCTCCAGATACTTCTAATAGGCCATCACCCTGTATATACTATACAGGATGTAATTTAATTGATGGCTAAAAATAAAGGATATGGTTCCTTAGCTTTCCCGTGGGAAAAAAGTAATTTATGAAAAGTGACATTTTATAACCTGTCAGCAGAGATGAAATTTCAAAATCTTTTTCCGTCACAGCAAAAAAAATTGTAATTCTCATCGAAAGATTTTCCGGAAATACTATACAGGCTGATTCACGGTGGATGGCACATTAGGATTATTCTGAAAAATCGACCTACATATCCTCAGTGTTGCGACGTTGCCGCTTATATTGAGAAGTAGCAACAACTTTGATTTGATTTTTTAAATGGGACACCCTGTATATTATTATATATTATTACCATATGCAACTGACATATTTCATCACAATTGCAGTAGATTAACGAGTAACAGGATGTGATTTCATTTGCGAGTCACATGGATATGTAATGTCCTGACACAGAAAAAACATGAATTTTTCATATTGAATTCCATCACAGTCACAATGTTCCAGTTCCATGATTTTCCATCAATAACACCAGTTCAAATCACATCACTCTCACCTTTAATTGAATTTAACATTGAAGTGAACGTGGAAAGTATGAAAATTCACGAGATTGCAAGAGCAATAGAGCAATAGATTCTGAGAAAACTTCTCATTCGGTTTCCTGCTTCGAAATTTTCTTGCTCGTCAAAACAAGATTTTTTTTTATTACCTGATGTCATAATTGTTGTTTGAGGACCACCCTGTATATAAGAATAGGTTGATCATGCATCATTTCAAGATTTTTGATCACCGTTCGAACCAGATTGACAAGCTTATAGAAATTAGAGCATCAAATTATGCATCATCTTAATACAACATTCATATTTCAGTAACGCGTGTGACAATTCCAAAAATTATTTCACAGTATCGAGAAAACATATGAAGCAATATGTTTTTGACCCCAAAAAAAATTCTTTCAAACGGGAGGCGTTTGAAATTTTTGGAAAAATGCATAGCTTTGATTATCATCCTGTAGAATTTCATCCGGAAAAGATGGAATAGTCATATCCATAGGTTCGATAGTCAATGAAACGAGCTTTCAGAAACTGAAAAATAATTGAAAATCGGTTGAGAAAATCGAAAGTTATGATGATTCAAATTTGATCAAAAAAATGCGATTTAACGTTCCATGTGTTGAGCAGTTTATATCAACGTGTATCGAATGAGATATCATGATCGATTGTTTGTAAACATCAATAATTTACACGTTAATATGGGAGCAGCGGATACATATACATTGTTGCTTTAATGATTTTTTCGGCTTCGCACACCTGTGTGCCTGCTTATCTATCCTCAAATATAGACCTTGATAAAAACAAAAGGTGAATCCAGTCTCGGGTGCCAGCCATTATCATTACATCACTGATGACGACATACTTATTTTCAGCACACACTATTGCCGCCGGATGCCGCCTGGTTTGAATATAATTGGATGAATATGTTCCCGAAATACTTATCTGGTTTATTCTTGAACGTAAAACAATGGAAAAGTTCAAAGTTATATTATTTTCAGAAAGTATTTCAATGGGGGATTTCGAAAATAAGAAGTAACATGGATCTCTTTTCTTATTTACTTAGAACGTTAAAGAATGACCTGACTATAGAAACACAGTTTTTATTATAAAAGTTTCAATATCTTGAAAAACGTGAGGTTTATACTGAGGCCAATTTGTGGTTTTCTGATAGGTTATATATGAACTTGTTTATCACCAGTTAGAGAATGATCCATGGTTTACCGGACACTCTGTATACCGGGTGACACAGGAGACATATGTAACAGCCTGTAGTTTTTTTATTTGAAGAGATAAACATTTGCAATTCACAAGGGTCATATTATCAATGATGGCGCTTTCCTTGAACCCAATGACAATTTTCTTCAACCACCTGTTTGAATGGAAGTAGTCCCAATTTTTTTTTCGAACGGCACCCCCTGTATATTTCTGTATCTTATTCGCCTCAAAATTCTTTTTCCAACTATCAATCACAATTTGATATTCGTTCATTGATTATTTATTGGCTGTCAAATTGCATTTTATTGAAATACATGACGTTGGCTGTGGCTCGAATATACAGGGAGGGGCAAATCACAATAAATAATGTACAATATTCACTACACATCAAAAAAACAGTTTTTGCACGACCTTTAAGCGATTTTACACCACCAAAAGCGGTAATACTGGGTATACAGAGTAGGCACTCTCTATAGGCTATACAATTTTCCGGGATTTTCCGGAACATAAAAAATGTTGGATAGTAACATAGACATCAGAAATAACCTCTAACATTTAATGATCATGTTGAAAAATGATAAGTATTTGGGATCCTTTTTGATCGTCTCTAAATGAACACAATCAGTATCCTAATATTCACATTGATTCCATGAAAGATTATCAGCAATTATGTGTGCCTTTTTATTGCTATTGCATCACTCGATCTTTATCCTAATACCAAATACTGAGAGATAGAAGATGATGAAGTTAATCCAATATTGTGTTTGTATTCCATTATATTGAGAAGTTGAATTTTTATGATATTGATAATATACGATATATTTCTTTCCAGCAAGGAATTGGCGTGGAGCTGATAAGAATTTTACCAGAAACTAATCCTCCTCAATTATTCAACATTTTTGCTGAGGCTGATTCAAAGGACGATGTGGTAAGTGCATAATTATGTCTCCATATTTTTCTGACGATTTTTTTCCATATCCACTTGAAATATATTTTAACAACTGTCAAGAATACTGAACTTTTTGATATATTTCGTGTGCCCAAAGTGTATAATTTTTGAATATCAAAATACTGTTTCATTATTTTACGAAAAAGTGATGGAATGAATGCTTGCGTGTTGGTAGGCTGTTTTGTTGAATGAACAAACCGAAGTTTGTGGATGCAAAATGGTCGTTTTTGCTAGCCTCACACCACACACTTCGGTTTTGCGTTTTTGTTCGAACATACTTGTTACTTGTTCGACGACCAAAACAGCCCACCAACAACGCTGTCTATATGGGCTCCTTTACGGGATCCAGCAAGGCAGCAAGCGAACACATCAAGGCAGCTGACATCGTATTTCGTGTGGAGATCTAGTGAAATAGAGATGGGAGCGGAATCTCTGGTATTAAATAATGATATGCCAGCATATCTCATGTGTGATTTGATCAGCATCGCTGAAATCGAGCAGGATGAGCGATTTATTCAAATTAGCCGAAGGTGGCTGTGGCTATTTTGTCCTTAGAAACCAGGTGTTATCAATAAAGTGACATGAAATGAGTAAATGTACTTGATAATTATTTCGGAATATCATTTAATCCTTCTCATCATAAGTTGAATGAGGTTAACATATTTTTTTTGACAGTCATTGGAAATATATTGTATGTAACACGTGCTTATTATTCATAGGAATTGCCTACACGTGAAAAAAGTACCACTTAACAAACTTGTTCCATAATTAACTATTATAATAGACCTGCATCATTCGAAAAAATATTATATCTTCCCACAAAGCTGGTGTTATAAAACTACCATTGATGGTTAAAACGATCTGATTTTGAGTGACCTAACCTTTCTTCAACACATAACCTTCAGTGATTTTTCATTAATTAATAAGATGTAAATGGGAAGCAATTATTGTTATTTCGTAACAAAGCAGTACACAGGATGAAATAAAAATAAGATTTGATCCGCTGTCAACACCAGCCAACTAAATTTTTACGTCGTAGTATTATGGATATAATTACCTGGGTAATTACTTCCAGTATAGATAGTTAAGAAATACCTCGAGAAATACCTTGGGAATTTTGTAAATGCCATGAATCGCCTCTGAACCCAAACCAATATATTTTTTTGAATTGACTCGGCCATTACTTGATACTTGATAGATTTTCACAAAATTCTCAATAAAATGACATGTTTCGCTATCACAGTAGCTTCATCATGATTCGAAAAAGATCTACAGGGTGATTATTATTTATCCTCCACAAAAAAAACTAATCACTAAATCCAGGCCTGAAAATAGAATGATATTTTGATGGCCATTGAGCTGAAGCATGGAAAATATAAGTCTCACTTTTATCCGTAAAATTCATGGGTTGCGAAGTATTAACTCCTAAATGAATACATTTTTTGCCAAATTTTCGTTTTTTCATTAAATTCAGTTTTTTTCAAACTACAGTGAAAGTGTGAGAAAAATTTGGAATATTTTATTTTTGATGGTTTGTGACCTTCGAAAATTCCCTGTCATAGTTTACAAAAACGATATACAGGATGAACTTTTTGCTATAAACTAAACTATCAAAATTCCTCAAAAGAATGGTCCTGGATTTTCCGTATTCTGGATGAGTCAGTCGATACGAGGGTAGTAGCGGATTTTGCCAAATCTCATAATTCACCCTATATATTGAAAAAGAAGTGAAGAAGACACTTTCTGATAGGCATTAGGTATTCCCCTCAGGGGCCTCTATTCGTGATTGGAGTATGTACAGTTCCTCATGACTCACCCTGTATATAATGTTGGAATTCCATGTTTGATTAATGTCAATTTGTAACCGGAGGTTTTCTATAAATGTCATGGAACCCAGTCCAATATAACCTTCACCTGAATCTGAAGCTAGTGGCGATATATGTAATCTTATTGGCATTGAATACCGGAAAATATTATTTGAATTGTTTAATTTTCCTAAATCAATATTCAATACCTACCCTCGATGATATAGTTCCGATTTCAACCATCTTAATTGAAATACTGTCTGTAGGTTAATTTAATTTTTCCACTCATCTTTCAGTATTTGACTGTTTCAAATGAGAAATAATGTTCTACTTCTCATTTGTTTTGTGTTCCTGGCTATTTGCGGTGCCAAATTCACCAGATCTGATGTTTCTTAAACAACAATTAGTAAGGTTGGCTTTCTACCCCATAAAAATCACCATTAAACAAGAATTTCACTAAAATATAAATAATAGTACCTAAATGCCAATACATGAGGCAATTCATTTCAACATTCTATCAGGGTATTTAGTTTTGAATGGAACATCACGTATATCTGAATGCTACCCATGAGTACTTTTTTATTTCAAATGAATAAAAAATAAATGACCAACCAGTATAATGCTTGATAATTACATTCAAATGACCACAGAAGTAATTATATTTTCTTTCGAATAGATTCAGGTCAACATCCACGTTTTATTCAATCAATCATGAATTACGTAAATTCACAAATTGCTCACAATAAATAATAATGGATTTTTTTGCGACATTTGATCTTGATCAATAATGCGATAAAGGTCAGGTTGAAATGAAAATACATTCTAATGGTTGTACTCAATGTTTCTTCTTAATTGAGAAAGATCTTTTTTTGTAACAAAACATCAAAGTCCAACTACCGATGCATTTATGATCGCATGGAGACCAATAAAAATTTTCATGGACAATTTCAATTATGAATTCATTGATGTATCAGGTTCGTCTGATGAAAGGTTAATTGAATGCCCAGAAGTAAAATAAATGGAGATTAATTCGAAAGCGGAGATGTATGCATAAGTATACTGGGTGTAGATAAATATAAGTAAGAGAATTTGTCTTTCACCGACCACTCCGAATTTTGGAATTATGAAAGCTATGTATACAGAGGGTGATATAATATACAATACATACGTATAAAATTCAATATTCTCAACCTCAACACGCTGTACCTCGAAAATTAAACTACAAAACATACCTACAATAAGTTTATTTGGACTTTTCTTTTTATTTTTTGCCAGTACAATCGCGCGTAGCAAAGGACCCCGCACGAAAACACGGTAAATTGGCTCTCGGTCGAATTGGCTGAAATGTAACTATGTTATTGTGGGATGGCTCATTATGAAAATATGTGAGTTTGAAATGTTTTGTATGTTTAGTTTCTGAGATATAAGCCTACAAAGTTCGTAAAAACGTCGTATCGGGGTAGGATTGACGAAGAAAAAAACTGTTTTTTTAGTATAAATAAGACAAAATAAGCTAGAAAATGTATTGATCGGACCTCAAATACATGTCTAGTTATGATCACATGAATTATAGTGAATCAGGGTGTATACGAGGCACGGTCAAAAAATTCATTTTTCGGAAAAAAAATTCGTGCACTATTCCAGAACCAACAAGTTATATTTTGGTGGGATATTATAGTTTCAGTCTATTGTAGGCTTCGAAAACGTATTTTGATTCTTGATAACTATCTCTGTTCGAAATATGAATTTTTAGAATTTTATGTTATTCCCCTTTTTGAAAACAATTAAAAGCTTGTTTTTGATCACAAAGAAAGGAATTGATTGATACTGTTGATTGAATGAAAGCTGAGGAAACTTACTAGCGTATTCAGTTGTTCAATATTGCCTTTCATTTAGATACAGGGTGTGTTAGATTTTGTTGAAGATTATTTAACATGTTTCAATTGAATATCTCGAAAACAGTTCCGTTAATTTGGATCTCATTTTACACACACTATTTTGAATATGTTGACTATCATATGCAAAAAGTTTTTCAATTTTTAATGTTTCGTTTTCGATTGCCAATAATTTTTTAAATCCACCGCTGATGGCAGTGCAGACGCGTCGTAAGAATCGATGTAATTCTTGACTTTTACACTCATCAATGTTCAGTAAATTATCTGACAATGTCACTATTTTTTTCATACAATATACAAAGCGTATTGAAACAAATAAATATAACTAAAATAGATAATATTCCTCAACATTCTCCAATACTGATAGATGTAATGCACTAACTGAAATGCCCTGTATTGTTTTTTCACTTTACTTTTCAGACTATTACATGCGACTGCGAATCGACGCCCGCCTTCCAGTTGAAGAGCTTCCGGCAACGCGGCGACAAGGTCGAAACGTCACACTACCGCGTCGACGTCAACCGGTTTCGTGCGCGACTCAACGTCTTCTGCGTTTCGGAAAAATTGCAAGCTAGTGTCAAATGCGACGGTTGGCCGGAAATCAAGATAGCTTTGGCACCGGTCGGGCCGATCAAAAACAACTTGGACGAGACGCAGTTGCAGGAAGTCATCAGGTTAGGTTTTTCTTTCAGTCCAAAAGATGACAGTTTTTGGGTTATAGGCGAAAAAATAGGAGAAAGAATAGTTGTTTCGAATTCCAAAAGAATTTTCTGTGACAAACTTCAATTTTTTCTTTATTTCAGAGGATTTTTATTTTTCATACTCCCTTTTTGAATATTCGACAGATATAATTCAATATTCGTCGTGGCATATAGCCAGGAAAGTAGTTGTTTTCTGTTGAATAAACCGAGAATAGAGAATGCAAATTCCCAATGTATTTCTTTATAAATATATACATTTTTTTGTCATAAATATGTCCGAGAATATTCCTTTTCAAAACTTCAGATTCCTTATCCAGCATTCTAGAAAACATACAATATTAAAAATTGTCAAGTTCCCCAATTTTTTTTCAAGAAACCATACCTAATTTCTCTATTTCTCGTAATAGAGGAGGATACAAGTAAACACAAATAAACAGTGAAATAATTTTCTTTGCTGAAAACGACAGTAACGGATCCAAGTAATACACACAAGCAAATGAACTATTTAAACATAATATTCAGAGAAGTGGACAAAAAACGGCCAGTACTGTAACTTTTGAATTATTCGAGATAGGATTTTGAAAATTGGTGGCCAGCTAGTATACCAAATTGCCCATCAATTGACGAAATAATTTTTGCACTATCACTTCCGGAAGTACTGGAAATTACCCCAACTTTTGATTTTTAAAAGAGACACCCTGTATTGTGTTCCATAATCGGTTAGGGATTGTCACAACGAATTCATCGATACCGGGTTTGATAGGGTTATTTCGAACGATTACGCAGATATTCGCGTTCTAAGTTTCCATATGCTCAATGAGTGTGACAGAGAAAGAAGTTTTGATACTGCGAAGTCACACCCATATTGAGCATATGGAAACTTCGAACGCAAATATCTTTGTAATCGTTTGAAATAACCCTATCAAATCCGGTATCATTGAATTCGTCATGCTAATCCCTAACCGATTATGGAATACAATACAGGGTGTCCCATTGGAAAATCAAAAGTTGGGGTCGTTTCCGATGAAACTGGAAGTGATAGAAGAAAAATTGTTTCATCAATTAATGACCCAGCGAGCACAAAAACATCTCAGAGATATTAAAAGTACTAGATTTTGAGACATTGAACCTCCACTGCGATGTTCTGTTCACACATGAATATAACTATTATAGAACAGCCAATGTCCGCCGCAGGCGGCAATTATCGAGATGTCCTGGATATGTCACAAAACTACCTTCTCCCTAGTTCTTTTTAAAGCCTTTTCATGGACACAACAAAACATTTTCAACGCGTCTTGCGCACATTAAATCGCTGTAGAAAAAACATTTTCGAGGTACTTTTCTGAAGCCTTTTGTCAAAATGAACTTTTGCATTAGGATTCCATTTCCCTTGAATGAGAAAATGCATTAAAAATAGATTGAACATAAAAATATTTTCTTGATATGAAATTACCTTCTTAATCGGTTTCTGAGTAGTGCTTACTACACACAGACATATAATTGGAAATAGGTTTCCCAATTTTTGAAATGTTCTCCACAATGCATAATTTTGCAACTGCGGAGAAGCTGTGTATTGATAAATTCGTACTTTTATATATTGATTACACTGAGGCACCGAACAAAACATCTCTTATCTGATGGTCATTATTACAAACTAAATAAGTCTTCTAACACAATAAACTTCACCAAATTCCTTTCTGTTCGTTAGCAGCGTGATTTAAGCGTGACACGCTGCAAACGCGAATGCCAATTGCGAACAAGAAGAACAAAATCGAAAACAAATCAGAATTCATCGTATTGTGACGTAAGCATGAGACGTTGTGGTGGAGCAAACAAAGAAAGTGCACAAAAAAACAAAAACAATACTTTCAATATCCTTCTAAGACCTCTTTGGTCAGTGCATATTACGTCTCAAAATAACATCTTCATGCCAACATTTTCAAAACATCCCAAAACATCCCAGGGATGTGTGCTCGCTGGGTAGGTATGTCTTTTATTGTGTGTCGATTGTCAATTTTTTCGATATCTCTGAGGTTCGTAAAATCTGAATACTCTGTCCAACAGTAAACAATTTATTGACGTCCAAATCACAATTCTATACTCGAATTTCAACCTTTCAAGACCTCACTTTTCCTGAATATTTCACAATCTGTAATAGATGTGGCAGGAATTTATGCATGCAAGAAATCCAATTGATTCAGAGGTATATACGTATTTTGAATTTTCTTCTGCTGAAAATTCTTTTGGCCACGCCACAGATTGATTCATATTTTTCTCAACATATTTATCGTCAGTTCATCACCTAACGCTCAACTCTATTTTCTCTATTCTATAAATATGTGGAGAAATGTGTTATGCTAGTGATGGCATTTACAAATAACATGTTGTATTGATGAATCATCCCAACAACTCATCTTTGAAATAGATCTATAAAAACTGCACCAGCATATTATACTACTTCATTTAGTTCGTTTTTCTGTATAAATGATTCGATGCGTGTTTTTCTTTGATACAATAATCGTCCAAACGTATCCCAAAATTTACGAATACATATTTTATGCACTTCAGGGATTTAAAGGGTACCTTCATTCTCTATTTCGGGGAAAAAAGTGGTACTTTCAATCCCTAGGGATTCAAAGTAAATTTCTCTGCAATAAAAGCTAAACTTAGAATTGTATTTTATAAATATGAATGACGATGCTTTGAGCTTTTTTTACTTTTCCAAGAAATATGCATTTCCTATTGTACATTTGTCTACGGTCCGTTCTTTGCACCATTTGATAAACTCAGATAACTGTTTTTATATTGTTCTCCAGATTTTCTTGGTAATAATTGGCCTTCAGCTTCTTGAGCTGCCTTTTCGATTTGTTCCATCGCGATCAACGTCTTTCAATCGGTCGTGTGTCAATCAATTGACTAATATTTATTTATCTTTTACTTAGTTCCTTGTTATAACACCAAGATTTTCAGTTGCCGATAACAATCATGATCTGGATCACCATAGTTACTGAGGTCGTTGATATGGTAACCATCAGCCACTTCGATGAAGTTTTAGAAATTGAGTAACTATCGTTTAGTAGCATCTAATTTTTTTGTCGTTATCTTTTCTTTAACGTTTTACCTATCCTGAAGTGCATAAAATAGTATACACACCTCGGGACTAAAGTGTTTTCAAATCTCTCGACAAATTATAGCCCTCCCGTTGGTCGGCTTATAAACTTTTTGTCTAGGAATTTTAAATACCACTACATTCTCTAGGTGTATAATGTACTATTATGTTAATAAAGGAGATGGAATATTAATTTCTCTCACGCAGGGTATAACATGAAGTTCTGGTCATGTTGTAGCCATCTAGTGGCAAAGCTCTAAGGTAGGATCTAGAAATCGCGACACACACTGTATGGCGCTGCCATCTATAGTCACACGTACAGACCCTCACGTCTATACGCTACAGAGTGGTACTACAAGTAAACCACTCTGCTGACAGATGGCACTACCTGACATATACTTGAGTGGATTTTTCCACCGACCTATTCAACTGCTAGATCTCATAACTAAGAGATACAGGATGAACAGAGTTGCCCCAATTGCCAGCAAGAGCGAGACAGTACTGTTTCGACCCACCAGGTCTCATCAGCGTAGCGTATAGACGTAAGGGTCTGTACGTGTGACTATAGATGGCAGCGCCATACAGTGTGTGTCGCGATCTCTTGATCCTACCTTAGAGCTTTGCCACTAGATGGCTACAACATGACTAGAACTTCATGTTATACCCTGCGTCTTCGAAATGGGCGATATACCTGAAGTGTAGAGTTGTTCCAGTTGTCAGCAGACCGAGAACGGCTGATGAGACCTGGTGGGTCGAAACAGTATTGTTTCGCTCCTGCTGACAATTGGGGCAACTCTGTTCATCTTGTATCTCTCAGTTATGAGATCTAGCAGTTTATTTCTCTCGATTTTTATTTTCTTTCTTGTCTATGAATGAAAATATTCGTATAATTTCAATTTAGGTACCTGTAGTAAGGACAGATCAGATAATTCGCTCCAGAATGAAACGTGTTGGTGATAAGCTACTATATGTTTTTCGTTTTTTAGTGAAATTGTGATGACTGCCATAAGAAATACACAAGTGGACCTGAATTTAGCACAGTATCCCACCTGTCCTAGGCTGATACGCCATGTTGCAACCCCTGGTCAGATTCTTCCTGTCCACTATGACAGCATGGTAACTATTACTTTGATTTTTTTTTCAGTTGACTTGGCCGTAACTTGATTGAAATTCATGGCAAATGTAAAAACTTCACAAACGAAAGATTACCACAAAATTCTTAAACTCACAACATGTTTCTCTAACACACAGTAGCTTCGTCAGATGATATACTGGTACAATGAACTAAACCAACCTTGGCTTGCTTAACTTTTATATATCTTACTTTCCCAACTTGAAGGATTAGTTACCTGTGGACAGGTTTGATAAACCTTCATTTTCGGAAATTAGGCACAATATCTGCATTAAAATACGGTGTACCGAATAAACTTGAAATGTTGATAGCAAATGAATATTATTACCTACTAAGAAAACAAATTCAACAGTGGTGAACTATAGAGGTCTTATTGATCGTTAAGTTAAATGTAAACATTTTTGAGTTTGTTGATTTTTTAATGATACCAAATGTGGAGTTTGTCAAGGCCAACAATGTGAAAAAATGTAAATCTATTCGTTTTTGTTTTATACGCAAAAAACCGATTGTGATTATTTTCATGTCTCCTCCGTAACTTCTTCATTTATGAAAATATTCAAATAGGAATTTCACATTCTCATGGCAGTTTTTCGAAGTGATTCCGAAAAAAATATGAAATTTATATCAACTCTTCTAGAATTTGAGATATCAGCACCAACATTAGTTTTTCAAATGTAGGTCATAGCTCACTATGACTTAGTTACGAATCACTTCTTTTTCTCCTACAGATGATTTGTCGCAGTAATAGTTTTGTGTTGATAACAACGGAGTAATCGTCATTTATACAAAAACAAAAAATTATTTGGAAGCCGCCATCTTGAATTTATAAATTTTAACAAAAAAATCATGATCTCCGACCTCCAAAGCCTCCACTTACCAATTTTGAATGGAATCGGGCCAAATCTTGTCCGCCATCTTGAAGCAGCCATTTTTTTTAATTTCAACAAAAATTCCATAATGTATTGCCACCGAAATTATGAACACCTGTCAAATTTCAAGTGAATCGGAGTTATGGAATTTTTGTTGAAATAAAAAAAATGGCTGCTCCAAGATGGCGGACAAGATTTGGTCCGATTCCATTCAAAATTGGTGAGTGGGTTTTTTTAAGGTCGGAGATCTTGATTTTTTGTTAAAATTCATAAATTCAAGATGGCGGCATCTAAATAATTTTTTGTTTTTGTATAAATGACGATAACTCCGTTGTTATCAACACAAAACTATTACTGCGCCATATCATCTGTAAGAGAAAAAAAAGTTATTTGTAACTAAGTCATAGTGAGCTATGACCTACATTTGAAAAACTAAAGTTGGTGCTGCTATCTCAAATTCTAGAAGAGTTAGTATATATTTCATATTTTTTTCGAAATCACTTCGAAAAACTGCCATGAGAATGTGAAATTTCTATTCGAATATTTTCATGAATAAAGAAGTTACGGAGGAGACATGAAAATGATCAAAATCTGTTTTTTGCGTATAAAACAAAACCGAATAGATTTTATCAAAATATTTTTTCACATTATAGTTGGCCTTGACAAACTCCACATTTGGTGTCATTTAACCGACCTCGTATCTCTCACCGTTTAAAAGATACCCATGGTGACCATGGTAAGTGGGACACACTGTATATGGTTGGCGTATGTTGAATTCGTTTTCTTTTTGAAAAAATGCATCTTATGTTCATGAATGCGCTGATTAAACGTATGACCTGTTTGACCGATATATACCTTAGGACAAGATCCACAGTTGAGTTTGTATACCCCTGATTTTTCGAATTAAAAAGTTTTGTCTTCATTATTTTCGATAAATACAAAACTTCTTCTTCATTATATTTGTTCAGTTGCTACTTATAGAGGCATTGCAAATTTATAATTCACATTTTGCACAAGGCATTTTTTTGTTTCCAATAAGATTTTTTCTTTCAGTCAAATGCTTATACTTCGACTCCGAACCACCTGGGAGGTAACATGGTTCACCCTGGAGAAAAACGACTTTTAGTGAAGGTGGTTCGAGCCGCAAAATTAGGTGCCACTCAAGGCTGTACAGAGCCATTTTGTATAGTGGAAATGGACGAACCACCACAGAAAAACCAGACTTCCGTACAGAAAAATACCGACTCACCATTTTGGGACGAACATTTCTTATTGTGAGTGAAAATGCTGTCCTATAATTGTGTATCATTAAATATAAGAACCGGCTGCAAATTTTGACCGTCATCATCAGATAACGAAATGACATAAGGCATGTAAAAACATTGTATTTTATCGATCTGCACCATATACATATAAAAAGAGGCTAGACATTAACATCTCATTCATAAAACACTATTTGTTTACAATCATACATACTTTCAAAGTTTCAAATAAGTTAGAAAGAGATGGATTTGAAAAATGGCAACGTTGTAAACTGTGCGTCAATGTTCACCCTTTTCTTTACTAGTCGCATAGGGGCAAGACAATTTTACTACAATGACAACGCTGACAAATAATGTTCGTGTCTAATCTTTTAATTTTAATAACAAATATTCATAGTACCTTAGGTACTTAATTTTGATTCATCTTTCAGTGGAATTTGAACGAAAGAAACAACGTTCATTGGAATAATCTAGTTAAATTACCTGCGAAACCTACTTCACTGGTCAAGTTCAAAGAAACATAACCTTATACTCACTGTAGAAATACGCCAATCAGGGATTTGAATGGTGAACTTTTTCACAATCCATGAACTGGCAAACCATAATTGACTATTAATAATTGACTTTATATAATTTTATTAGAAAACACTGAGATTCAATTGAAACACAAAATGTCCTAAAATGGTAACAAACACAGCACAACAACACGACTGTAACGTCGGCTTTTGACATACGTGAATCACTTTAAGAAAAATATGCGTCACTGGTAGTAAACACGCCAATACGGCGTTACCACAATTATTTTTAGGAAAATTCAAATTATTTCAATAGCAGAATTCACATATTTCAATCAAGATATAAACATACAACATAAATATACATAAAAGAATCGTGTCCTGTAGTGTATTATCGCGCCAAAGGTTCCATGCAGTCTTCGATACATAAAAGATATAACTATATTTAAAAATAATTAATGTATGAATAATGCTTCACTCGTTTCCAAACACTGGCGGTAGATCTAGGGCAATCCGAAGACATTTGTCATCATCGTTTTTTGCTGAACACGATGTTGGATCGGGACAAAATTTAAAAAAATTTCGTCTCCTTTCTTTTTATATGTCCATGATCTGCACTTATACCAATCACTATCCTAAAAAATAGCTGTTTCTAAAATAATTGTTCTATCCATCATTCGGTCTTTCCTTTTAACGTGTGATCCCATACACTTTCATTAGCCATTGAAAAATTTTCTGCAGTCGGGAATTTGAACCCACGACCGGCAAGCGATCTTGAATAGAATACCTACTAGAGCTGATTTCTCGATCTATCACAGTTGGGGTCTAGCTGAAATGATTACAGAGATATAGGGTGTGAAAAATTGAGATTTTTTCAACTTTAGGAATTTTTTGTGTCCCTATCTTGACTTTTGATTTACTGTCTACTGACATTTTATTGGAACACAAACAGGCTGATCAGAATTATGAATTTTGAACCACCCTGTATTCGTTTCAATTGAATGTCAGTAGATAATAAATCAAAAGTTATAATTCCTGAAGTTGAAAAAATTTTTCACACCCTATATCTCTGTAATCATTTCAGCTAGACCCCAACTGTGATAGATCGACGAAATCAGCTCTTCAGAGAGAATCTAAGGATGCAATAAAATACAGGGTGTTCCATTTAAAAATTTATACATCTTGCCCATAACTTGTTTTTGAGATGTTCAATTGTTTTTCTGTTAACATATCCAAAATCTACAGGAAATATTATAAGAGAATTAAAATATACGTGAAGACAATAACTCCGGGAAGTATCACATCGCTGTTGTCACTGTAACTATGAAAATCTTGGTAGATATGGTTTTGATAAATGCAGATGATCATTACCATAGCAGCGATATATCGGCTGACAGTTATTTGACATGAAATTAGTTGACATTTTGATTCATTTTTGGAAGTTTGGTTGCGATAGTGAGTTCGAAAATGTCGATAGGAAATTTCCAATGTAACAGTTAGTAGATATATGTATATTCGGTTCAAATTTCAGTATTTGATACAAATGAGAATTAATAAAGAAGAGATTGTATTCTACAAAGAAATATAATATGTAAATGTGTCTCATTGGTTCGTTATTCTACATGGTTGCCGAAAAAAAGGTGTACGCAACAAGTCCAAAAACAGTTTTTTTGGACTCGCAGACTTCCAGGACTCGCCTACGGCTTGGCATAGAATTTTGTCTGTAGTATTTTCCGGACTTTTCACGTGAATTTCTATCCATGTCCTGATTTTTTCTTTTGTTTTGTAGTGACTTATCCCCGACCACGGCAGAACTTCTGTTCGAGATCTATGACCACGCTGTAAAACCGCACAGATTCCTCGGTTTGGGTATAGTGGGAGTCGAGGAACTCCTCATAAATCCGTCTCAGAGGCAGATCATCACCTTGCAAAGCCGACCTTACGAAAGTGATCCTGTATCAGGAACATTAACTGTCGAGGTGAATGTTTTGTTTCAGATTGGATTGATTTTATTTTGCGAAAAATTGTACCTCAATCACCATAAATGAGTGATTGCAGAACATACTCGTATAGTTATCGTTCATTGGAAGTTATTGAAATTACTTGTCGATGGCTTAGTGGTAGGTAATACTAGAGTCCCTGTATATACCTTGGACAAGAGTCCGGACACAAAACTGACAGCCGTTGGGGTTTTTAATATTTTGTTTCATTTGGTTTGCCCACCTGACAATATGACGAAACACCATACCCAGCGAGCACAAACATCCCTGGGATGTTTTGAAAATGTTGGCATGAAGATGTTATTTTGAGACGTAATATGCACTGACCAAAGAGGTCTTTGAAGGATATTGAAGTATTGTTTTTGTTCTTCTGTGGCATTTCTTTGTTTGCCTACTGAGAGGTATCCCTGGGATGTTTCGGGGTGTTTTAGAAATGTAGGCATGAGGATGTTTTATGAGGCGTAATATGCACTTCCCAGAGAGGTCTTAGAAGGATATTGAAAGTATTGTTTTTGTTCTTTTGTGACCTTTCTTTGTTTGCCCCACCACAACGTCTCATGCTTACGTCACAATACGATGAATTCTGATTTGTTTTCGATTTTGTTCTTTTTGTTCGCAATTGGCATTCTTGTTTGCAGCGTGTCACGCTTACATCACGCTGCTAACGAACAGAAAGGAATTTGGTGAAGTTTATTGTGTTAGAAGACTCATTTAGTTTGTAATAATGACCATCAGATGCAAGATGTGTTGTGCGGTGCCTCAGTGTAATCAATATATAAAAGTACGAATTTACCAATACACAGCTTCTCCGCAGTTGCAAAATTATATGCATTGTGGAGAACATTTCAAAAATTGGGAAACATAATTATTTCCAATTATATGTCTGTGTGTAGTAAGCACTACTCAGAAACTGATTAAGGAGGTAATTTCATATCAAAAAAATATTTTTATGTTCACTTCATTTTTAATGCATTTTTCCATTCAAGGGAAATGAAATCCTAATGCAAAAGTTCATTTCGACAAAAGGCTTCAGAAAAGTACCTCGAAAATGTTTTTTTTTACAGCGATTTAATGTGCGCGCGCAAGACGCGTTGAAAAAGGCTTTAAAAAGAACTAGGGAGAAGGTAGTTTTGTGACATATCAAGGACATCTCGATAATTGCCGCCTGCGGCGGACATTGGCTGTTCTATAATAGTTCTATTCATGTGTGAACAGAACATCGCAGTGGAGGTTCAATGTCTCGAAATCTCGTACTTTTATCATCTCTGAGATGTTTTTGTGCTCGCTGGGTAGTCGTCCCGCCCGCTTCTTTTAATTATTTAGAATTTCTGTCACTATCACTTTGTATGTCCTAATGAAGCCTTTCAAATTTCGTTGCGATATACTAGGTGGTTCAAAAATTAGTAAGGGGGGACGGACTTTAGACGGGCACTGTATATGCTGCCGGTTATTCGAACCCGGCCGATGGCCATTAGATAATTTTTCAATGAGAAATTGGTTCGTGGTAGCATTTCAGCTTCCTACATCTGGTTCTAAATCCACTATAAACTGTAAGTCCTCTTTCACTTTAACTTTCACAAGCCCTTCGAAGGCTCATGAGGGTTGCTTCGGCAGCCAAAGTGATAGGGTACAATATACAATACAATAAAATACAATGAAATAGACTAATTGTTATGAGTACTGCTGTACGTATAGGAACCTTGAACCTTGTCACCATCGGAGGAATCCTAGATGGTACAGGTACCTAGATACTGATCTTAAGAATCTTGCAATTATGATTTCGGTAAATTTATACAAACCTAGATATTTTCTAAGCCTGATTTCATTATAAATGTATAACCTTAAAATGTTTCATTCATTTTGCCAGGAATAAATTGAAAATATCAAATTTAGCTTTCAATGAAGTCGATAAAGTCCATAGTTCGATAAAAATCAAATTCATGAATTTTTGAAATTTTCTCTTCGAAAAAATATACGTTCCTTAAAAAAAAAGAAGAGAATGAATGCAATTGCATTATAAACGTACTTGACTCCATCATATTTTTGCAGTTTCTTTTCATCGAAGGTGCTGATATACCGAATTTGGGCGGTACCCAGCCTTATAAAATAAAAGAGACTATAAGGACCCCTTCACCCAGTAGAAATAAGTTTTCCCCAACTAATTCACCGACGTTCCATAACGGTAAGTAAAAAAACCAACTTCATTAGAACCTTGAATAATTTTTTTTTCATTTCATTAGATAACCACATGAATGGTGATCATTCGGCTGATGCGGCAGCAATAAGAAACTTAGATAGGAATAGGCAACTTTCTAATATGAATAAAAGCACCCTGGTGATACACAGTGTACAAAGGGTAAGTGTACTATTATTAATTTCTGAGAATTTTCGGGGTTTTCTCCTCTATAAATAAATTAGTTCAATATTCAGGGTGGCATTGAAATGAGTGCAAATATTCGGAATATTCCGAAAACTGAGAAAGCTTGACGTGTACTATCGATTGGCACTAATGAAAGAAATTCAGGGATTAAAATAAAATTTGAGGTTAGACCCCGTTTTCCACCCAAAGTTCTACACTGTAGCAAATCTGACGTCACCTCTGTTCAAATAGCAGTAGGCACAATCCATGCGGAGTTGATTTTCCTCTCGTACTTTGTTCAATTTTTGGGATGAAATTTCTCGTTAATTGAAAGAATTAGAAAAAATCTGATATCATGCGAATATTCCTTAGACTGTACCACATTAATGTGCTGAATATGTGCACTTATTTCGAAAACACCTTGTATTTGTTACCGGACAAACCCGATTTTAAGACGAACTAGTTTTTTATAGGCTGAACCAGTATATCCGAAGAGCGATAATATGATGTTTTTTCGAGAACAAGTTGATTTTCATTCAATTCTCCTCCCAATCAAGATTCGGAGGGCGTTCCAGATTTGGGTCACTTTCAAGAAAACTTTAGATCTTTGATAGCCATCTTGAGTCAATTCTGATATTCAGATCTCTTCATCAAGTTTTATCTTCAAAATGAGCCTAAGATTTCCAGAATCGGTTGACGTGGAGAAAAGTTATGGCTGCCAAACCAAAAAGTTGATTTTTTGAGATCACTCTGTAAATAAGAGAGATAGGAAGTTGATTCGCGAAATATCTCGAGGTAATGAGATCATCTTCATGCCTCGGTTGTCGAAGTTGAGAAAAAAACATTTTTAACCATTTGAGAGCCTTTTGAATATTCCGAAATTTTGCACAGTGTCGGAAAACACCATGTAGAGATTTTATGTAAATACCCTTATGTTTCAATGAAGTACCAGATTATAGCTGAAGGACTGGGCTATCGAACAGTATGAAGAACCAAATTCAAATTGTTCTAAACTGGAAAAAGTTATTCACATTATAACAGGGGCGACATTTTGGTGTGCGACGAAATTAGTGTTGAGTAGTTTAGTTTATCCTAGGCTAAACTGATTTTTCCTGAGATGAATTGATAACAAGTCAAGCTGATTGATTAAAAATTCAATGACTACGTTACCGAATGATCTACTCATGCTTAGGTTCCTTTTCCTCACAAAATATTAACAAAAAATTGATAACAAGTCAAGGAGTCCGAACTTTAGATCCATAAACAACACAAAATGTATCAAAATTTCTAGCTTATATGTGTTGTTTTATGGATCTAAAGTTCGGAGTCATTGACTTGTTATCGATTTGTTGTTATTATTTAGTGAGGAAGGAGCATAAGGCTCTATAGTAGATCGTTGGGGAACGTGGTCATTGCATTTTTTATCAATCAGCTTGACTTGTTATCAATTTATTTCGGGAAAAAACAGTTTAGACTAGGACAAACTAGTTCATCCTATCGCTCTCCAGATATAATTACTGGCTTAGTGGCTTAGCCTAGAAAAAACTGGTTCAACCTATGAAAAACTCGTTTATCCTAAAATCGGGTTTGTCCGGTAAAATATTCATAGAAAACACATATCAGATTTATTGAAAAACAACGCACAGACTGTATCCCACTAATATGATTAATTTTATTTTAGCAACCCTCTCAAAGGCTAGTGAAGGTAAGAACAAGTTTGAGAATATTATCTGTTTTGCGAGAGATATACAATAACCCGTTTGATTAACAAGTGAAAGAATAATAATTATGTATAAAGATTCTATGTAAGACTGTGAAAAAAAAAGAAAATCTCAACAAAGTTTTAGACCCATTCAACTTGGTATCTCAGAAACTAAGCTTCTTACCACCAAGATCACTCTTTAAACATGATTCTTATAAAATCCAACTATAAAATCGCGAGTCCAGGAACGTACCAATTTCTCCAGGAAGTCGAACTTTCTAAATTTAACATCTGAAAGAAAATCAAAATGCTATTCCAAGGACATACCCACAATTGTTTTTCTGAGGGGATCGGGTATTTAACCTTAACAATTCCCAAGTTTTTTTGACATACGTCGACGATTCCACAGGACGTGCCCGCATTGTTTTCTGAGGGGTCAAAAATTAACATTGTACAAGAATATTGAAATTTCAAAATTTGCAGTACTTTGGATAGGCAATTGGTTTATGGAAATCTTATTCACGATTTTTTCCCCGAAACTCTGAAATTGAATTAGGGTACACTGGTGCCCAAATAAATCGTAATGACTCTTGAATACTGTTGGTATTTTTTGTTTGAGCCCATGTATTATTCATCGTTTAGGCACAATGTCGATCTACCCAAGGGTCTACCTCATTAACATTTTATTTAGCAAGTTCTTGATCAGTATTGGTTTCCAGATTACCAATCCCGAGACCAATCCTTTTTGATATTGATTATATGATGGAAACGGCATAGGCTATTTTTACCGTAGTGGAGATTCAGGATGTTGAAGACTTGAAAAAATATGACATCTATATTATTCATCTCTAAAAAATATTCTCTTGATATTTGATGACTTTTATATTGAAATAACAAAATGATTATAATTTGTTTTATCTATCTTGAGGCGTCATAAAGTAGCGGATGAGTATCAGAATCGAAGAATATGTCCCGCCACTATCTTTCTGAGTTGAATGCCTTTGTCAAATTGAGCAATGGAAGATTCAACTCTTTCAGTCCTCGAATTATTTGCTCAACTCACTTTGAAATAAAATTGTTATATTCACCTAGGAAACAAGTTGCAAGAAAAACTCTGGAGAATTGCACAATTTATAACAAGTTTTTCACTTTTCAACAAACAGTGTCGAGGAATTTTTTTTGTATCAATATCAGCCACTGATCTGAATAAATGATAAACATTTTACTACATCAGAAGTATATGTTGTTATTGCACACGAACCTTCCAAGTTTGATGGACATCAGGTCTAGGAATTAATAAAACCAAGTTTTTTTAAACTTGCCTCACCCTGTCTCTCGAAAAACTACGGCACTTCTCTTCATTTTCTTGCGAGTAATGTATGCTTGACATTTCTCACAATGGTTATGTACCACCGTGCAGATTTTGTTCCTTCAAGAATGCACTCTACGAATGATTTTCAATTTCTTCTTTTAATTTGACGAAACTGCTTCAATAACGATAATTAATGTTTTAACTACTGGCATTTCCAGAGGAATGAATATCCAGATTCCATGAAAGCGTCACACGAGCCGTTGCGATTTATTTGGGCAGCAGTGTACCTCATTTTTTTCAAAATACATAATTTAAAAAACGAAATTCAACGAAATATATCATAAGTAACAATATAGAATTCCAGTGTTTTGCTTTTGAAAAACCTAACATGATGTGCTTTTCCGGGATTTCGTGTGCTATTTTGTTTTTCTTTTTACAAACTAACAAAAGGTTCAACTCAACAACGGTAACTGGAAGGAGATCGAGAGAATAGAGATGAACGTAGAGGAGACTGAACCGGAGATGACGTCATCGATGGAACACGATGATAATAAAACAAATGGTGATATTACAACTGCTGAAGCCAACGGCGCTGCCAATGGGAATAGTAAAAATCTACCAAAAGAGGTTGACACTATTCAGGTTTGGGTGATATTTTATTCTGAATAACAAAAAACATACTTTTTTCTAATGATATTAATACCTTAATCTATTTTTTGTCTGTGAATATCTATTTTTATTCTTATGTATTATACTCTGTAGAATTTCAATGCTTAAATTTGGCATTCAATAGGTACAGAGTGAATGGTTTTTTTTACGCTTCATATAGACCGATAATAATCACTGACTATTTACTGCATCTTTTTTTATGTCCAAACTTCATGTGAACACAAATATGATTCAATTATTATTATTATTATGCTGGTAGGTATTATAAATAAACAGTTACCTATTTATTGAAAACCAAAATCGATAACGTTATTCTATTGCTTAGTAGGTTAAATTAAAATCGATTGCAAAATGATCAGTAAATATTTCAAAAAGTTCAGGGTTCATCTCAAACCTAAAAATGGTTTCGTCTTAGTTAGTCATGTGAAACTGAAGTTCCTATCACTGATGTCAATAACAGCAAATGTGTTTGATGAATATGTGAATTAATAATAATTTATAAATATATTTTATAATCTTCATATTATATTATCTGAATCAGTAAATTTTATTTTTGACCAATACTGGCTTCAGACCTGAAACCCACCTGAATCTACGTCCCTCAGACGTCCTCGAAATGTCCCCAAATGATCCAGATTAGACCCAATCCGATTTTGTAACATCGTACGTCTCCAAAACGTCCTAAAGACGTCCGCCGTACTTAAAATGGACGTCCCCGGCACTTCTGAAATGTCCGAAGCGAACGGCTTCAGGACGTCCTTGGGACGTACTTGTGCTATCTGGGAATTTATTCAAATGTTTGGAACTACTCGGTACGAACCGTGTAACAAAAGGACCCTCTATGAGAGCCAAAGACAAACGCATGCGTTGTTGATAAAAAACATATTATTCATTCAGAATTTCAGTACATTGATGCCAGTAATTTCAACTTAATCTCAAAAAACAACGAAAATTATTGCTTTTCTTGAAACACCCTGTATATTACCGACATAGTCCTAATTTGATAGATTGAAGAAAAGGCCATCATTATAATACAATCAAGAATATAATTTCCATGATCTAGAAATATTGTTGTAATTATATATTATTTTTAACTAATTCTTATACTTGTTTTGACTGGAAGGTATATTTTCGATAACTAAATAAATCCACAATCCCAATTTCGATGGTCAGAATATTAATGAAAAAAAAATCTTACCTTAACGGTGAAAATCTAAAATTAGAGGGTGATGGAAAAAACAGTGGTTTTTTAATAATTTTTTGTAGTTGGAAATTTTTTCAATCAATAAATCACTCTGTATACCATGAAATGCACCATAATGTGTCCCCAAAAATTATAATCAATAGCCTAAATCAACCCAATAATACGAGGTGGCTCATTAAACTTTATTTTCTAAACATCAGCATTCACGGAACACGATGTATAATCAATACATATAATGAATCAATTTTATGTTAGAAGAACATATCGAATGAAAATTTTGATTTTTCAATTCTTATCGAGTTGTAGTATCGATATTTAGAAAGTGAAAATTACACGACAATAATTCAGATGTGAATCACCCTGTGATAAAGATCAGCTTTGGTTGATTCTGTACATGCTTGTTGTACCTTAAGGTTAAACTGAAAAACTGCTAACAGAAAATTCTGATTCATTTGTCTTTTCTTAGAGATATGGGTAGATGAAAAGGGGGCATTTCTCAACTTCAACACCCTGTATCTAAAAAACTGGTCATAGGATCGGATTGGAACTCGGCATATTTTATCATTAGGCCGAAATCTATAATGTACCAGAAATTCAGAGAATTCGACAGAACGCCATTTTTATATAGAAAAAGTGCGGGGTCCTTTCCATTGGTTATGGTTACTTTGAAAAGAACTGAAAAGAACTGATGTTTCTTATTTACACGAGTTTTCTAATGAAAAAAAAAAAAAAATGGCTGATGAAATATTCATGATGTAACTTGATTTGGATTCGAAATTGAGGATACCATCATCTGTAGGATAGAAAGTGTGATTGAGATTGCGCCATTCATTTTTGAGTTATCTTCCCAAACAGAGGGGTAATGAAAAATAAACGGTTCTCTTGCCATTAAATTTCTTTCAACTTTTTCAACTAAACCCTGATGAGCTCTCCTAGATACCAATGACGAGAGCCGATTTTGTCACACCCCATCTTTTACCATTGACTGAATTGACTAATTTTCTTGTCTCAGCCCGTCGATTTTTCCACAACGAAGCCCCAACCGTCCACGGAAAACGACTACAGAGGCAGGCCGAGGAAACGCAGAGACTTCTTCGGAACGATAAAGAGGAGATTGGGCAAGTCCAAGAACAGATCGAAATCCGCTGGACCGGAAAACGATATGGGACGAGACGATTCCCTGAACAGATCCGTTTCGGCTGATAGAGGACGACATGACGAAAGTGAGTCAATGAAAAAATTATGATGAATACTTTTAGGTAAAGACCAAAAGCAATGACAAAATTGTTGACAACAAATTCTTAAACAACGTATTATTAATGCAGATTTCTTAAATGGAAAATATCGCTTTGACATAATGGGCGATTAGACTGATAATGAGTTATTGATATTCAATTACTCCACTGCGTGTCGTTAGGAACCTAAATTAATCAAATAATAGTTCGGTTTGAGTAATTTTTCCTACATTACGGAGCTTGATAATTAATGTATCTATAGCTGTCATTACATGATCATTGCATAAAACATTATTTTCCAAGGCTATCGCCTCAACGTGCCTGGCCAACGTTCGATGGAAGAGACCTCGCGCAGATCCAGCCTGTCCGAAGCCTCCGGCCTGAGTAGTGCCTCCACCAGAACCTACATCAACGAGGCCAGCACCTTGGTGCTCGAGACGCTCGAGAACGGCGTCAAGAAGCACTACCTGGTGCCCCTGTCCTTGGCCCAAAAGTCCAAATGGCGGAAGAAAGGGACTAAGTTGCATATTTTCAACGATCACACGTTCGTCGCCAAACATTTGCAAGGGTGAGTGTGATTATCTAAGGCCTCGAACTCAGACAAACCGCGACTCATTCATAAATCATCGAAAAGTACATGCCAACAATCCTAAACGGATAACTGAATGAAATCTCGAATGGTGGGGATTACTCTGCGGAATCTTTGCCAGAGAATTGGTAGTCTTTATAGATATATTTCATCAATCTGATGAATCGGTGCTCGAGATGCTCGAAAACGGCGTCAAGAAGCACTACCTGGTGCCTCTGTCCTTGGCCCAAAAGTCCAAATGGCGGAAGAAAGGGACTAAGTTGCATATTTTCAACGATCACACGTTCGTCGCCAAACATTTGCAAGGGTGAGTGTGACTGTCTAAGGCCTTAAGCTCAGACACACCGCGAGTCATACATAAATCATCAAAAAGTACATGCAAAATAATCCTAAATGCCAAACTCGGACAAATGAATGAAATCGCGAATGGTGGGGATTATTCTGCGGAATCTTTGCCAGAAAATTATTGATATTATACATAAACATACTTTATACATTTAATTAATCGGTGCTTGAGACGGTCGAGAATGGCTTCAAGAAGCACTACCTGGTGCCCCTGTTCTTGGCACAAAAGTCCAAATGGCGGAAGAAAGGGACTAAGTTGCATATTTTCAACGATCACACTTTCGTCGCCAAACATTTGCAAAGGTGAGTGTGATTATCTAAGGCCTCGAGCTCAGACACACCGCGGTCCATTCATAAATCATCAAAAAGTACAAGCCAACAATCCTAGACGCCAAACACAAATAATTGAATGGAATCGTGAATGGTGGGGATAACTCTCTGTGGAATCATTGCCAAAGAATTATTGTTATTCTACATGAATATATAAATCGGTGCTTGAAACGGTCGAGAACGGGGTCAAGAAGCATTACCTCTGGTGCCTCTGTCCTTGGCCCGGAAGTCCAAATGGCAGAAGAAAGGCACCAAACAGCACATCTGATATTGTCAAAATTTCAACTTCAGATATCTAGAAAATCATGGATTTATGATGTCTTTATTAAGCTATATGATTTGTTGAGTTATATGATATTTTAAACGATTTCGACAGTGATTTTTGGAAACTAATAAAATCGTTTGTCTTACTTCTTTCAGTGGCACTATCTGTCAAGTTTGTGGCAAGAGTATAGCAAGGAGATTCGGAAAACAAGGTTACGAGTGCAGAGACTGTCTGATAAAGTGTCACAAACACTGTCACGTGAAAGTTAACGATAGTTGCCCAACATCTACCATCCACAATGTTGAATTGTAAGTAAATTTTATATCGTTCTGAGAGTTATTCATTTCACACAACTTGCTACATCTTAATACACTTCATAAGTAATCACCTCGATAATCACTTTCTTGACATTTTTTAATTTGATCCATCCCAGCAAACAATTTTGGTCGGCCTTATGCTGGTCCAGAATATGCAAGCCAGAATGGGCGGGTGGACTTCGAAATTGTTGAATTTCAGAGCTCATTTCAAACGTACCGTCATGGCCACCATTTGGCGATTCGTCGAATAAATGGTGACGTCAGCTTTCATGCTGCTTCGTTATTGGTCAGATAATCTTCCATTTCCAACATGAAGCGAGGTTGTTAAGTCACCAAACAGATGAGTCCTGTCGTTGAATAAAACATAATTGGAGGAACCCATGATATGTCCAAATATACTCCATACTCTCCATAACAAAATTTCATGTAAATGTTGGAGACTTGGCAACATTGTGCTGATTGCTGAGAAGGGACAAGACCACGCCCACAAGTCGTGCGCCCGGTGTTGTCACGTTCACCGCTTCAAATGTCCTCTAGTGTGAATTAATATAATTACTATTTACAGAAATGTATTATAAGCAATCAGCCACAAATCATAAGGGAACATTCCGAGACAATTGATTTTGTATTGCTAAATAGGAATAATTGAGAATTTATTAATGTTTGAATAAATAATATTTTAATAGACCAATAACGAAACAGCATAAAAACTGCTGTCACCATTTATTTATCAGTTTGCACTCGCCAATGTTTGCTGGGATACTACTACAAATGATATGATGTATGTACAGTGTGACGGGAACACCGGTGACTCCTCTAATATTTTCGTTCATGACAAAGTTACACTTTTAACAAGGCCTTAATATTCCATATAAATATTTGTGTCGCCACATATAAATGTTTCATTAAGTATCCCCTGAAAAAGATGGAAAGGAAGCGAATTCGTCGTAGATGCCTATATTCATTTAAATAATCTTCATACTCCTGTATTTGTCAGGCGTCAGTTTTTGTGTTAACAAAGTGTCACTTTGTCCTGAAGTAACAGATTTTCATGTTCTCCAATTCAAAAAGTCACACTGTACATATGTGTTACACTCGTTAATTTATTGTTTTTTTCTATGGGTCTATGCTCCCGGTTTTGAGTGAATAATGGTGAGATGTTTGTCTTTTGGGAATATTAAATTTAATTTTTTTTGAAACTTAACAATGTCTTGTGTGTTTTTTTTATCAGAATAATAAAAATTATACATTATTATTTATTTATTTATGAAGAATTTGCATGTATTGCATGGCATTTTTTGTTTGACATATTGCATTCCTATTTTTATATTTCAAATTTTTATCTTGTTTATTGATATCTCCAATTTTTTCAGGTCCTACATCACAAATCCATTGAACAACAAGAATCTTTCGCTGCTTTAATTACCTACTCTTCAATTGTACCAAAGGAAAGGGTAGAATTAACTTTACTATATGAAATTGAGCACAAGTTTATCTTTCAGCTTTACATGAATCACATAATATATCTGTGTTATTTTTGAAAATGTATGGTTCAGATAGATATTATTTTATATGCTGTTTTAATTTATATCAATTTGAAATTTTATCCTCTATTTAATTTATTTGTTTGTAAATATCTCGTTGAGTTTCTTTATGAAAGTCTCTGTTTTTATTTTTTTATCTTAACATATAGGTACTTAACTTGCTTTGAGCTCGAATAATCTAATATTTTAAAGATGTAATAATTTTATTTTAAATATTTTTTTATATCACCTACACCTCAATAGGTTGACTGTATTTTAAAATTCGCTTATTTTTCTCCACTATGATTGACCCAAATTCATATTTGAACAACAATAATTACCTTCTAAAAAGATTTTTGTAAAATTTTATTGAATAAAGAATATTGTTTTAATAATTAATTGTGTTTTCAGGAAACGGATTTAAATATTATTTTTATTTCTCCTTCATATAGTTATTCGTTTTATCAGGTTGGTGCTAGAGGCTACAAGTTATTTCAATTCGAATTTGAAAAAATTCCTCATAGTAATTTATATCTTTTATACCGTTCTACGAAAAATCGCATTTCAAGAACAAAAAAGTAATTTATGAACAGTGACATTTGATAACCTGTCAAACAGAGATGAAACGTCTAACTTTTTTCTCGAAACAGAAAAAAACAAATTTTCAATCCCATTCAAATCGACCGCAAAGTCAAACATAAATATTTTCAGTCGTTTATGTGTATCATGTACACGTAGTTTAATCGACCGCAAAGTAAACATAAATATTTTCAGTCGTTTATGTATATCATGTACACGTAGTTGAATCATTTTATGCGAGGTTGCCAAATGCAAATGTCTAATTAGTGATTCAGTTAGGGAAGGATTTGAATTTGTTGCTATTTCCTTTGTTCGGAATAGTTTTTCACTCACAGTCACTGGACTGAAATTCAGAATTCAGTATATATCTATCCTTGGAATGATCATTGAGCTTATTCAGCTTGTGCGATATCGCACATGACTGGAATATTATACTGTTTGAATATTTATATTTTTCAATCAGTTGAGGATTCTTGTGTTTTCACTTCTGGTATTTGTTTTGTAGTGATATATCGGGTGATACCTTTCGGTGGTACTATCAATATTACACATCACATCAAATAATTTTGTAACTAATCCTGAACATTTTATATGTGGCAACATGGAGCTCAATTTGACATTGAAAAGAAAATAACTGTCACTGCTGTCAGTTTCCGCCAGTCTCTCAACCTCGAACGAACGATCCTTGCTGTTATGGTTCTTCAACAAAAAAGCTATGAAAAATGTAGTGTTCACGAAATGTAGCTCTTTTTACTAGTGTTTTTTTAGTTCGTGCAAAAAATATGCGATTTTTATGCCACAAGTACACGCTGGTCAGGTTAGTTCTCTTCTCTTTATGATACGTTTTTGAACAACAAATTAATATGGTGCATTCGTTGGCATAGCCATTTGTTTGTATTTTTAGGTTGCGCTGAAATTTGTATTGTGAGTCATGGACGAAAGCCGTGAACAGTCCTCCACTTCAATACCCGAATCACCCAAGCCATTAGCATACACAATAGATTTGGGAATCAACAAAAATGTTGACACTGAAAGGCAGAAAGCCTTGGCTGAAAAATTTCAAAAAAGGCACAAGAGAGGCCAGTCTTTATCAAAACTTGAAGATTCTGCTACAACTACACCCCCAAAACATCCATCAACAGGAAACCTACCTAGAAAGTCAAGTTTCCAATCTGAAGGCTATTTTTCCTCTGATGAGAAACCTGATAGAGCTAAAAGTGCAACATCTAGAGTGACCAGTGCCAAACGAAGTGATCTAACACTGTTTTTGAAAAATGTGACGTCTGATAGAATGGTGCAATCCTTCCCAAGTGCAACTCTTCCTAGCATAAACAGCCCTGACCTAGAACTTAAAGATATCTCAAGTCCTGAACTAGATTTAATAAGCCCATTTAGTCCAATAGATTCTAATTTACAAGAGCAATCATCTTCTGGGAAATTCTCTGGAAAAATGAAACAATTTTTGAGCCCAGACTGTGAAAAACTGTACATAGGAGAAAGTAAAGATGTTGATGTTTTCATTGATGGAACTGAATATGATTTTGACAAGTCAGACACTGCAAGTGATGCAGGTACTTATACCTTAGATGCTGAAAACTATTCTGAAGAACAGAAGGTGAGAATGAGTATAGATAAAGATTTCAAAATTGAACAGGTATCTGTGCAGAAGAAAACTGAAGAGTATATCAAGAGTCTTTCTACTGTTAGAGATCATGTGATGCAACACACAACTAGTATAAATAAGTGTAATATCAAGTATACAGAGGTGGCTAAGGGAATTCAGAATATAAGTTTGATTAATTATCCTGAAATAAAGTCACCAATGTCACCTACTGCCAAGAAGTTTGAAAAAATTCACCCTCTGCCTGTACAAATAAAGAAAGCTCTTTCCCCTATAATGTCTCCTACACAAAATATGTCCATTACTGAAGATATCAACAAGCCTGAGTCTCTATTAAATAACAGTGACTGTGATAGAACTTTCACCAAAATTATGTTTCCTAGTCCAGTGGCCAAACAAGAAGGCTTGCAGCAAAATTCTGATCAAGGATCAGTGATTTCAGTGACTTCAAGTGGTGCTTTCAAACCAAAAGTGGAGAAAAAACCAGAACGCCGGTATACCTTGACAAAAAGTGAAGTTCATATCCAAGCATATGTTGATGGTAAGAGCTACAGTGATGTCATTGCAGAACCGGTACGTAAACGATCAAATTCAGTTAAATTATCTCCTAAACTCACTGCAAATATTGTGAACGTCCAGAGCATCGAAATAAAAAATCCCGAGGATTCTAGTGTGATAGGTAAAATGTCCAATATCTCCAATCCTAACTCTAGTAATTTGCCCCCGGCGATTGGGGGGCACACTGGTAAAATGTCTCCAACTAAAATTCCTTCACCAATACACACTCTTTCCCGACCAAGAAGCAGGAACAGTCTGAGCTCCCTAAACATTGAGCTTTCTGATAATAGTCTTGACACTGATTCAATTTTAAAGCCTACACAGAACTACATAAACACTCTGCAACAAAGATTGTCCTTGGACAGTGATCCTGATAGTGATTATGATGTGAAGTATGGTTTGCAGCTGAACAACACGGCTCACTTATTGAAACAGAAAGCTTCACACACTAGACACAATTCCTTGGATGACAGGACAATGAACATATCTAATAAGCTAGAGCACTTTCAGAACAAAAATTTGCAAGGTATTGAACAAACTTACACGAATTTGTTTAATCAATATTCACAGAGCAGGGTTATGCACAAGATACAAAATTCCCCTAACAACTCGCCGATTAGAAGGTCGAGTAGTTTTTCAATGAGGAATTCCATGCAAGCTCCCAAGAACACGAATGTATTTCATAAAGAATCCAATATTTCCGGGTCGCCTAACGCAACCAGGAACACTTCCATCCAAAGAAGCTCTTCCACTGCTTGCATCAAGCCTAGTTTCATAACGAATAGGAGAGGAAGTATTTCTTCTGACCACCAGAAAATAGACAGGAATCAATTCGCCGATACGGACACAAGCTCCGAGGAAGACTATGAAAAAACCTTACAGAAACGCAAAGACTTGTCCAATACGAATATAACGAATACCAGGTGCAATAGGGCTTTTAGCTTGAGAAGGGCTAGGGCTGACAACAGCAATGAGTCACTGGTCAAGTGTCCCAACACCCCGGAAATGCGCAGGAAGACTTTCCAGCAGGTATATGAAACTGATACAGCCGTTTTGACACAATCAAATGAAAATGATCTATATTTATTATATTTGTGTCAGCTTAAGCTCAAGCTAGCACAACCGTTTCACAATTTGCCACCCAAATAAGTTATGGAGATTATTTGAATGCAACATTTTTAAATTTTTTGATTACTTTCCAATGGTATTGGTAATTTGATTTTGAGCAAATTTGAATATTATATAAGAGTCAAATATGCATTCAGTACCTGAAATGCATGTAAATTTGTTATTGTAATTCTTTCGGATGACAATGCACGATAAGGTGTGTAAAGTTATTCTAAATCCAATATGGCGGACCATCCAAGATGGCAGAATAGTTGTTTTCAATGTACTTCTACAGTATGGGTATCAAATGAGAGGGCTCGTTGGGAATAACTCGAGAAATAATGTGACGTCATTCTGAATTCAATATGGCGGACCATCCAAGATGGCGGAATAGTTATTTTTGATGCACTTTTACAACATGGGTGTCAAATGAAAGGGGTCGTTGAGAGTAACTCAAAAAATGATGTCACGTCATTCTGAATCCAATATGGCGGACCATCCAAGATGGCGGAATAGCTATTTTTAATGCACTCCTACAATATGGGTATCAAATGAAAGGGCTCGTTGAGAGTAACTCGAAAAATGATGTGACGTCATTTTAAATCCAATATGGCGGACCATCCAGGACGGCGTAATAGTTAGTTTTAATGCAATTCAACAATATGAGTATGAAATGAAAGGGCTTGTTGAGGATAACTCGAAAAATAATGTGACGTCATTCTAAATCCAATATGGCGGACTATCCAAGATGGCGCAATAGTTATTTTTAATTCGCTTCTACAATATGGGTATCAAATGAAAGGGATCGTCGAGAGAAACTCGGAAAATAATGTAACGTCATTCTAAATCTAATATGGCAGACCATCCAAGATGGCGAATTAGTTATTTTTGATCTACTTTCACAATATGGGTATCAAATTAAACGGCTCGTTGAGAGTACCTCGGAAAATAATGTAAGGTTATTCTAAAACCAATATGGCGGAACTTCCAAGATGGCGGAATAGTTGTTGTTCATGCACTTCTGCAAAAGGCTTGCCGAGAATAATTAGAAACAATGTAACTTAACTCTTAATCCATTATGGCACACTATAAACTTCAATGTCTTTACATGCCTTTGACACATACAGGGTGTCCAGAGATGAAACGGACAAAACTCGTGGGGTTATAGGGCCGGCC